AGTGAAAAATTGGATTTCTTTTTGGGACTCGCCATCGCCTTCTCATGAGCTAAAATGTCTGAAATGACACGAGCCTGGAGGTTATCAATGATATCAACTGGGTGAGAAGGTTGCAGTTCATCAAAAAGCGACGATACCGCGGAAAGAGCCTCTGGAGAGCCTAAGCCACGTAGGCCGCGTTTAAAGTTACAGTGGAAAAAGACTTGGGTAGAATTCTCATAGTTGGGCCTAGAGTCAATTGCAATATCACTACCCAAATCCCATTCCCTTTGTTCTGGCAAGGCGTCGGCGTGGGGGAGAGTGGGAACATCCGCAACATCAGGCTCGATCCCATTGAAATGAAAGTACGGCATAGCCCAGGGGCTGGATATACCATTAATGAAACTTGGCGTCTTATCCCGCTCTCGCACTCCTTGTTCAGGGCTGTGAGCGCTTTGGCTCTTGGAAGTAATTCTTGCATCCCTAATACCAGAGTCATAGGGAGCCGGTCCGGGAATTCTGCTCTTCGGTATATTCGTCGTAGGGCGCACGTGGTTAAAGTGTGGGAAATTCGCACGCCTTGATTCGGAAGATTGAGAGGAACGTATCGAACTTTTTCCGCTCGTTGTGTAAGGAAATGAGGATGACGACGAAGAGTCGGGATAGAATGTATGAATCGACTGAATCGGTTCTGGCATCAGAGGTAGGCGTATGGCTGGAGGACTGACTTTAGCGTTGCTAGTGTCCATAGCAAGATGGGGGAATGTATTTTCATCACTGTGAAGCAGCCACGGCGTCCTATTGGACCGCTGATCATGCACGCGGATGTGTTCTTGTTGAAGCCCACGGGCAGCGAAAAAGTTTGATTTGCGCTCCACCATCTTGAGCAAGAGTGACGTTTCGAAATAACCATGGGTCTTAACTGTCTCTCGCGAAGGCTGTCGCAATCGAATAGCAGCATTTCGATCTACTACAGCGAGAATAAGGTCCGGCAAGTTCAGGTTAAGACGCTCAGAAAACTGCAGGTCAGCCCAATCATTGAAGTCAAGCTCGACAACCCCGGAACTAAATAGGATTGCAAATTCCTCGACCAATACCCAGATCCGTATACAATTGACTTTGGCTCTCAAAAATGTCACGTCATGGATCACGACGGGGTGTAGTGGCGGTAGTGCATTCTCTTCATCGTCAAAAGAAAATGCGAGAAACCTTATTGCTGATGCGGCGGATTTTAGAAATGTAGGAGTGCATTCTCCGGCAATATGTCCAACCCGAAAGTCCCAATTGCAGACATAAGTTGGTTCTGTAGGCGGCAGCCCGAAAAGGCGATGACCGTAGATGGACAAGCCATCCAAGAATAACTGCGTGTTTGAAGAAATATGGGAACCGTCCGGCTGGGCTGAGTCTATAACGAATTCCGCAGGGCCAAATGATGTTTCCATATCCATGTAATAATTCGTAAACCTCAAATCGGTATCAAAGGATACAGTGTCTATCCTCACACAATTTGTGCGGTCATAGATATTAGCGGGCAAAAAGATGCTGCCACTGTCTGCATGAATCTGGACAAAGATGTCAAGGTCGTTTGTTTTCGGTGAAGGGTCCACGCCACTACTTTCTTCCGGCGTGTCGGTAGTAGCAAGCAAGCCCTGATATTCCTCTAGTGTTTTGAAATGCAGGTGTTCGCCGAAGTAGTTCTCCTTTATCATTAAAAAGTACCGGATTAAAAATCCGTAAAGACAAAGCTTGGGCGAAACACCAACTATATCGAGTGTTAACCTATCCGTTAGCTCGGACGATGTCTCAATATTATACTTGTAACTCCCAGTCAAGCTCATGGCCTTGAGCGTTGCAACTGAGTTATCCTGGAGAAAGACGCGCTGCGTGTTCCATAGTGGCGTCACCAACTCGATTGATCCACTTGACAAATTAACATCGAATATTATAGCATTGCTTTTTGGTCTATATTTCTCCACAGGAATGGTGAGGTTAGAGGTCAGGTGCTCGCTGTGTATTACGAGAAAGGTGTTATCATTAGTGTCGGATGGGTTGTTTATTATGTTAGAATCGTTGACGTTCATGAATAGCTTGAAGTTCGTAAAGGAAAAGTTTATCTTGTAACGGAAAGGCACAAAGGTATAGAAATCGGGGGGAGGCCCCGAAATCCAGTCGTTCACTAAATCAGTGAGGAGGAAAATGTGGTCTCGTAATAAGAAAAGCTCGAGGTTTTGGCTGTATACGTTAATGGACCAGGTGTGCAGGATATTCCACTTCAAAGGGTTCGACAGGTCGAGTGAAATCGTTTGTGCCCCAGAGCTCCACAGTAGGCCATGGTTTACACTAGATGTCACTCTGCTCCCGCAAAGATCAAGTTCCAGTTGATTTTTGTATCCCGTATTCGACACGACCATGTCCATTGAATATCTGATGGTGGAATTCGCCGCTATCCGGATGGCAAACCAACCGAAGGGCCTTATGTCGGGGCCATGGGTGCTTTTTTCAGCGTCCTTATTTCGTGGATGCTTTTTCTCTTTCTGGCCCTTCAATTTGGAAACGCCCCCAACAGCATCAACCCGACCTTTCCATAACCAATCTTTGGATGCTTCTCTAGTAGGAATTCGCAGGGTAGTATCTTGCTCAATATTGATGGTTAATTTGAATTTGGTGCTTTGCCTAGGAGCATCAGCTTCAAGAGGTGGAGAGGGCTGTGAATCTCGGTAAAAATTTGGGAAAAATATCGTCTGAATACCGACACGTTCCCTATCCGCCCAGGGGCCGTAGTTAATAGTTCCACCCTTGATACATAGGTGCATACCCCACTCCGGAGGATCTGCACCATTGATGTCATTGGAAAGTTTATGAACTGAAAGTCGCGAATGCATTCCGCCCCTTGGCACTTTCCCAGGTATATCCCAATAATAAGTGAAGCGCAGGCTTGGACAATCGATTAATGTAGAGAACCGACCATATTCGATAGCGCTCCAGCCTTCATGTGCATCGCGATCGTCTTCGTCAAGGTACCGAGTGAGACCAAGCCAACGAGATTCCCCTGGCAATCCGGTCTTTGTTGGAGAACCAGAACTAGCCCCACGCGTGTCTTTTCCCGCACCAACGTGGAATGACTCGACTGAACTCTGGAAATACGGAATCAGATCACGAAGATTGTGCCATATCCTACGCCTGTGGCGTTGGTATCTCGAGTGGAGGCCCTGCTCATGTCGCTCCGATTCTTGGTCTCCATCTGATGCTCGTAGTCCGCTAGCAGCAGCTTGTTGAGATTGTTTAAAATCCGGGTTTGGTTTCATTTGAACTACAGGATGGCGTAGGCGAAATTCGAATATTTGTCTAAACATATCCAGAGGACCAGAATTTCTGGCATCAATATGCCCAGAGGCCCTCTCGAACTTTGCGGTCAGAAATGTTTTTGTATTTTCGTTCCCCATAACCATTGCCCCTTTATTGCAAACCAACCCCAGGGGAAGGAGAGCCAGAAGTTTAGATCGCGAAACTTCTTCAGTTGAACTCGACGAACATGATTTCCGGGACTCTTGCGATGGCAATTCTTTACGAGATGAACGGATACGAGTGTTATTGGCTATCTTTGACCGTTCGGAAGGTGTCGATCCAACACCAGACGGGGATTTTGCGGAATCTTTGCCATCAATTGAGCCTTTGCCTGTTTGCGCACTGTTAGGAGACCCCAATTCGTCGTCATTATTTTTCCCAGTATGATCGTTTTGGTCATTGTCGCTGCCACTAGGCTCCCTCCTCAGAGTATATCCAAAGCCAGAAAGGATGGAATCGTAAGCGGCACTTCTATTATAAACAAACCACTCAAGACCGTGCAGGGTCAACTCCAACCGACAGGGCAGGCGATTGGCTGCGGTGCAACCGCCCCGTTGAGCGGTGCTGGGGCTTGGGCTGCGGGTGCTTTCCTCCGAATCCGATTCTCCCACCGGGTGTCTCGAGCTCTCCGCACCGTCTTCGCTACTCCGAGAGAGATCAACCTTACGTACAGACCGAAGCCAGTACTTCCATGTCAAATATCCCGATTGAACTAATATTGTCTCATTCTCTCCGTGATATCGAAACCCTTTAAAAAAGATCCTTCCGCCAAGCAAGGATATTTGAAGCGCATGGATATCGACATAAACCCCGTAGTAATGCCAGGTATACGCTCGGATTGGATAGGAAACGATTGTAGCGAAGAGGCGATTAAAGTAAAAGAGGAAGAAAAGAGTCCTACGTCGCAATATCAGTTTTAAATATACCCGTGTGCAAGTGACTGTTGGATCCAGACTCACAGAACACCACACACAATAAGTTCAACTAAAAACACCCTGCCAGTTATCAGCTCCGTGCCAAAATACCTAAGGGATCAAAACCCTTACCAATTAAACTGAGGAACTACGGAAGACAGCGACTCCGCTGTTAATCTGCCACCTTCCATCTTGTCGAGCTATGCAACGTTGGCGGGTTCGACTGTCGCATGGCAATTTCTCCTCCGCGAACCAGCAAGCATGTCTCTGCAAACGGTTCCGCAAGAGCAGGTATTCAAGAAACGCATAATGTAAGTGATACTAACATACCGCGGATACCATGGCCAAACATTTTCATAGTTGTGGTGATGAGTAGTGATGAGTAGTCTAGATGAAGGAGGAGTTACTTTTGAAGGCCGAGACAAATGACGATAGCCGCACGCTTGGACGTCACGGGACGAAGCTTCCCGGCTCCAGCCAAAACCTCAAACATCCGCGTTACTCTGTGCCTTAACCACGCAGACCCCCAAAACACGACAAACTCCTTAGCCCGCCCGTCAATTTGTCAATTTACGATACTAGTCTCTTTGCGCGGCGCCAATCGACAGCGATAGTCCTAGATAACATCAAATCCGTCTTGGCAGCGGACGGAGCTTTGTTATGTTGCTGGATTCAAGCTAATCCACCCACGCAAATGATCAAGGGGGGACAATGGGCCAAATAGCATCTCTATCGTGAATGATGCATTCTATCACACCGACAATGACGAGCCTTTCCGGCTCCTCTGGAGGCACAGGGTCTAGTCTGGCTAAGGTCACAGTCATCATTGCAGGTGTGGCATCTTTAGTGGCTACATTCATATCTCTCATGTATGCCCGGAGCCCCCTCCTTCCTCTCCTCTCCCTAACCTCTTTCTGCTGACATTCCACTGATTTGATTTCTTGCCTAGATCGATATGGCTTCAAACGTGAGCAGTACCTTCGGCCTGAAATGTATATATTACCGAATAATAACGTGGAGTGCAGAAAAAATTATCGGAAACCGTTGCTTCAGCGATATGTCGTGAGGATACTTTTGATGTCGGTGGATGATGTCCTTTCCTATGATTTGGGGCAGCTTGCTTACGGTCTCTTAGGGTTCCAATATACTCCATATCGTCGTGGGTGAGCATAATTTCGTTGAAAACTTCTGCTTTTATAGTACCAATCCGTGATATCTATGAGGTATGCGCTCGACCCCGAGGCCTGCTAGAAGCGCTCCACTGACTTTGTGACATTACAAGGCATTTACGATATATACATTTTTTCAACTCCTTATCAACTTAGTTGGGGGAGAACGAGCTCTTATAGTCATGACACACGGACGTGCGCCGGTGCAGCATGCTTGGCCCCTCAACCATTTTCTTCGAAAAGTCGACATTTCCGATCCACACACGTTCCTTGCGATAAAGCGTGGTATTCTACAGTATGCATGGTTAAAACCTATCCTTGCTTTGGCTTCCATTATCATGAAAGCCACCGGGACATACCAAGAGGGATATCTTGGTCTCTCCTCTGGATATCTATGGACTGGGATTATTTACAATATAAGCGTCACACTTAGTCTTTACTCGTTAGCACTGTTCTGGGTGTGTATGCACGATGATCTCAAGCCGTTTCGCCCCGTCCCTAAATTTCTTTGCGTCAAACTCATCATCTTTGCTTCATATTGGCAAGGGTTTTTTCTCTCGATCCTACAATGGCTTGGCGCTTTACCCAATGGGGTTGCAGGTTATAGTCCCGACAACCTTGCAGCAGCAATCCAAGACAGCTTGATTTGTTTCGAAATGCCTCTCTTTGCCCTTACCCACTGGTACGCCTTCTCATGGCATGATTATGCTGATACCTCTGTATCAGCGGCGCGGATGCCAGTAAAGTTCGCGATTCGGGATGCATTTGGTATCCGGGATCTCATCGAAGACACCAAAGAAACTTTTCGCGGAGAAAACTATCAGTACAGGATATTTGACTCCGGTGATAATGTAATGGCACATGAGGAATCCGAGTCACGTCTAGCCAGACTGATGGATGGTATGAGATATGAAAGGGGCGGGAAATCTAAATATTGGATTCCCAAACCAGGTGAAGCAACAAGTCGGACGCCTCTCTTAAGCTCGCCAGCCTGCAGTCGAAGGAACTCCCAAGGCTGGGCCAAAAGAGGCAGCGCAAATAATGGAAGCCTTAATAATGATGATCCCGAAAACTTGACACTCGATGAAGAAGACGAAAGGCTCTTTGTGAATGCGAGAGCCTTAGAATTCGGAGATTACAATGTAAGCAATCGCATCCCTAAGCACAATCTGTGATTATAGCTAACTTATCCATCAGTATCCAGTGATAACGGCCAATGAGGTACCACCCGACCAGCGACTTCCACGACGGACAAGGCCGTCCGTCTCAACCCCGCGCCGAAACCACACCGAAACAAGCTATGTGAAGAGAGCAGCTAAACATAGGAACAGACGCATTCATGGTGACAATGAAGCGTCAGGGAGTTCATCGGGCCGTAGGTCAGATCGTAAACCAAAACGGCCTATTAACGGGAACAAACATCACAGTAGCTCCAGCATCTCCTCTCAGTCCCGTTTGAGACGGAGCCAACTAGTTGACCTCGTGGATGACGTTGGAGAAGCCGAACGCCAGCGGTTTGAGAGGCCTGAAGAAGGAGGACATAACATAGTTAACGAAGCTCGTTTAGTGTGAGTACCAAATTTCCATAGCGTACCATAAGGTCCACAAAAATCTAATCCTATTCAAGTGGTCGGTCCGTAAATGCGAATGGCCAACATGAAAGCACCGAAAGCAGGCCCATCGCCCAGCAGTCGATGGAACAAGGCCACTCAGTCGATGAGGATAATGAGGCAGACACCGAAAGCCTCGCAGGGAGAAACATGACATACGGGTCATTCAATGAAGAACGCGACGCCTGGGGTGGATGAATTTGAATCCAGTGATTTATGGGTGCGAAGCGATAGTTATTTTACTGCAATGTCCTTTTTTTGGTTCTTGGATCAAGCCATTTTTTTCCTTGTACATGTACATGTACGTCCAGTACATTACCGATTGGCATGGCGTTTTGGGGAAGTAACTTGGATATTGGATACAGGCCTTTTTGCCTAGTCAATTTCATGAAACAGCGCAAGGTTATAGACATATACACTAAACACTTTTTGTTTCGTGAACTTCTGCTCTGGATATGTTACAATGATGACGGACGAAACTTCCGCAGGTTATTGGGCTCTGAAATATACGATTCACCCCTACGCTCTACTGACCACTAAAAACTCCGACGATCTATATATCAAACAAGGTGTGGGTATATTACAATTTGCGGGTGTGGAAAATAGCTGATTAGGATTTCCTCAGGATGCGCCGTAAGGGCCGCAAGAGCAAAGCTGTTACAGAAACAGTTACCACGGGGCCAAAGAGTGGAAAGTTTCACCACGTTATTTGCATGACACGGTCATTGTCGTATATGTCCGGGCCTCCGCCAATGTCAGGTTGACATGATATTGAGAGGATCGGAGACACCGCTGCAATTTCTCGGATATACATGGCATCTCTTACATAGATCCAATTGTCATGACCTTTACTAGAGCTCTCTTTCGTACAGCGAGAGTCCCAGAGAATGGTCAGCTAAATTCCCAAACCTTCCCAAAGTTCTTATACAGGCCTAGTATCAGCAATCAAGGCTACAGAAGACCAGGAGTATAACAGACACGCTTGTCCTATTTCACTAATCCATCCGTCAATGGCGGCCCTGATGTATAACTCAACTACGTTCCGGCATTCAGCATATTCTACTACATCTCTTGATGCTTCGCATTGCTTATAACCACGTTACCTAATGGAAAAACCCTAGGCCAATCTCCTGTAATCGCCAGAAGGGCGACCAGAGATCCAATGGGGCCAATGGCCACCAGTGAAGGATCTGAAGGGCGACGTTGATTTAATTGGCGCCGACTTTCATCGAGTTTCGGGACACTTCTAGGCGGTTTGCTGATTTCTCAGGGGTGGGCAGACAATGCGCGAAGAAACTGCTAATAATTACCGTCCATGGAATGAAAGAGCATTATAGCAATTTTTAACAATTTGTCTACGGACCCCCTTGAGGAATACAAGACGTGTCCGGGACGTGTCCTGCCCCAGGGGGTTTAAGCCGCCTCGAGTCTGGCATGGATTGCCTTGTCTTCACGGAGGTCACTCCCACAATATCGAGCTTCTCGACGTTGTTGAGCTGCTGTATTCCCTGGAGTATAGTAATACTAGGGTCTTCACCGACCGAAGGCTCCACGTTCATGGGCTCCCTGAGACCAGCCGAAAAGTCCAAGGCAAATATTCGAGCGTCTCGCCCTTCGCGAGATGGCACAATGGCAACGGGGCCTTCGGATAAGACGAGAGCGCAGGGTAGAGGTACTTAAACCAGGATTCAGATTAGGATTCTCGCTAGAATGTTAACAGTATGTGTATTATTAAGTTATGATGGTGACATAGATTCTGGTGCCCACTGCTCTACAGGAATTAGCTTTAAGCGGACCGAGAGGGCTGTTGGGGATGGAGGAAGACGACGACGACGACGACGAAAGGGAAGCCGGAAGTCTCATCATCCCATAATATCCTTTAAAAATTCCGCGCATTCGTCGTCATCGCCTTCATCCTACCACAGACAGATCAAGTAAAACTGAGTACGTGCTTGAACGGCATCATTAGTCGTGCCAAATGTCCGACGCACAGGGACAACTGGCTGATAAACTTAGATCCACCGGGCCTCTAATAAAAGATCGATCCTGGTCTGCTTCTGCCAGCCTGAGATGAAACATACCCGTTCCCTGAATAACACTGGTCCTTTGATAAATCCCCTGGGCTCATCCGGCTAAATCAGAGCGAACCGCCGAGGTATTAGGGGGAAGGTGTCAGATATCAGATCGAGAAAATAGGGGTTGGGCTTTGTGTTAAAGCATCAAGCAGGTACAGGGTACCAGCCCCATTAAAGGCCTAGCCTAGAACTCGCGAGTGTTTATTGCGGCGTTTCAAGGATATCATCTTGCGCACTCCGCTAAAATCTCCGACATCCCCCAACGCCCTCGTGGTTTGGATGACATACACACTTCTCCGTTCGGCTTGCTTTCAGGTTTTGCTTTATATTCCAAACTGGCACAGGAATTGCCCCTGTCACCCGGGCTTGAAATAGGAGACTCGAACCAGCCTCACAGTCGCTCCTAGGATGTTTGGATGCAGTGTGTTCGTCCGTCTTGAATTCGGGCATCTGGACCTTGCGCTTTCAAAGGTAGAAGAGGCCAAGTGCTGAGATATAGTGAAGCGAATGCTTACAAGAATTCATAATGGATGTTGACCCCTGGTGGCGGAAATTATCTCGGATGCGCAGAGCAGCGAAAGCCAGCAATAAATTTCACAATCCATAACATTTTGATTGAACTTCAAACCCTTTGGGCACCTTTCAATGGGCCATTAACGCACCGCGTGCTATCTACTGCAAAAGTTTCAGCATGTTCTTGGATACATTTCCATGATCTGTACAGAGTACAGAGTACAGATTACACAGTACGGTACGGGGTGGACGGAAGAACGCCAGGAACATCTTCAGCAGCTGATCCATTTCAAATTATCTCCGCCGCCCCTTACTTTTGGCTTGGCAGAAGGGCTAACAAGGTTGTTTCTGACAGTTATTTAACTATCGAATCAAGTCCGCTCTCTGCAGGGCCAGCGTGCTAAAAACAATTAGCCCCTCACGATGGTGGACAGGAGCAGCAGAGCCAATCCCTAAGCGCCCATATCGCGCACATCAGACTACGCATAGTGTGCAGCTGAACACGGTTGGGTTGGGCGCACCACAACCTACAAACAGGCCTGCATGAAGAACATCACTAACTATGCAGTCGCAGCCCTTCGAACCCCCACATTGCCGTCGGCGAATTGGGTTGAACCAGAACTTTTGATATTGCTGGAGCTTGCATGTTTATGGATCCAATTGGCTGATCACAATTAGCTGCAGACCAGTTTTCTTCCCGATAACGCTGCACTAACCTCAACGCGCATTCCGCTCCATCCAAAATGTTCAAGGATGAGGATGAGATATCCATGCATGACAACGAAAGCCTAAGAAACACTTCTACTACCGCTCATTCCATGCTGCAAGCCCGCGAGGCTGGACTTAGTGGCCTACCATCACCACCACCCCTCTTTCTACCGACCCACACTTCCCAGATAAGCCCTATGGGAGTGTAGTCTTTCTATGTATGTATATATATTAATGATGTCCCTCTCAAGCGCCGACCTTCTGCACTTAGTGCTACGCTCCACTGAAGGGTCTTTCTGTCTGTTTCCGGACCCAGTTACCATGAAAGTGGCCGAGTAATGACAACAGCGTCGATGGAGCAAGTGGGCTCGGGGCTCAAGCAATGGCTCGCTTGCTTGACATGTATCTGGCATCAGGGCGATGAGCAGGCTCATGAGCGTCCTGCTGCTGATATGGGTAAGTAGGATTATGTTTCGCGCTCTTTGGGAATCATTCTTCGCGAAGTTCAAACTTACTAACACCATTTACAACAGGAGTCGCGCGAGAGATGAAACTATGTCACGATCAACCTCATCTTGTCCCGCCAATGAAGCTTGTCTTTTATGATGACCTTCCAGGCCCAGGTCGCTCTCGTTCATCAAGCATATCTCATTGGGTTTCTGAGGGCTGGACCCTCGCATCCAAAGCAACCGATCGAGTATCTACCGGAAGGAAATCCACCAAGCGCAGCTCCCACACTCCCACAATCAGCGGCCCTTCGGACTTCAGAAGACTTAACCCTCCCACTTCTCGCCTTGAACCTTTCCGTCCCCTAGAACTCAGCATCTATCAGCCAGGGAATCGACTATCAGATCTACCGGAGTTCGACGTATTCGATATTAACATCCCTAACAAGTTTGAATCGTCTGGCCCCAAACCACCACCGAAGGTCTTCTCGCCTCTCGATAGTTCCTCCATTCATAGCGCTCCCGTACCGTCGTTCAAGGTCCCTAGAAAGCCAGTTGGTTCCATATCACGCAGGCCACTGTCAGTCAGCGACCGCATCGAAGTGCACGACCATCGACCTCAACCTCCTGAGCGTATTCTCGACCCTGCTCCGGGGATTTCTGCAGACAATATTAAGGCTCGCAACAATACTCATGCGCGGCAGTCACGAACAGAAAGTGAGCCGCTGAATGCTAACAATAGCCTCATAATTGAACATGAGAAACAGCCACCCGTCACAAGCAGTTCAACGGAGATGGGCGACTTACCATTCCCCTCTCCGCCAGTAAATACTATCGGAATGGAATCGCAGATAGACCTTATCTCGTTCAACGGCCAACCAAAAAAGAGAAGCAACCCCCGATCTCATAAAGTCGCCCAATGGCTCTTCCCCAAACCTCCATCCTCTACCTCAGATCCAACATCCCAAGCCGCCTGGACCCCATTGACTTCACGTCCTCGGCAAGCAAGCCAATCAACAATACACTCCCGCACCCTCAGCGGCTCGACCGCTTCATCAGCAAACAACTCGTCCATGACCGCGTGCTCTAGAAGGACCCCATCGCTCTCCAGTGCCATAACCGCGACAACCGTCCATCCCCCACCATCTATTCCAGGGACGCTAGACAACGAGGCCGAGGCAACTAGAACAACGATCGGATTCAACATGTCCCACGGCAACAGCAACAAGTTGTTTGCTTCTCGTCTGGAAGAACCTTGCCCCACAGTCTACGAAGCTGATCACCACCACTTCCATCATCAATGCCATTTTGATGAGAATGACAAGTTCCTCGTCACTTCGGAACATACGTGCCCTGTTGATTTTAAACCGGATCGGATCGGCATGGCTTTTTAATTTTCGTTTCATCATCGGTTTCATGACAACGCCTATCTGTGTCGAAACAACACACAGCCAGCCATGAAGCTAATCTTTTACGCTTTGGGGGGCTTCACCGGTTTATCAGACCCCGAGCTACACCTACAACCTATCCAAAGTAGAAAAATAAAAAGACTTTTTATAAGCTAATCTTTTACGCTTTGGGGGGCTTCACCGGTTTATCAGACCCCGAGCTACACCTACAACCTATCCAAAGTAGAAAAATAAAAAGACTTTTTATTTCCTTGCACGAAACGTATTATTTATGAAAACCACACAAGCCACATCATTCTCTCCGTATCATGCGATTCCCTTGTTTATTTAACATACCCCTTAAGTACACCCTTTTTTATTCCGGAACAATATACTCCTCTACCCCTTACCGGTTCACATCCTCATATCGCGTCAGGTTTCGGCTACAAGGCCAAACTTGTGATCACACTCCCCCTACGCTAGGTTACTACAGTCTTCCTATCCTAATTAACGTCCTTGTCACATATGCGCATTATGGTTTGGAGGGGATATGTTTTAGTGGTTATAATCCCCATGTTCGTTTGGTCATTGGTCTTAGATGGATGACCAACTGGTTGGACAGGGCCGGTAGGATTGGGTCTGGGGAGGGCTAAACTTCGCGATTTTCTTTTCTGGCTGCTTTACCTTTTATTTTTTTTTCATGTTTTTCATTATTTTTTCATTTTTTCATTTTTCATTTTTTAGTTTATATTTTTTATTAATTTATCCTTTACTGCCATTCTTTCTATTCAAAGATGTCTGTTGTATATGATTTTATGATTACACCTCTTTGAAAAGCTAATTAGCGATTAAATATACCCCTTTTTTTGCGAGCTTTGTCCCTTCGTTCAAAATATTATGACTAGTTATCTATACGGCCCTATTTCTAATATATCACGAGCACAATACCAAAACCCACGGACAATCAAGCACAGTGAAGACAAATAAGTACTACGAAAAGGGGGCAGGCGGGCTAGCTAGCGCCTCAATCTCACTCCATTTGCTATCAACAATAAATATCATCTTCGTAATATCATCCATAAATAAAATATCCATCTATTTGTTTAATCTTCCATTGTCCGTATAATCTAATGATACAGTATATCGCGCCTCATTTGGGAATGGGGAAGGCGTTCACCAAGTTCCCAAAATGAAGAAAAACATAGAAGCAGAGCAGAAAACAACCACCGCAAACCAGAACAAGAAAGAGTCAAGAGAACAGAAAAACAATTAAACAAGAGAAGGTTCTCGATGGGTATCTTACATACGTACGTAGGCGGCGGGTGCGATAGTGAGGGAAAAACGAGCAAATATAGCGGTTGGCAAGCGAACAAGCTGCATGTGCAATCGGTGAGCAATAATGGCCATGGAGGCGCGGAAAAGAAGAGACATATTTTTGAAATAGTGGGGTAGATCATCTCGTCCGCAATATGCATAATCAAGAAACAAGGAAAATGGAACAAGGGGGAAGATAGAGCCAGTCAATATTCAAAATGTCAATGCCGAACTGTGGCGTGGTAGTGGCGGCCATGAAGGTCCTGGGATGGGGAGTGTAGTAGCAGGTAACAGAAGGAAATTAGGGTTTGAACGTCTTCAAGACGGGCGGGTAGACTTGACGCCAATAAGGGAAATATCTATTCTATTAATGATTGACAATTTTAACTTTTCCAGGATCCCCGTATTCAGACTCATCATTAGAGTCGTCATCTCCCTGAATCCCCAGGATTTTCCATGCACGATCCATGACTCCTTTGCCTTTGGTAGGAGGAATCTGCTCTCTAGCGTCGTTCAACGACGTCGTCGTCGTTGTTTCTCGCGAGCCAGAAACTTGGGTCAATGAAATCTCGGCAGCAATACCTATTGTATCCGGGTAACGCGAACTTCTTCTTTTGATTTTGGCTTCTTTCCGCGCTCGTAGGCGCTCACGCCGCACCACTTCGTCTTTCCATTGAGTCCATTGCTCGTACTCCTCTCTTTGCTGAAGAACTTGGTACCTAGTTGTTGACTTGATCGGTCGCCATGATAGGCGACTTGTTTCATCTGGGGGAAGCGTGGTCTTGAGATCCACGAAATTGGATTCTTTGGTGAGCTTCAGTAGATGCGTGAGCACATCCTGGCATTCAGATGCGGCATTGTATTCCGCCCGCTTGTCCTCGGTAGCGACTTTGCGTCGAAAAAGGGGAGTATCTAGCCAGGCGCGCAGGTGGTTTGTACGTTGCACAGAATAAGGGTCCATAAAATTCGCACGGCGATTGTCTTCGCGGAGAAAACGCACTGCGGCTTGCAAGTTTGCGACTTCTACGCGGAGGGATTCGTTTTCCTTCATCAAGGCGGAAGAAGCAGCTATATCGATAGACATAACACCATCTGCACCAAGCACGACGCCAGTGGATCCCGATGCTCGCTTGGCTTTTTCCAGTCGAGCCCTATAGTCATCTCGTTCACGCTCCATGTTTTGTAGGTCGGCTGACTGTTTTTCTACAATGCCTATTAATTCTTGTTCCTTCGCTTGCAGCGCTTCGAACTTAGATTCGAGATCCTTGGCTAGAGCAGCTTTCTTTCCAGCGTCACGCATTCTCGATTCAAGAAGTTCAATTTTAATTGTCTGTTCCTCAAAAGCTTTGTCTTTGACGCCGAGTGCAGTAGAGGTTTCATGAACTTCATTCTTTAATCGCCTAATCTCCTCATCTGCATCTGGAGAAATTACCTTGTTCGACTTAAGTTCTTTCGCCCGTAGAACCCACGGGGCGGGATGGCGTTCAAACTCAACAGTTTGGGTCAGATCGGACGAACAATTAGAGGCCTCCTCGAGATATGATCCCAAAGTGCGAAGCTTATTGGCAGCTATGGAGAGAGCGTTATTATCGTCCGATTCAGCCGCAGCAGAGGACGGCTGAAGAAGAGACATCGCTGTCTGTGACATATTGGAAGCAATTTCAGTATAGGTGACTGGGTCTGTTCGCCCTTCCTCCTCCGTCAGTAACACTATATTCTCTCCAAGCTGCCTGGCGAGTTCTGCAAGCTCCTTAGCTGCTTCTTCGCATTTCTCAAAGGGCTCTGCGCAGTCTCCGGTCAATGCAAGGCATCTTGATTTCAAATCATCCAAATACCGGGTAATTTTCCCAGCAACTAGTTTCCCAGTTCGAGTTTGGTTACCCAGCGCATCTATTTTTTGATATAAGAAGGGACCCTCCTCATCATCATCGCTAGGTGGCGGTAGCTTAGCCTGTAACGTGGATCTCAGTTGGGAAAAGGATAGAGCAGCATAGTCCAGGTACGTCTGCGTCATTACTGAGCGCATGTAAATTTCATCGGCGTACGATTCTAAATTGGATGGAATGAGCGTTTCGGCTAAGTGTGAAAGCAGCGCGATCGATCGTTGGAGCTCAGTCGCACATTTCTTTTCATTGAGCTCATTTTTCTTCAATCCCTCGATCCAGAAATTGAGAATGCGTTCCACGGGTTCAAGTTCGTACAAAGCACCTTCGAAAGTCGAAAATTCTTCAATAGAGCAGCTGTTAATGAAATTGATAAATCTGTCGCAAAGGGATGCGATCCATGTTAACTTCTCAAGAACCTCATATGCCGTAAACACGTCCTGACCAGCCGATGCGGATGTATGATCGGATATTCGTTCTCGTACTGTGGTGGCCATCAGAGTTGCCTTGAAACTGACTCTTTTAAAACGTAATAAGGCAAGAATCGGGTTGCGTTCGCTCTCGAAATATTCAGGAAGATAAAGTTTCATAATCTCTAAATGCTGTGCGGATTCCTCTGCGGCCATACGACCTAGTTCCACTTCTATTGTTTTCGTTTGAGCTTTAGAAACAGATGCTTGGAGCTTCATGTTCAGATCCATCATCGCTCTCGAGCGTGCGGTTAGCTCAGTTGACTCCGTTTCTGTGAGTTGTTGCGATACCCGCATATCCTCGAGGTCGCTCTGTAGATTTGTGACCAACTCTCGAAATTTAGACAAAGTATACTCCAGGTCCTCTATAACCTCGTCTTGTTGAGCCATTCTTCGTGCCTGCTCAAGGTAGACACTCTCCCTGAAATCAATTTCCTCTTGTAGTTGCTTTTCCGTCTCCATGTGATTAATTTCGAGCTCGTCATTGATTTCCTTGAGACTCTCAAGGTCTTCAATAACCGCTTTCAACTCATTCACTTGCTCTTGATACTGCATATTTTTCTCGGCCAGTTCCTCAATCATCTCTTCAGCACCAAGAGCTTCGACTTGCTGTTTAAGATCCTCCATGTTCGCCTCGGTAATCAAAAGCTGTTCCTTTGCGATCTCGTAGTTAGCTTTGATAGCAGCGAAATCCTCCAGCTCGCCTTCCAATTCTTTGATCTGATTCCGTAAGTCGGTCTCTTGCTGCTGTGTCATATCGCGGAGACGAATGAGTGCCTCGCGAAGCCTTTCGTTTGTTCGCTCCATCTGGAGCCAGCCTTGGCTTGACTTTTCCTCCGGGCTCATCACTTGGCCCAGTTCCTCATTCTCTTCTCTTAAGACTTCAACTTCTAATTCTAGCTCCTCTGCTTTCTCTTTCAGGGCTTCGAACTCGGTTTTAATGGCCTCACACATCTCCTCAGCCATTTCCCTATCAAGCGCAGCCATTTCGACAATTGATTCATGTTCAGCTTGAAGATGTTCCGCTTCTTCAACTCTTGCCATGGCATCCTTTAGCTGTTTCCGTAACTGTATAATCTCCTGTTGCTGCGGCTGGTATTTCGTTTGTAGCTTTTGAATTATCGCCTCGAATTTATCCCTTTCGGATCGCAATGTCTCCAGAGACTTCAATTTCTCCCTATCTTCCGCTCGCTTTTTCTCCATCACTCTTATCTTTGTTTTTAGATCTTCCACTTCTTTAAGCACAGGATTGGTTCCAGAGACCGATCGTTGTGCAGCCAAGGAAGCTCGAGGGGCGGAGGTCGGTTTACTTGACTCTGAGGGCGTATTCGAGGTTTCTGTATCACCCGTCTCCTCACTCATCTCGCTTGTAGCACTCCCGATTTTTCCGGCATTAGCTGTCCTAGTAGCTGTGGGTCTCAGAGAAGTCCGTTTCGCCGGACCGGTAAAGGTAGGTCGTGGTGGTTGAGAAAGAGGACGAGAAGTTTTGCCTGCTGTACCCATTACAGATTGTCGAGAACCTTTGGCAGCGGTGGGAGTAGGAGTAAGGGCCATTGAACTACGGCCGCTCAAGCTCTGTCTGGGTCTTGACGCGGCTGCGGACGGCCGCGACGCAGTAGTGGGCGGTCGCGAGGCGGTTGACAATTGTTTTGTCGGTGATTTTGTAGGGGACTATAAAACTTATTAAAACATATTCAAAAGAAACGGGATGGAGGATATATTCCCCTACCCTGAGAGCTCGACCAGGCGCCCCAGGCCTTGGGGCTGGCGAAGGGCTGGAGGTGGTTCTCTGAGTCCTAGCAGCATTCGGCCCAAGTGCACTTTGTCTTTTCGGTACGAGACCGCTACCAGGAGCACCGCTCGGCGGTCTGCTTCTCTGAGAAGCTCCATTTAGTCCTCCTTTCGGTGTCGGCTTGCGCTCCTCTCGTTTGGGTTGTTCCAAAACACTGACAACAGCAGCGGGCCTGATGAACATTCCGAAGCCATGTTCGCAGTCGAAGTATCGTTCTCCCTGGACAGATCCATCATTCTTACCCGTTGGCCCATTCAGTTCCACGCCAATCCAATCTCCAGGAGCGAAGCTGGTACTGCCGATGAAGCGGATTACAGCGTGTCGGCCATCGGATAAACAGACGAGCTGGCCAGGGGAAAGATCACCCATCTTTGAGGCGGAACTTCCAACTGTGCATCAGAAAACAAACGCAAGACGGAGATGACCCGGGACAGCAGACACGCAGCTGTTGGACGGGCTGTATGTTCCGGGAGTTGTCGTTGTTGCAGAATGTTGTCGTCTCGTCTCTAGATCCTATATTGGGCCCCTTAACAAAGTTCAGGAACCGGTTCGGTTCGCGACCTGACAAACAAGACAAACACAGCTTGGCACGGACCTGGGGGTCACAACTATCTATCTATATGTGACTTTATCTCTCAAGGAGAACAGCAACCGAGACATATCAAACTCCAAGAAAACAGCACCACACCGAGGACAGTTACTCCTGGTCCGTTCTTCAAGGCCTACTACGCAACCTTGTCAACTGTAGACTGGTTCTTCTTCCCTTTCACATACGTATGACAGATCTTGGTTCGGACCTGATGTTTCTTTCACGTCTAGAGACTGAACACGATGCCTCTACATGCAATTATTATATAACAACTGGATTTTAAACCATCTCACAACCTTCCAGGTACTACCGGGAAGGGGTTATCTATGTCTACCTAGCGGGAGTTGTGCTCAAGAACTACCTTGTTCTCCATCATTTAAACCCCTTCTACCGGGAGCAGGGTTCGACCAGATTTTCTAGTTTCAGGTACTCTACGGGTCGAGTAACATGATAGTGACAAAAAAAAGGAAGAAGAAAAAGGCCATGCTGAGGTATTATACTTCTAGCTCAAGCCCAACCCGAAATTAAACATGCCGCTACGCTGATGTATGACAACTATGGGCGGGCAACGACAAAACTTTCTGGGCGGAGGAAACAATATGACATCAGGGAATAATGTCGGTTTTTCTTTAGATCTGTGTCAGTTAACGCAGGAACCAGACACACATGGTTACAGGGCAGCCCTCTTCTCTTCTGAATCTGACCCTTGGCATGGCATTGTGTGCGCATTTCTTCAAATGCTCTACCTATCCAGCAGCAAGTGTTTCTAGCAAGGCTGCGGCGAAATATTTCACTCCGTGCAACCCTCCGAGCTTCATTACATACTAGTGTATGGGGTTTCTGTCTCGTGCCACCAGAGGAAATCCCTTTAGCTAGCTTTCAGTTATTCTATCGATGGCCAAAAAAACACCAGACATATGCATATTTCCCTCATTTTGGAAGACTACCAAGCGATACTTGTGCTATCCATAGCGTGTCCATTGCTATATCGACACGCCTGAGACGAGCTACCCACCATGCCCAACAAGGCAAAATAACACAGGATGTGGAACAACCTGTTGAAGATCCTCAGAGGGTGAAACTATCATGTCCTGGCAACAGCTTCAAGGGGAGTCAAACGCAACCCCATCCGGAGCGCCCAGAAAGTTGGTCCTTAATAGGAAGGAAATCGGCGACGGCCGTGGATTCTCTAGGAAACCCAGGGCGTTTGTACAGATTAGCATGGTGAGGAATGGAGGGTGTCGAATGACGGATGATATTATTGAAATATATGTTACAAAGTAGGGCCCCAGAGGAACTAGAGAGTCATCCGTAACCCTGGCCCATCAAAAGGAATACTAGCATCCGAAGACGCCGGCAGAGGGGCGTGCAGGCATCGCGAAAAGAAATTCATGGATGCCTTTTCATGGATGGATTTTGTCCCGTTGAGCCTCTTGGATGCACATCTCGAGAGGAACTACTCCGTACCCCGTAAAAGTTGTGCAGATGAGCATCCCCAGAACTCTTGGGGATTTACGCTAATGATGCAACCCGGCGTTGACGGCCCCTGGCAGCCAAATATTATTCCATCGGCATGTCGGCGGCTTTGTTGTCCTGTGGCTGAATCAACTTTCCCGCTAAATTCTCGTATCAGCAATGTACAAGAAGCCAACAGGAGCGAAGATCTCACGCGTTTGCTGCTTCATAAACTCTCCCAAAACCATCCAGCCAAAGTAAAAGACGACGAAGTGGAGAGAGATTGCCATAGAACGAAAGTGTCGAATCGTGAATGATCCATCATAACATCACTGCCCCTTTACCCCTCACGACTGGACTCAACATTTCGTCTTCCGGGCACACGGGGGTCCTAAACCGAAGAACCAGAACAAAATGACACGGTACTATCGAGCTCTCTGTCTCCAAATGCAGCCATTCGGTATTTCAAATCGTGCCGCTGTCTGGATGACAACGTCCCATCTCTGTCTCAATCTGCCAACCTCGACCTCGACTCCGCCACGTTTTCAGGCATCCAGGAATTCCCGTTCTGTTTCCTTCAGAGCCCTGAATCGAACCAACCCTTCTGAGTCTGCTTCAACAGCATCGAAAAATTGTAGGCAGCAGCAAAATGGGCCGTGTGCAATTCCCCCGGCAAATCGTGCTTTCTCGGCGCCGAGCAAGGTCGGCAGAATTTGTACGTGAGCTCCGACATCTGCACCAATCATCCAGCACCAGACATCAAATCGGCCAGTTCTCGACCCAACACCCGCGAGACAGATCCAGGCGTTGGCTGGATTAAAAGTCCATGATGCGCTTGAATAGCTTTGAGAAATAAATATCGAGACGCATTTCTCGCGTGCAAATATATGTCCTGTTAATATGTCTGTTCGAAAGTCTCAACTTCGAATAACAAGACATTGAAAATTCTTAATCCCATCTTTTGGCCTCCCTTGCTTACCACTTGGATATTTAATTCATTTTTATAGCTTTATTCAAGCTCAGTTATTGATTGTTTGAATTAATTTTTGCTAGACGACCCAAACATGGCAAAACCATGGGCAGATACACCGATGAGCCTGATTTCAGAAACTGGCTACAAGGAACGCTCTGATATACCCCCTGGCCACTTTGCCATTACCGCTGCGCAAAACATGGCCAACCTACACAACGTGATCATCCGCGGCTTCAACGCTTCGTATAACCAGTGCCTCGCCGTGAAACTGGACACTGTCGACGCGAGCGATTTCCTCCTATATAACCGCGGTTTATATAAAAGCATCAAAACTCACCACGATGTGGAAGAGGAGATCTCATTCCCGAGCCTGGTAAAGTTGACGGGGGTCCAAGATATCATGGACCAGAATATACAGGAACACAAGGACTTTGATGAAGGCCTTGAGATGTTCCGCAAATTTGTTTTCGAGACGGATGCCAAATCGTACGATGGCAAGAGATTACAGGAGATCATGGATATTATGTTTCCGGTGCTTCATAAACATCTGGTCGGAGAGATCCGGACGCTTCTTGATCTTGCGAAATATGACTCAAAAAAGTTGGAGGAATGGTGGAGCGATACTGGGAAGAAAGCGCAGAAGGATCTTGACGTATTCCAGTATGCAGATTCCTTTATTTTCCGCCCCTCTCTTATGATATGAATATCCCTTTCGGTCTTTTATCCCGATGTTGATTTTCTGATTTAACAGAGACGCACCCCTGATGCTCGGCTGCATCGATTCCACATTCAAAATGGACGGGGACTCTCGGCTTTTCCCCCCGATCCCAGCCCCGATTAAGTACTTGTCGAAGTATATTCTCGAATGGCGATACTCGGGTAGATGGCGCTTCAACCCGTGTGATACATTTGGGAACCCGAGGCCCCTAGCGTTTCCCAATCCCGGAGGCTCTAAACTATAGAGTATCACCCAATCTGCTGTTCTTTTTCTTTCATTTCTCCCTGGATGAAGAGGTAGCTTTTTGATCCATAAACTTTTTCTATTATGTATAATCTCACGAGTTTTGCTCTTTTCTCTTTCGTTGGGCCCCTTTAGCCCAGGGCGTTGCTTGCGTTTTTACTTGGGAACGTATATATAATTTCTTGTTATTAGCCAATACCCTGTTTTTTATCTGAACAGTCTCCTGTCATTCCGAACTACACCATACTCACGAGCATAAATTATAGCTATTCGGTCACTCTAGAAAGTGCCAATATGCATCGCGCAAATTGAGCTTTTTTTAATAAATGCATATCTATAAAGTTTGATAACATAACCATAAAAGTCTACAAGACCGTATATTTAAACCAAACACGCCCGAATGCATAAATCTTCCTTAAGCCGCTGAATTCCTCGACTTGAAAAATTGCGGGAAGAGGTCCCGAAGCTTCTCGAGACGACGAATCTGATACTTCGACGCTGGCACCTCTGGTGGAGTAAGATGTGGCTCCACAAAATGCACCGTTTCCCAACCACGTGCCTGGGCACTTCTGCAGTTCAGGGCGGAATCATCTGTCGCAGAAGTTAGAGGGAAATTTTTTTTTTTTTTTCAGAAAAGGGATACTTTGTTGCAGGGCACAAAATCTGATATATCTATTAAAACTCACCAATGAAAAAACACCCTTCCGCCACCGTCGCCCCCGCCTCCCTCTCCGCCTTCTCAAACATGGACGCCTCAGGCTTACAAACCAGCTTCGGCGCCGCATAATCGCAAAAGGTAAGCCCTTCAAATAAATCTTCCACGCCCAGCAGCCTCACAACCCTCTTGCCATGGGTGCAATACGCATTTGTGAACAGCCACAGCTTCACCTTGGAGCTGTCGAAGTCCAGCAGGAGGGAGCGCAGCTGCGGATCCGGTTTTAGGATTGAGTCGAGCGGCAAGGCGTCGTCGACTTTGCTGTTGAATTCTAGCGGGTTTATCTTGTGGTGTCTGGTTAGGCCTTCGATCGCGAGGCCGTATTCCCTGTAGTACTTCTGGTGAAGCATGACAGCATCTTGAGGGTCGAGGGAGAGGTGCTTGGCGAAGAAGTCGTCTGTTTTTTTGTTTTGTTTTGGGGGGGAGAGGGTTATTATTATGGTAATATTTGGTAACGAGCAGGCATGAAACGCATACCAATGAGTTCTTGCATCAAGTCGTGAATTCTATTGCCTGGTTGGTTTTTAGTATGGTTATTCGAATATTAGAAGTATCCCTTTTCAGGAAGGTCGCAGCGCAGACATACTTCTAGAGTAGAGCTATCACGGGCAATATGCGTATATCGTTAGTTAATGTCCGCAATCTCATAATAAAACCAAGGTATGTGTCCAGTGATGTTCCATTCAAACTACCAGTTTAATGTTTCATACATACACAGTTATCAATATCGAAAAAGAATACAGGCCGTGAGTCGTGAGACGTTATGCTTGGTTCAGGCTTTATGCTATTCTCGAGGGTTTTCTCTTGTAGCGCCATACTGGCAACAGGTCCTCTATTGCAGAAGACCTAATGGATGTCCCTTTATTTATTTTGTATACTTGTTCCAAAAACGATATCCACGGGCGTTAAGGAGCATTGGAGAATGTCGTCATTCAAAAACAGCTTGGACTGCCCGCCCTTTCTGTTAAGCGCTAGAAGTAGTTAGTGCCACGTGAGATGGGTGGTAGTTAATGGATAACTCCATGCTTAGATAAAAGTAAAGTCGATACATAGTAACTACTTATCATCATAAACTTCGTTCCCAACACAGGCAACTTAAAAGTCATATATATAATAACTAGAGGTATGCGGAAGTATGGGCCTGGATAAACGATATTCCGGTACTCTGGTTGCTGGTTAAACCAGTTGTGCATTGTATCCCTTGAGAAATGAATATATTTCTAATCGCTCAGGACAACTAACCAGGCCTAGAGTCCAACCTTGGAACTCTGTAAGAGAGAGTTGTAGGTGGGTTGGTTATTTATATGTTGCGCTTCGTGCCAGAAAGCGAAGCCTGTCTTGGTTGAAACATGATCGATAGGTATATCGGGCTTGCGTAGGAGCTTCCAACAAACTTCTCTCATAACTTGCATGTAACTTGTTGATAGTTGCTCCGGCTACTGCAAAAAGTGTCCACATTAATAGAAAACCTTGCTAGCTAGATTATAATAAAATACTAGACATATCCCTCCCTCCTCCATGACTTATTACGTTATCCCTGAGCCCGGCTTACATAATGCCCATGGCTGGCTCTGGCACGCTAAGCCCCAAACGGCCTAATGCAGGTCCGTGGCGGCTTCCGTAGCAAGGTAAGCGGTAAGCGAGGAGGATAAATCTTCCTTAATAACTCTCTAACCTCGACGCTGGGACTAACAACAGCAGAGCAGGCCATTCTCATCTCTTCTCATCAGGGTTGTCTGCTTCACACTCAGCGGGAATGCATGCAGTTGTAGGGTTGCCATAATATTTCTGAGACTTGCCTTTGGGGATAGAGTCACATCTGGTGTGGAATTATCGTCATGGTTGCAGCTGAGAGTGTTATGGCCCCGATAAATGGCCATCGTGGCCATCAGCCAGACCTGAGGGAGATGCTAGAGTACGAGAAAATCGTGAATTTGCACGACCAGATATTCTCTGGACATCACCCAAGATTAAAAGTTCCCCAGCATGTCATCCGCAAAGTTACCCCCCGATCTGTCCAGACCCCTCCACTCCCTGGTCTTCATCCAATGCCTCCTGAGCCTCCAGCGGCTCCGCAGGCAAAACCGTATCCCCCTTCTTCCAGCACACAGCCCAACGCAATGGCATTGGCGAATGGCTCTGCTGCTAATACTGCTGCTGCTGCTGCTGCTATTGCTCCTATTCCTTCGGAGGCGGTTGCCCCCTCCAGTCATAGTGGCCCCAGTGGCCCTCTAACTACTCAAAAACCAGTGTCTGAAATTGACCCTATATTCCTTACCAAGTCTGACGACCTGATTAGAGCCGAAATACAACTCCAACGTCAGCGGGTTGAGCGTACATTACGTGACCAGCTGGAGCAGAAGAAGATTGAGTACAGAAGAAAGACGTGTCTCCAAGAATCAAAACCTGACTTCGATGTTTCGGAAGTCTTGAGGGAGGCATTGCAACTTGTTAAGCCTATTTCAACAACTGATATGGATGGGGCTAATGCAAACACCGCAGCCAGTGATTCCTTTGAGGACAATTCGTTTTACTCGAGCAAAGCCCCCGATTCCCCTCAAGTTAGCGACCAGAATCAGCAGTCATCCCCCGTCCAACCAGAACCGGCTCGCCCGGTGGAAGCTGATGAAGTTCCTTATGAAGGCCATGTAGACCGGCAGCATGTTGATAGCGATCGCGACATGATGGATGTGGAGATGCAGGAACCGTATAATGTTGCTGCCAAACGTGGACCATTGTCGAGGAGCCCAGAAAACCTAACCCCTCGTCGCCCCAGTCCTAGCCGATACTCCGCCCGAGAGCAGCCTGATATGTATGATGAACCAGAATACTCCCCACCGGGTCCAGATATTCCTTCAGGTGGTCGGAGAGACGAAGAGGGAGAGTATATTCAAGAACCAGAACCAGATATAAACTATAGAAGGAGAAGCTATGGCAGGCCAGTGGACCGTGGTCAAGATACACGACGTATCACGCCACCAGGCCATGATATTAGGATCGCCAGGAATCATATAACATCTCCAGCTGCTCCCCAGCCCTCGAGAGTCTCGCCGCTTGCTGTAACAAAGGTGCCGTCGCTTCCCCAAAGTCGACAACAGCGGCACCCGCGCCCGATTGATAAAGTAGCCACGACCCAAGGATCTGGACGTACAAGCCCCGAAGTTGCTCCACAGCCGATACACTCCCGAAAGCGCCGACGTGTCCAGGAGAATAGGGATAGACCTCGTGCTCGTGTTGCCAATGAAGGAAGGGTGGCAGATTCCCCCGATCAACCTTACATCAAGCCCGAGCCAATTTCTCCTGTCCCATTTTCCGACTTGCCACTTGCTAGCTCATCAAGACAACGGCGACACCCCGAAAGGGCTGCTTATGTTGATATTTCCTCTCCACGATATTCCCCTGTGGAGAATCGTCGGGAGAGTGGACAAAGATACGAGGAACATGCAGATAGAGGCTATGATATTGGACACCCTATTGATCTGAGTATCCCGCGGTCTGCGTCCAGAGTTACTTACAGGAAACCTGCCCGCGATGACCAAAATCTACGTCGTGTTGCAAGCTTACAAAGTGCTAGGCAACCTGAATATATGCATGATTATTTAGAGTCGCCCGTTGACTACCAACCACGACTCGTACGGGCCACTTCCTATGCCGTAACCGACCGCCAGCCAGAAAGGGTTAAGTATTATGAAGAACCTGGGCAACAGTACAGCAGACGATATATCACGGGGGACGTCTCTCCTCCCCCGCCATCAAGGTTCCGTGGACCTTATCCAGAGATGGAGCCTGAGCCCCGTGTTATGGCCCCGCCTCAACGCCGTGTCGTCGTTGACGCTGACGGAAATCGATATATTGAACAAATAGCAACTCCCGCCCCAAGGCTCCAACCGATGTCTACTCCATCGGCCAGATTCTCAAGGATGGAGTTGTACGAGGGCCCTCCCCGCATGGCAACTGGTAGCGTCCGTGCCGCTTCCGTAATGGAGGAACCCTATCGTGACCGCCGCTACGCCCAAGACATGCCGCCCCCATCTGTAACCTATCGACGGGCGCCAGCGCCAGAATACCCGCGCGAAGTCGTTCGTGAGCGGCCTGCCTACCCCCGTGAGGTCGACGAGCGAGGACTCATCGATTACGCCCCGCCTCCTCGGCATGCAACCTATTTCGAGGAACCCTTGCCCCGGGAAGATATGGTGAGGATGTCCAGCGTTCGGCCCCAGCCGTCACGGTACGAGGAACCCGTACGCCAACCACTGCAGCGCATGCAGAGTGTCAGGCCCAGCGGGCGTGAGATAAGTGTATATGTGGATGATGAGTCCCGTCCTCGTCGGGAATATGCACCCGTTGAGCGGGTTGGGTATGCGGCTGCTCGACCTATGAGGGAGGAGCAGTATTATGATGATTAGGAGGCAGGGAGATCGGAGATGGAGGGAGTGCAGGGTGTGATGTACAGCGGGTCCCGCGGTGTTACCAACTGAGGATTTTCTTCGTTCTTTCGTATATACTGATATTTTTATTTGAGCGTGCGCGCGTTGATGAGTTCTTGTTGGGGTTTGTCCGGTGGTGTTATGGGGGGTATATGTTCGTGTCAGTAACGCATATATGGGAGAGTGGGATTTAAACGATCTTTTACCTGGCAAGCGGGCGGGCCTTCTACATCGGTTATTATTTGATTTATTGAAAGCTTGATTGCATTACGGTTTCCTGGTAATATTTTTGAAATGGCTCTACCGGACATTCTATTTTTCGTATTAAAGTTACTTTTAACATTTTTTACCCTGTAACTCTTCTATAGTTACATGGTCGTGGACAATATTATCATTAACACTTACATTAGTTACCTATAAAGAAGATGCCTAGAGTTGAATTATATTTTCTTCGGCATTTTTGAACTGGTACAGATTCACATTCCGCCCCTTTGCTTTAAATCACCATGCAAAATTTCTTTTTTTCTCCTTCAAGCACTGAGGACGAGGACACCCTTTTTCCCCCATAAACTTCTAGTACTCTTATAGAGGTTGCTCGGGCTTATTATTCGGCAGTCCCTCACCTTCCCCACCTGGAGAATCCCATCCCTCCATCTCAACCAGACGGCAGAGCGAGGAAGCCGTGTGGACAAGCAAAATGAGCCAAGCGGGGACGGTGGGAACGGGAAGCCCAAACATCCCGGCAGCTAGCAGCGTAGCAGAATCAGTCAGCATATGGGCTGTTGCTACTCCGTAGTTTCGACTCTTTCATGGCTCTCGGTCGCGATCCAGCTGTGGAGAGCAGAACTTGCCCTGAAGAAATGTTGTTCCCGTCGAGGATCCGCGACCGAGCCCGGGTCCCTCCTTCAAGGCTTCATTCAACCTACCAACCACATACCATACCGTGGAGGCGCGGGCGGAGAGTCTGAAGCGGGTTCAAATTATGCGGAGCCTCGCGAGCAGCTAGATCAGATCAGCTACTCCGTAGATCAACGGGGAATGCGGTTAACACATCCGAGATGGGTCTGTCAGCCCCGCTACAGATTACTTTCTCCGTTGGCCATGGAAGGATAAAGGCCCCATGGAATCCCCCCAGAAGCAGAGGGACAACTCATCGCTGCGCATAATTGCCGAAAACAGGACATTGCAACGTTCACAGACACATCAATTTACCGCTTAATTAATAACCCCTCGTCGCGTCCAATCATGAGTGCTACAGAACCAGCGGTAGTGGAAACTTCAACACCCGCGCCAGTCAACGGTGTCGGAGCAGATTCCGTTGTAGAGGTCGACGACGCAGACGATGCAGGCTTCGCCTATGGCGATGATGACTCTGATTCTGCCGTGAGCGCTTCGATAACATCCTCCATCGTCAACTATGAATACGCCAATGGCAGACGATACGCCGGTTATCGACGGGGCGAGTATCTCCTTCCCAACGATGAAACAGAGCAGGATCGCCTAGATCTGCTCCACCATGTCTTTCTTCTCCTAAACGATGGAAAACTCCTACGCGCACCCATCGGCCCCATCCCCCAAAGAGCTCTAGATATTGGAACCAGCACGGGAATCTGGGCACTAGCCATAGGGGAAGAACGTAGGGTTAATTTACGGTGATTACACTGTGGATCCACCATTCCACCCGTGTCACGTGTCGCTGATCGTAACACATGTTCCACCATTATATTCAGTGACATGTCGCTGAATATTAAATGTCAAGATGGTGTTGAAATGGCACAGGACTTCTTGACATCATTGGAGGACAGCTCAGTCACCATGTAATCAGCAGATGCCACAATCAAGATACTACTGAGATACTGTGAGCCACAATATACTGTCCTATCAGTGAAATCAATACTTGTATACTATTCAGCTAGACTAGTTAACTACTTCATACAAATCAAATTACTATCTAAAGAAATGAGACATCTCAAGTGTAATGTAAATATCTTATTGTCTGAGATTCATATATTAAATAATCATCATTTTCATCAGTATTCAGTATTGAAATGTCATATAATACTGTCTTTTAAACTGCTGAAAGTCTGATAATAGTATAACTATCAGAATTCTCTTATAAAATCAGCAGATTCAGCAGATAATTCTGCTCAACATAATATAGAGAAGTAAGTGTAAAGAAAATTCACTTAATTCTTCTCATTTCATGAATAAAGATAGTTATAATTCAGTCAAGATCAGCTCTCTGATATTGAAGAATATTTCTCTTCATAAGAGAGATTCAGTGAATGCACTCTCTGATTTATATATTAATAAGTCAATAACTGATTGATTGATTAGTTGAAGAGATATACTGAACTGAGAATGTTAACTTATTATAGAAAAGAATTGAATGATAATCTAGTTTCAAAACTGAGAACTTATTTCAATCAGTATCATAGAATTCTCACAGATTATTAAGAAATAAATGAAGTAATTCAAGCTTGAAGAGATTTATAAATTATATACTGACTTTCTCTGACATCTTGCTTAATAATAGATAACTAAAAATCTTTGAGATAATATAATCTTTTGTTGACTCTAACTTAATAGAGTAGTTCAGTGAATCATCATTATTATCTAATTCTTTATTTATTCTCAGAAGATTATTGAACAGTGCTGAATAAACTGTATATAGCTGTTGAATCTTCTGCATCAGATGTAAGTCAGATCTGTTAAAAGAATCTCTTAATACTAGTTATAAGATGTAGCAAAAGCTCTTCTGCAAGAGTAGTATCTTCTTCACATTTTAATAATTTATTCACTACATTAGATTCTTATAGTCTTGATACTTATTCTTCTCTGTCAGAATATTGCAGTTATTAGATACAGTGTATTCTTTAATCAGCTTAATATAGTGTAAATTAATATGTATATTCAGCTGACTCTTTATATATTATATAAGCTTTGCTTTTTTAATATAATCACTGATATATGTAGTAACTGTGCTCATTGTTGAAGCAGAGAATGACTGATAACTAACAACTGAATCAGCTTGAAATAATTTAAATGTTACTGCTGCTCTTATCACAGCTTCAATAAGAAATTATAGCTATTGACAGACTGTAAGTATGATTTGATAAGTCACTTCAGAATCATTTTCTCTCAGAGATTGAAATATTAATAGACTATTACTTCTTATAATAACTGCATATATCTGAATAATAAGATTAATAGATGATTGATTTAATGCTGAAAATGCTGCAGAAATAATCTGCTTAATCACTGAACTGAGTCATTTCTCTCTAAGCTCACACTGCAAGATAAGAGATATAATGATTAAAGCTCAAGCATGTTCTTGAAGCTGATACTTCTTGAGATAAGTGATCAGCAACTGTAGATGATTTCAACTACAAGAAAAAGAAAATGTCTGCAATATTCAGAAGTATTTTAGCTGATTATATGATGATAAGACAGTACTGATTAGTAATAAGTATGAAATCTCTGATATATCAGTAAACTCACTATGATATGAATCAGAAGAAAAAAAGAAGATCAAATTCAAACTTAAGTATATTTGAAAAAGAGACACTGTCTGTGCTGTTATATTCTGCTCTTAACACATTTACTCTCTGTGTGTGAGATTCAGTAGATCATTCAGTTTAGACTAAAGATATTGTATATAATAATGAAATCAGCTGTTATTGTATAGATCATAGTTCAGATTCAGCTGATTTTTATTATTAATAAAGCAGCTTCAATATAATCTTCTTATAGTTGATTCTTTGATCTCTGCATTGCTATTTTACTGCAGCATATCTTCAAGAAATGCAATACAAGATGCAACAATTCTCATCTTTTCTTCACTAATATTCATCATAACTCTCTCACAATTCAATATAGATAAGTCATACAACAATGCAGTAACAGTGTTAGAAAAATTAATACTATAAGAATCAAAGATTAGAATAAAAATATTGTTTCACTTCAAGTGCTCAACAGTACTCAGTGCAGAAATTATATAAAAACTTATCAAGCTTCAGTACATGTTCTGATATAAATTAAATTCATTAATAAATAATTGATATAACAGAGAAATAACTTGTATATCAGAGTAAAATATACTTTTCAAAAGATCTCAATCATGTACTGCAATTTTCAACTCAGTCTGAATCAGTAAAGATTTGCAATATGATTATATCTCAACAACTTCAGTTTTAATTCTCATGACTCAGTGAAGAAAATACTGACCTTGACTCTCATATATCAGCAGATCAGAACCTGATTCAAATGCTATATTCATATAAACATCAAGTTGATTAAGAACTTGAATAATTGAGATATATTTCATCTCATTCTTCATTGTGATTATTTTGAAGAGACTAAATAATGAATTCAAGAACAGTAATCTTTGTGCAGTCTGCAGAGTATAATGAACAGCTTCTTAAACTTTCAGAACTATTATATGAGATCTCATGTCTGAATGTTAATGATCATGTTCAATAAAATGCACTCTTTCAATATAAGATATATCATTCAACTCTGATTTGCAGTAGCATTCAAGATTCTCACACTGATACTGAATAAAATTAAAAGGAAAAAGAGGTTTATTTATTGATGAATATCATATAAAGTTGCTGAAACAATATTTGACAGAGCTCTCTCAACTGTGAGATTGCTATAACTCTGTGAAATTGTTGATAATTTCTACCATTTCTATATACATTTGTCACTGAAAAGTTGAGGATTTGAGAAGAGCAGATATTAAGAGAATTGAATTTTAAAAGTAGAGTGATCTCATGAAGAATTTGACAAGATTTTTCTAAGCAGAACTCAGAGTTGACATTTGTATTGATAATACTATTGAAATTGAGATTTTCTTAACTGATAAAATCAGAAATTGTGCTCTGTATTGCTTTTTCAGAGTTGATAGATCTTCAGAGAGCAGACTTATCAGCAATGTATTCTTCAATAAACACAGAATTTACAGTAGTGATTTGTAGTTTTTTCAGAAAATATCTGACTCTTCAGCTCAGAGTTTCATTGTCAGAACAAATGAATTCATTTCAAAGTTACTACATTTATAAGATATATCAATTACTGAATCAGAATCAATAAATTAATCAGTAATAGTAACAGCAATTATATCAGCAGCTGGTATTTCAATATCATCAGTAACTGACTCATCAGAATTCTCTTGATCATCATTTTCAGAAATATTCTCCTCAGCAGCTGCTTTCAAAAGCCACTCAATATACTTAACATTATCAGCAGCATCCTCATTATATGACTCTGTCTTTAGAGAATGTTAGTTTTTATAATAATAGAGACATCAAAAGTGATAAACTTACTGAGAATAGCAATGCTTCTTCACTGAAAGCATCATTGTCTGAATCACTGTTGATAAAATCTTCATTTGCAGTTTTCAGAAAAGAGAGACTCTGATGTTGAAATTTCAATTGATCATCTCTGAATTCTTGTCTAGAGACAGATAGCAGATAGTGTTTCAGATTTTAATTAAACAGATATGACATTTTACTTTCTGATATGATTTGTAGAAAAAAGTTGCATAGTTGAAAAGATATGAATGAAGTGAATGAGTGATCTTGATAAAATAAAGAGATAAGATTGAATTATCAAAAAGAGATATATCAATAAGAGTTATAATCAGCAACAAACATTATCTTAATATTAATAATCATACTTTCTTTGTTATATTCCTGCAAGTAGCTGATTATTTTATCAGAATACTATCAAAATTCTATCAAAATCCTGAAAATAAGCATGATCATAGATCTCAGTTTAATAGATCTCTCTGAACTCTCTCATCTGATAGGTTTACTGAGACAAATCACTGATTTCAAAAGAAATCATATATTGATATATCTGTATTATAGAATGAACATAATGACATTAATGAAGAATATCAGACAGATAAGAAATCAAACTCATCTCTGACATTCAGTGATCTGTTGAAGAGACATCACTGAATTCAGCACTCAGATGCAGAAGTGTATGAGAAGGAAATTCAGCTGATAGAATAAAAGCTCTGTGTTGAAATCAGATGAATGTATTTTCTTACATTCTCAAAGAACAATCTGAACAAGACAGTTGCAGAGATGATGAAAACAAAGAATAAAATCTCATATATATTCTCATCAAGCTGAATTACAATGCTTGATGCAATAAAGACATGAAAGTCAAGAATATTGAAAGAAATGAAGACAAGTATTTCCAGTATTTCAGATCTTAGCAAAAATCTCAACTTTTTAGCAGAATATATCAAGCCTCTGATGAGATATCTTGATCTTTCAGTGAGAAATCTTAGACAAATCTAAACTTTTCAGTAAGATATCAAAACTTATCTGATTAACTTAACTAATCATTTATTGATATAGAATCATATTCAATGAGAGAAGGTAAAAAGCAGAGAAAGTTCAGTGATAATTGAATTATATAACTGCTATGAAGAGTTGACAATCTTTGACTATTTTTGTAATTCATTTATTACTGAAAAGTTCTTCTTGGTTTTTTACTGAGTGTGAGAAATCATTGACTTTGATCAATTCTCTGAGTGAGAACAATGATATATGAAATGTAAGTTAACATCAGTTTGAAAAACATCAGACTGAGAAATAAGAAACTGATTCTGAAAAATAGAGATATATATAAATCTGACAACTCAAGTCAAAATATTTGATGATACTGATATAAATGAAAATTCCATCAAAGCTATACTGTAATGATAAGATATTCTGATATTTTGAAATCTTATAAGTGATATTTCTGAATATCAATAAATTGTCAGAGATGATTTTGCAGAGACAATTCAGAATACTCTGACAGTCAAAAAAAGACATATGATGAAAGATGTATAAGAGAAGATGTGAAAAAAGATAAAATTTTCAGATGCACTTTCAGTAAAAGACAGATCTGTGATATAGAGTGTTCAGTAACACAGAGAGTTCTGATATAACTTATTTCTATTTCAATATATTTAGTTTTCTATGAGTTTTATATATAAATTAGTTAATATATACTTTAATATATATAATTAGAATATATCTGTCTTAATATTCACTGATGAAAATTGTCATATTCTCTAAAATTTGTATGATTATAACTGTAGCAGAATCACTAATTTCACTGTACTAGAAAATCTTCTTATTCATCTGAAATTCTGTAGATATATTTCTGACAGTATATTAAACACTTGTTTCTGATTAATAGAAATGATTTTATATTCAAAATAGCTGTAGTTCATTCAATGATAGCTCACACAGAAAGTATTTATTCTGAAAATAAGATATGAATGAAATCTGTCAGATGTATTGATTAATTATGTTCAGAAGTCTTCTGAAATATGAAAGTATTACAAAAGAATTAACAACATATATAAAGAGAATGTCAACTTATTATTCTTCTTTTCTTTTCTTTCTTCTTTCTTCTTACAATCATATCACAATACAAATATTGATTTATCAGTTTATTCAGCTCACTCAGTCTTTCTTCATCTTCAGTAAGATTAGTATTCTGTCAGTTGCAATAGAAAGCTTTAAGAATCAAAAGTTCTAATATAAGATACTGTGTGTGCACAGTATAGCAAGAATATCAGTAAATTATTATATCAGTATTAATAACAGCATCAACAACAGCATTAATAACAGTATTAACAACAGCATTAATAACAGTATTAATAACAGTAATAACAACAACAACAGCAGTACAAATAATCAGTGATACTCTTAAGCATATATATACAGCAGCTGTAAAAGTATAAGAGAAAGAAACAGCAATCAGACTGAAAACTCTTAATCAGTCAGATAAGTTAATAATGTATAAATATTACATCTTATATATCTTTCTCTGTTATATTGATACTGTTTGTGACAAAGTTGAAGAAAGCATAAAGCCATGTTCAAACTGCAATCATGAAAAGAAAGATTGTGTGATATGTCTCAATAAATTCAAAGATGAAATCAAAAATCTAGTCTGAATTCATGAGTTTTATCTTACTGTCTTAACAGTTATGAAGAAATCAGTCAAGTCAGTCATGCTGAAGATAGTAAAGAATTTATTCAAGTAAATCAAGAAAGCAAAGACATGCTGGCAGAAAGCAGAAAATTAAAAAATGAAGAGTGTAGCTATCACATTGAAAGTCTTGAATACATCTATCAGTCTCACTGAAAAAGTCAAACTTGAAATTAAGAAGATTAAGTTGAATATTGAAAGAGTTAAATTGAAGATTGAAAAGAAGAAAATCACTATGAAGAAGAAGAAAATTATCATTGAAAAGATAAAATTGAATATTGAAAACACAAAGCTTGCTGTTCAGTGAGAGATCTTGAGATCAGTTAATAATTATTATAAGAATTAAAAAGTAATAATGAAGAATCTCACAAACTTAATCAACAGTGTCAGAGAGAAAGTGCAGCACATTTTCATTGAAATATATGAAATAATAAACTGATTTGAAATAATTATCAAACTTCTCAGTAATACAGTCAATGAGAGCAGTAGTAATAAGAAATCTATTAATAGTGATAATTCTCTTTCTCTCTCTACAACTCTCACTGATCTCTCTATTATCACTGCTAATTCTTCTCTTCTCTTCTTCTTCAATCTTCTGACTCTGATGAGTGTTCTGAGTTCTCAGACTTATGAAACAATCACTGAAACAGTAAGCTAGAGTCAGTGAAATGATTCTCAGATTTATTCAGAGATTAATAATTGTATAGACTTTCAAACACTCAGCATCTGATCACTCTGAAATCTCAACTCTCAAATATCAGATGACTGATGACAGTGTCTCTCAGATCATGACTAATTCATAAACCTCAATTCACAAGTTCAGTAATGTGATCAATGAGAGTAATATGACTGAGAATGAAGACTATGAAAGAAACTTGATTCAGTTGATTCAGAAGAATTTAGATAGAAGTATTCATAATTTTCAATAGAGAATAATATCAGTGAATGAGACAGTTTTAAGAATTAGTGATTATATAGATTAGATTCAGTGACATCACTAATATGATAATTGATTTTTTCAGTTTATCACTTATTTACAGTGATTCCATCATTCATTCATCATTATACTATGATTTACAGCTCAGCGACCGTGTCGCCGATTGAAATGGTGGAACAACCATAATCCGGTCGTGTAATAACCCTACGTTCTTCCCGTATGGAGATTTTGCGGACCACTATCCCTCCTCCGAGGTTATTGGGTTGGATTTAAGTCCCATCTAGCCTAGCTGGGTGCCACCTAACATCAAATTCTATGTTGACGATGTGGAGAAGGACTGGACATATGGGCCTGATGAGGCATTCGACGTTATCCATGCACGGCAGATGGGAGGCAGTATCAGCGACTAGAAGAAGTTGGCTAAATCATGCTTTGACAATTTGAAACCGGGGGGTTGGATAGAGCTGCAGGAGCCGGAGACGCTGATTACATCTGACGATGACACGGCCAGCAAGGCGACGGCATCTAATGAATTTCTGGATCTGTCCAATAAGGCAGCGGTCCAGTTTGGAAAGGAGCTTAATATGGGCCGGAAGTACAAGCAGCATCTGATTGATGCGGGCTCTGTGGATGTCAGGGACAAGGCATTCATTTGTTCCATCCAAATGTTCTCGAATACGTTTTGTCCCCCCCTATTTTCTCTCTCTCTCTCTCTTTTTTCTTTTTTGTAGGTAAACTTCATACTCACACTCTTACAGACACCAATTGGCCCCTGGGCCAAAGATCCCAAACTAAAGGAAGTCGGCCGATACTTCCTCGAGCATTGCCTGTTAGGCGTCGATGCCTACGTCCTGGGTTTCATCGGCAAGCTCCTTGGGTGGATTGAGTCTGATTATTATTTTCTTTTTCTTTTTCTTTTTCTTGACTTATACGTACTTGGTGGCCAACCTGGCCCATTTTGTCTGTCACGCGTCCCACATTCTAGAGATAGATTGATTATAGTAAATAACACAACATGAATGAAGCCCTTCCCCAAGGGTCTATCTATCATTTCCATAATTTCTGTTCAAAGCCACCCAGGTCCTTATGCTTCTTTTACAGCCTTTGAAGTTTAGGAAGAGCAAATTCTATGGGCCATTTGCCTCTTGCTCCCATCCATGCTTTCTTATACGTGCATAGGTATCTCGTGCCCCGTTACCCATTTCGGCGCTGGGTTGTTTTTTTTTGGCTAGTAACTAACTACGTACGTGTTTCCTCCCCCATCTGCTCTTCCCAGTCCAACTTTCCTTCACCCAGTGTGTAGGAGAACAACTCGTCACCATATTTTTGAGAGTAAAGTGATTTTAAATATCTCCTAAGCAAGTATAAAAAACATACATGTAAACTCCCACGAGCATCCGGCAAACCAGGCTATCTATGTAAATCACCCACAAGTTTTCAATGCCATTACATGGCATTCCCGCCTTTCTTGTGTGTACCTGCATTAAATCATTTGCGTGCCAGGGAACTCGCAATCGTCATGCATTATTAACAATTAACTCGCTCATTCATATCCTGATCAAGATTCTTTCTATCACAGACTGGGATTTGTGTCGAAGATTGACTACTTTGGATAATCGATTGCCTCCCCAGCAATATATATTGGTGCATATTACACATGTATTATGCATGACTCTTCACATTTCAAACTTCTTCACAGGTCAAATTTAGATCACTGAAGCTGACTTTAGAAAGGGTTCAAGAACTTATATATATATCTTCGGGAGGGGAGGGAGGTGGGAAGGAGCTCTTCTCCCACATGAGAGATAAATACATATGTCCCACCTACTCATATACTAGTAGAGGTCAGTATACTCAGAGGCATGATTCAGTACAAGAGGGCTGCTTTGACTCATTAGTGTGCATTCATTGTATGAGGTCCATATTATTAAGTAAGGCAAAAGTATAGCTAGTTCAAACCTTCGTATGATTGCCCAGGCCAGACACGGAATAGTTAACTACAGCTCTTCTTGGGGATTTACGGAATTTCGTCATTGTTCATTTAGCTTCTCCACTGCCTGCCCAGAGGGTTTTCGGACAACCGGCAATAAAGTTTAAGATCAATTTTTGCTTCTCCCACCCGACTTCGCCGTGTGGCTCCGAGAGGATAATAGGAGATATGGGGGGGAATCCAGGATCCATGGGTTCAAGCAAGGGCCAACTGGCTAATAAGAGATGGAGATGGAGAGAGCTGGTCTGGTGTTGGGGCAAAATCTCACCAGGAGAGCTCACCTTGGACAGGGATTGAGATTTAAGGCACAGCCATGGATTTGTTAAGCTCGTCGACGATAGATAGGTTCTTTTCTGAGGTACTTGGAGATGATGATAACTAGAGGAGAATAGTTAGTAATATCATCATAGTAACTATCATGATGATAATGATGAATGAGTATGACGATGACACAGTTTCAGTGGAAATGGTACTTGCAACCAAACAAGTTTTCTTTTCTTCCCATCCACTTTTTCGAGTCTAGAACCGTAATAATTCCCTCTATCCAAGAGTGTATAATCTGATCTTCCTGGCGAAGTGTGGAGACGAGTTAATAGCTGTGGAGGAACCCTTTTCAGCAGAATTAGTCCAGTGTGCAGAGGCCTCAACTCACATTGTTCAGCAAGCAGCAGATCTGATATACGAACAAAGCGACGACACGGAATCTCCTTCCGGTTGACATTGAATAATTGGCACTCAATTGACATTGAATTGACATTTGTCTATGACATCTTCATCTCCACTGTATCCGAGAATTCGCCGCCGTGGCTGAGTCAGCTCTCACGTGACCTTCCGGGCATCCCCAACCTCATCTCATCTTGTTCTGCCGGCAAAGGTTCTATCTCGCTGTGCTTTTTACTGCTGGAACTAACTCAAGACTTGCTTCTTGTCGCCTTATTTCCTCCCTCTCCTGCTCCTGTGTTAGCTCCTCGTCGCCCTGTGCGGCTCTTGTTTCTGCATTTCTTGGTTTGTTGGTTGCTGCTGCTGTTGCTGCTGCTGTTGCTGCTGCTCTGTTGCTATTCCTGCTAGTCATTATTGCTGCTGGCTGTCTTGGATCTTGTCCTCCCATCCGCTCGCTGCTGTCCACATATCCTTGCAGCAAAGCCTTAAGACACACCCTTGACTGGGAGAACGATGAGAGTTGTTGCTCCTCACCCGTCCAACGGCAGTGCTTGATACTAAACACCAATCCTGCTTTGCCCTCGATCCACTCGATCGTGCGAGCTGATTCGAGAAGGCCGGGACCTCGATTCTCTCTGCCCAGCCCTCCTAGCCTAGCTAGCCGCCTAATCCGCTCTTGTCAGGTCCTCAGGCCGGGATCTGCTGTGCACAAACAACAAATCCTAGCACTCGGCGCTCAGCCTCTTAGCATCTCTCGTCCCTTGGAGCCCTGGACACTGTCCTCGCCAGAGTCACGACCAGGCCCAAGTTAAAACCCAGCCCATCCCAGACATCCGACTCCAGCTTCGAGACCGCTGCTTCCCGTCTCCACCACCGCCAACCTTGGAGTCTTGCAGTGATACTTGTGATAGTGCTTGCTGGCTCTCACAACTAACTCTCTCTCTCCCTCCCTCCCTCTCCCTCCCTCTTTCTCTTCCAATACCTTTCCACCTCCCTCTATCTCTCCTCCTCCTCCTCCTACCATCTCCTACCATCTCTTTCAGGGCTACCTAGATAAATATCCTGGCCAATCCTCAACCACGAATACCCATCTCTCCGTCCGCCATCTGTTCCCTCTCTCCCAATTCGGCTCTTTTTGAGGGGACAGATTTTACCGTTTGATCATCATGCACAAAATCACCAATTTCACGGGCCAGGCCCGTCATGGATGGGAAAGGATGACCCCGACCTTTGGCATGTCCCGTCCCCATCAGGACATGTCGAATCAAGCCCTTCGACGACCCCATGGCCCTCATCCAGTCACAGTCCCCCCTGGAGTCGATACCACCGTAACTCTCTCCTTCAATGTCCCCTTCTCCTCGAACCTTCCCGGCCCTGATCCCGAAGACATCCTACACTCAAGTCCAGGCGCTTTCCAAAGGTGGACATTCCCTGAGGGAACCCCGGAAGGTACCCCGATCCACAAGCTCCCAGTCCACGCAAGCAACCTAGATGCCCTGAGAAAGCTATGTCGAAATGTTAGCGAGTCCAGCCATGGCAGAATCGAAGCTACCGTGACCTCATCAGAACCCAAGGCCGTCGCCTCGTTACAACGTCGCCCTCAGGGACTCGTAACGAATGTGTGCATTTCAGGCGATGGCGAAACCGTTCAACAAGTACGACAGAATATTTTGAAGGAAACCCCAATAGCTCTGGTACGTGCCCGTTGAGTATATATGTCTATATATATAGCCCTTTCGCTACCACGGCCCTGGTACCGTCCCTATATAAGATTTTTGTATTTTTCACTAACTGTGAGTGAAGAAATGCGCTACGCTTGACATCGATGTCAATCTAGTTATGGATAAAAATACGAATGGTGTCCGGTCAAGTGTACTCGAACACCTCGACACGTTGGCGCGGTATACCGGAGCAGATATCTTCTTACTAAGCCCCAAAGTCCTCGATGCGGACAGCGCCATCGTGTCATCATATGGTCATTCGACAGAAAACGGGTTAGATCACCGGTTCCGTGTTGCCATATACAGCGATGTAGAAAGTGCGGAACACGCCAAAACTAGAGTCTTGATCATGATCGATCAAATTGTAGGTTCCTGAGTCCTTAAAGTTTCTTGCACTACCGAACCTTCGAAGCTAACATTCTGTGGTAGTTGAAACGTCGTGTCGATGCAATGAAGCTTGAGCTATCAATGCATACGCTGGTTTGTGGCCGTACCCGCAAGAATATCAAATTTATCGAAGCGTCAACAAACACTGCCATCTACTTCCCACCACCGTTTCCACGAGTTTTTGGCTACACCCCGCCTGGAGGTAGCCGAAGGAGCGAAGATGAAGTTTATATCACCGGTGAAACTCAAGAGCAAATTAGCCTCGCGAAGCAGAAGTTGCACGACCTAGTCAGCGGAGTCAAGATTTTCATGAAGAACGTTAAGTTATCATCAAACAAAATCGACAATATTCTCCTAGATCGCTTGGATAAAGTTCGGAAAGTGATGGAAGCAAATGGCACATACGTTCTCTTCCCATCGCTAGGCAGCCAGCATGGTATTGTTCGCGTTCAAGGGTCCGAAGTCTTGCACATCGAGCGAACTGTCAGGGAAATCATGGCATTGGTGAGTTTTTGTTTTCTTCCATGTTTACATTAAAAGTGGGTAACATATGTATACTGACTTGCCCTACCACCTAGGCTGGACAATTCTACAGTGCATCTTGGTGGCTCATTCTCCCCGACCCTACGCAATCTAGCTCAATGCGCGGCCCGTCCCCGGCTGATGTCAGGACAATGCTTTCTGATATTTGCACGAATTCTGGCGCTGAGGTCAGTTTCGATAAGCTAACCTTCACCATTAACGGCTCGGATGACTCTGTCAAAGCCGCTATGATGGTGATCCAACAAATTCCTTTCGTCAAGCGAACACCTTACCAGATGCGTGTTAAGATCGAGCTTGCGAACGAGCATAAAGAGTTCGTCAGTGGCAAGAAGAATGGCAAGATCAATAAGATCATGGGCCAAAGTAAGCGACCATCCTTCCTTTTAGGTGCACCATCTCTCGTTGCAGAATGCTGATTATGCTTGTGTAGGCAACGTTCAAATTATCTTCGACGGTTTCAACGAGTACAATTTCTACATTGACGTCTGCGGAACTCAATATGATGCTACTAGGAATGGGCTTGACCTCGTTGAGCAGGAAATGCCTGCATCAATATCGTTCCATGTTCCTGACCAGTACCATAAGCGAATCATTGGCATTGGGGGGCAACATATCCAACGCATTATGAAAAAATATTCTGTCTTCGTCAAATTTTCAAACGCAATGGACCGTGGAGGCGTCGGCAAGGAAGACGATGACGTGAAAGTCGACAATGTAATCTGTCGGACCCCTGCTAGGAATGCCCAGAACCTGGACTTGGTCAAGCAGGAGATTATGGACATGGTCGAGAAAGTTGTAAGTTTTAAAAGAAGCTGGAATGCCCTGCTGTGAGTTTGCAAGACCCCTAACAAAAAGCTTTAGGATGCGGAATTTGTCTCCGAGACCGTCGTTATCAACCGCCTATATCACCGCGAACTACTAGTCCGCATGTCTGAGATTGAAGAACTTGAGAAGAAATGGAACTGCAAGATTGACTTCCCAAGCACTGAGTTGGCCAGCGATTTTGTGACCATTTCTGGGCCCGAATATCAAGTTCCTCAGGCTGTAGATGCTTTCTTGGTAAGATTGAAACGATTCCGCGCCATCTTCATCCCACAAGTTTACGATATGCTAATTCTTGAATAGGGTATGGTTCCCGAAAGCCACGAGCTCTCCTTCCAAAGTTCTACAGAGCTCCGGGAATTTTTCAAGTCTCCCGAGTTCTGCAACGATGTCCGAGAAAAACTCAAGGAGCAATATGAAGTCGATGCAGTTGTAGATATGAGTGCGGAACCACAGTGTTCCTCTGAGAACGAGCCTCCTCCAGAGGACCGCATTATTCTCGGATATACTCGGAACAATGCTGGCGGACTCAAGGATGCCATTGACTTCCTCATTTCTCGACTCGTGTCCCATGGGCTTGATGCCACCACCGTCAAGGGAGCCATCCAGCGTCCAAAATCAGACTCTTTTGAAGAGTCCTTGCCATTTTTCGATTCTAAATTGCTACAACACGCCCCAGCTCCTCTAGTGACCGACTCCCCGACCCGCCACAATTTCTCAGACGTCGCAAGCGACCGCGGTTCCATCTTTGAACGCCTCCGTAAACCAGGCAGCATCTCATCGTTCTCGTCCTTCATCGGACGCAAGAACCAGTCAGGATCACCCGGTTCTTTCTTCAAACACGCCTCCAGCAACGCTTCCAAAGCGTCCCTCGTCTCCATGGAGTCTCGTGATAGTGGTTATCGAAATCCTTGGAACGACTCTGGCGTGAACCTCCCTGAGGACGACGTCCTGCACACCAACGGCTGGGCCTCTCGGTTTGATAACAAATTCCCCTTCGGCACGGCGCTGGGTGACATGACCCCCAAACATGACCTCCGCGCATCTTTCGACAGTGGCCGTCCGAGTACCTCGAATTCTACTTCTGGATATCCAGCTCCTATCGGGCCACCCCGTTGAACTAAAACCACAGTTAAGGATAAATCAAAAATAACCACACGCCACTCCAGTCAAAATTCCCTGCTTCATGAACATTTTAAACCCCATATATATGCATGATACCTGCCCCCGCATACAGTCCCTCAGAAGTCATTCGCAATATACCCCATTCCACAAATACCAGTCTACTGCAATCGCATTATGATACCAAAGGAGTAAAAAATACCATCTTTTGTTTACTTTGCCTTTGTGCTCTGCCTTATCTTTCACTTGTTTTGCTATATATTTCTGTTTCTCTCCCTTTTTCATATCATCGAAAAGAAACGCATCCTACACTATGAGTTTTGAACCTTTTTGTTGCTTTGTCTTTTTTTTCCTACAAACTATATACCTATTTAACCATATACCCCTGGATGGGATGGAAGAGCACTCTTTGTTAGTTAGCTTGTTATGTCTTTTTCGTTTTGTTCTTTTTGGTCCTGGGTTTTTGATATTTATTATTTTTCTCCACCCTGACAACAAAAAAGTGATTCGGCGTTGTTTTCGCGAGATAACTGGGTTGATACCTCTTTCTTTTCCTCTCTTCTCGGTTTTCCTTTTTCCCCTACTTTTTATTTATTTGTGTTACTTCATTCGAGTTTTGTTGATTATTATCGTTATCCATTTTCTCCCATTTTCATTGCTCTTTTGCTCTCGAATTGGCTTCGCTTGGGGTTGGTTGGTTGGGTTTGGCTGATCTGATGGATGGATGGATGGATTGACTGATTGAATTGAATTGATTGAAAATGCCTCTCCTATCTCTCTCTTTTTTTTTTCCGTTTTTCCCCTCGAAATGCTATTTTTGTCTAGCCTTTTTTCATCGTAAGATAACCTATATAAACAAAACAAAAATCCTTTTTTTCAAGGAAGACTTCTATTTAATTATTCCGCCCAACAGGGTATAAAGCAGTTTTTAGTTTTGAGGGTTTTTTTTCTGTTTTTCTTTTTTCTTTTTTCTTTTTCTTTTTCTTTTCTTCTTGGATCCTGCATCCTTGCCTGTCCCAACTAGGGTAAAGAAATTTAACAATAAAAATCAATAACATAGCAACCTCCAGACTCTTCTAACGATCTTCTTTTTACCACTCATACATACCGTCCTATCTCTGCGTCTTCTCCAGCGGCGAACGAAAGAAAAATATATCTAGGATTGCCATGAATAGGGTTGTATAAACGCCCTCTTCAACCCCAACAAAACTCAGATCTCTCTCTCTCTCTCTCTCTCTCTCTTTCTACCCATTCGTTAGCTCCGTCATCCGTAACACGCCAGGTTAACTTCTTTGCTACTGCTATTTCATTGCAAGATTCTCTAGTTCATTGTAAGATAATTACTCGCTAATATATGTACGTGTGTATATTATACTGACTATAAGTTCTATTCCATACGTGTTTATTGGCACTGGGTTTTCTTGTAAAGAGCTTGCAGTCGCGGAGCAGTGTAGGAATAATTAATTTGATATTGATCATACGAATGAAGTGCATTTGAAAGTAGAGTAGGCAACCCTTTGATAGGGTAGTTAAGGCAAAAATGAGATCACGATGCAATAAAGACGAGTTCAAAAAATAACATAAGAGAATTGCGAGAAATAAGATAAAACAAAATCAGCGGGATCCAGCTCTCCTTGGAGACGCATGTAATCAATCATCAACCACGCTTCGGAGGCTATACCAGATCATACCATGTCGAGTTAAAAGGGAATGAAGAAAGGAAGAGAGAAACACATGAGGACGGGCATATTATGAAAATTGAAAAATTGCAGAGAAATCAAATAAATAAAAAAGAGGAAAGACGAAAGAGGAAAAAGGAAAAAGAGAAAAAGAGAAAGGAAAGAAAGTCATAAATAAATAAAACAATAAACTGAATAAGATAATTAAATAATCATACCTAACTACCTACTGTACTAACGCAAAAGTATCGGCCCCCCTCACTAATAATCTACTCTCATCCATGTACCACTTCAATGTTATGAATGTCAATTATCATGATTTACTATGCCACCACGCGTTATTTTACATGAAATTTCTGGAAATAGACCTGGAAGGGAGTTGACTCCTCATGAATGCAGTAAAATTATTGGATATCATCATTCTGGATGAGATTATCAGCAGATTTCTGCACAACTTGAGATTCCAAAAACCACAATCTGCAGAATCATTGGGAATCATCCTTTTCAAATCAATGATGCATCCCAACCACACTCAGGAAGGCCTTTAAAGCTATGTATCTGTGATCACAGAATCTTATTCAACTATGTCTGAACCAAACTGAAAGTTATCTATAAAATCCTACTTCAAAATACTGTGTTAAACATCTCTCATGACACTATTTACTGTGAGCTCAAGAAAGCCAGCATTACCAATCACCCTGCTAAGAGAAGACCATTCCTACTGCTCAGACATGTAGAAGAATGACTTGTCTGAGCTATGATCAGAAGAAATTGAACATCTGAGCAGTGAGATAAGATTATTTGATCTGATGAAAGTACTGTGGAACAGGACAAGAGAGAGCAGTGACAATGAATCTTCAGAATCAGCACTCAGAAATGAAATCTTGATAAAATAACTACATATCATACAAGCAAGAATACTACTGTAATGATATAGAGTGCTTTTTATAGATTCTGATGCTCACAGCTGACTAGAGTCAAGGAAGATTCTACTGCCTTGTTGTGGAGATGCAACTGTCCAGTTCTATATACAACTACTTGATCAAAATCTCTTGAAATTCTATGAGGAAGGTCTCATATTCATGCAGGATGGCATCTCTATTCATACAGCACAAGTTATCTGTAATTGATTTCTAGAAAAGTTGATAGAACAGCTTCCATGGCCTGTCTATTCTCTGGATTTGAACCCCATTGAACATGTCTGAAAGAAGATGAAGAAATTGATATATATTAGACATCCAGAGCTTCTAAATCTATCTCACAATTCTGAAGCAATCAAAGATGCACTATTTGAGGCCATTAAGGAGTCATGGGAGGTGATACCAGAGGAATTATTTCAATCTCTAGTTAACAGTATGCCACAGAGGGTGGAAGCAGTGATTCAAGCAGGAGAGTGACAGACAAAGTACTAGATTTTCATTATTTTCATTTCTAACTTTTATATGTATTAATACTTAATATTCTCTATAATATCTATTAATTTTAATGTATATAGACCTCTGGTTGTTGAGATAATTAATAATTAATATTCTCTCACTACTTGGGTAGACGTATTTTTTGGTGGGGGGTGCCGATACTTCTGCGGAGCGGCTGTACCTTCCGCTCTCTGCCCCCTTTCAAACAACGAAACCATTCAATGACGTGCGGAAACCCAGCGTCGACTTGGCGGGCCCCGCCACTTCGGTCTTTCTCCTGCCCCTTGAGAGCTCGGGACTTGTTGTTCTTGGTCGTTACTGAATCTGGTGATGTTGCTGGTAGGCAGCGATATGGTCCTCTCACCGATACTGCCGCTGGTTCTATTATTGTTGAAGCCGTTGTCTCTTCCCCTGTTATAGGGAAATGACGGAGTGGGAATTGGGGCATGAGATAAAGCGGCAGAACTAGGGGGGATTTCGGGAATTGGTCTGGCGAAGGTCATGAGGAGAGGAGGTGGGTAAAAGGGTTGGGGAAAATATGGATTGGGATATTCAAATCGGGCCGGTGGATATCCATATAGAGGGAGGTATGGTTGGTGATGCTGCGTAAATGGATTCTGGCTGTAGTTGTAGTTGGGGGTGCTGGGCGTAGGGGTGGACTCTAGTTCGAATTTGCGCGCGGTCAATTCAAGGCCTCTAATATGGTGTCAAGAAGCAGTGTACATATATATACTAACCTTGAGTCGATGGAGAATCATTCAACGTCAACGATTCTAAATATCTGGAAATTCCCGGCTGCAACCCGGCGGAAACGCCAGCACCGACATCAGGACCGCCAACGGTGGTCGTCATATCCGCTGACGAGTCTGCATGCATATTTCTAGGCCTAGACCTTTTCAAATCATTCCTGAAATCCCTCTTAATATCCTGAATGATCAGATCTAGTATCTTCTCCGCCTGCTCAGTCAATTCAGTCTTAACATCCTTGTCGCCAGGATCGATATCCGGTATTCTCCATTTGACGTAGAGCTTATTAGACGTGTCCGGCAGCGAATAATTCCCCGGATGGTGGCGGATGTATAAATGACAGAGGTAACACGCCGGCTTGCTGCACCCAATGTACTTGTCGTTAGTCACGCGAATTCCCTCGTGTTGCTCAATGTAATCTATCAGGAGAAGTTCGGCATGGGTCTGTGTTTTGGCTGATCTGAGCGCGTTTATCTCCTGCGCGATTTCATCTAGACCCCGGAGACGGCGTTGTTTGAGTTGTTCTTTAATCGTTTCTTGCTCTTGTTTGTCCCATATCATACGGTCAATGATGCCCTCTACAGATGACTTTTTTGGCGGGAGACAGATAGGAACCAGCGGGGATGGGCCGATGGGTTTGACTTCGAAACCGAGTGTAAATTCTCTAGGTAGGTTGTTTGCAGCGTTGACGAGTCTTCTAGAACAGGTTACATGCTTTCCAAGCTTTTTCAGCAGCTCCTGAAGACGTTGAAACTTTGAGTGACGGAGTTGGCCGTTAGCGGCAAAAGAGTTCAAAAATTCAATCATGCCAGAACCTCGAACGCCGTGGCATTGCTTCACTAAATCAAGACAGTCATCCTCATCCTTTAAGGGCCTGTTAGGGCTGAAGTACCGATCTAAAAACGCCTGCACCCGATACAGCTCGGTGGTGGGCCTTGGGCCAGCCAAGGATGTAGCTATCACATATCTGTCAGATTCAGGCACGTTCCGTGAGGTTATGTCTGTAAGACTTAGTATACCCACGCTGTCGTCCTTGCATGATTTCAAGGCATGATTCATACATTTCGACGGCCAGTTTATGATAATAGCGGATTCGAGGCTGGCCAAGGGTGACAACTTTTCGAAGGATAACATCCTGGACATGGGAGGTGTCCTGAATAGGAGAATCCAGCGCAACGCAACGTAGGATAGACAAAATATCTCTCAGGAACTCGACTACCTCGTTGGGAACGCCTCTATTTGCCGCAATAAGTACATTAGTGATGCTCGGCTGAGCATCGAGGGCGATGGCGGTGACTTGATCTGAACCTGTGTCAAAGGCACAAACGTATGCAAGGGCATTGCGGAAATGTTGACGAAGTTTTGTATCATGAAGCCCTGGTTCATCGGAGACTATCTCTGCCTTTTGACGGTCGCCCCTTACCGGACCGAGGGTATTGAGGAGGAGGATCGCACCGTAGACGCGGTGGAGCAGAGACTCGCGCATTGCTCTTCGTGGGCGCATTCAATTGATAGCTGCAGCGTGGGACAGTAGGCATATAATCCTCGATAATTTCATGACAAGCGTCGGAATACCATGAGAAAATAAAGTAACAAGACGGGTGGGCGAGAGAGAAAGCAGCGTGATGAACGAGTTATTTGGACATCCGTCCATATATGAACGAACGCCCTAAGCCTAGGGTTCAACTTCCTGGTAGGGAACTGCTCACAACCAGGCCTCACAACTAGGCTAGTATAATCAACGGCGTAGCAGTCGCAGCCTGATCCTCCCGCATCGGCTGGTTTCGAATCGTAGAGTAGGTTAGATCAAATAGCAACTCTCCACATCTTTCCACACCTTTTACCCCGCCTTCTCTGCCTTTCTGCCTTGCATGGAATTGCTGCCGCGAGAACACTTCACAAGAAGGGGATTGGAAGACCGCAGAAAAACAAACGTGTAGAAATGGCTTCGAGTTCGTGGCATTGTAGCTGGCCAAAGCCAGCGCGTAGAGCCTGGATACCTTGCGAATGGCAATTGGTTGTTAAATAAATCACTGCGTCCGCTGCTAGCGGCTCGGTGATAGACTCCACCCAATGGCCGTGCTCTTCACTGATGAAAAGCAAGATCTAATTTCTAATATATATATATATACTATATGTCTCTGGCTCTCGGCAGTCGAGTAGTAATCGCTTGAATTGTGATTCTAACTGCAGCGATATGCAGCAAAAGAACTAGTTAAACCAGCATGGGGACAGCCTTTTTGAATGAGAATGCTTCTGCAAAAATACAGCATACATAAACCTACAGTAAGTACTATGACACAGCTATAAAAACCAAAGAAAGAATTGAAGAAACAGAAAATCAACAATTTAGAACAAAAGAAGCAACATGAGAGATCAAGCTATTTATAAATAACTTATTAAAACAAAGATATAGAAGAACAAGAAGTTGCCATGTTCAAATCATTTCAATAGGACTGAAAAACAGCAGGCAAAGAATTAAGGGGGAATGAGTCAAGATAGATAGGCCACACATATATGCACTGATTCAAAAGGAAAATAAAAAGTCCTACAAAAACCAAGGGAGAGAGAGAAATTTCCATAAAGATTAAAAATGATAAGCTTGATAAAGCCAAACTTTCCTTAGTGCTTTGTTTTATTAATTAGAAGAAAAGAAGCAAAATGAAAGTCCAAACGCTTAGAAGAGAAACCAAAAATAATTTATCAACCACGAAATGCCCTCACGTGCACTGAACAGAGAATAGAAAGGACGAGGCAAATGTAAATAAAGATTGCACAATATATAGAAGAAGAATACATTAGAAAACTCCGGGTAAATGATAGATTAGAGATGGTTTATATTTTTTGTTTTAAAGGTTCCCAGAAAGGACGGCTTCGGTGGCTGTTGAAGTCACAGATGTTAGTAAAATGAAAAATAGGATCACAAAATGGAATAAGGAAGAACATACCAGAGTTGATATACTGCCGTTTGGCGTCGAGATTGACATTGAACCTGTGTTCAAGTTCCAACTTGACACTCTTCTTCGTAACAGTCATCAAATCCGCGGTACGAAGGATATCGCGGATTTCCGCAAGCAGCGAATCGTCACTCGGAAGTCCCGCGAGGTCCACCATCTCCATCTCAGGGCCGCGGCCCAACATCTCCGAAGGAGCGACGGACATGCGAGACCCGGCGAGGCGATTAAGTTCCATTTGAGAAAGAGGTCGGGAGGGGGCAAACCCATATTCAGACGCAGGTGGGTGGTAGGATCGAGTGCCATATGAGAATCCAGAAACCTCTGAACGATCGTCTTGATGGGTTTGCGCTTCCCAAAGCTCGGATTGGTACTCTTCCCACTTTTTCTTAGGTATGGATGAAGGGTCAAACTTGCCCTCGTCTGAAATAACAACTTTACGGCCTTTCTCTCCCGTGACGATACGGGTGTTACCCCAGGTGAAGTCATCCATATGCCAGAAAGAATAAAGCGGAAGACCAAGGGAGAAAACAGGCATGGCGAGGATATAAATGATCATCCAGCCAACCATTTCCCATTTGCGCCGGAGGATGAATATAATAGCCTGTAGACCGTAGATAGCACCAAGCAAGATAAATGCCGTAATCGGGATGAGTGTTGGGTTGATGGCAATAAGGACGATGAGATAAATGACATATGCAACTGTCACGGGCTGGATAATCGTACTCAAAAGATCGACAAAAACGACGAACCTCATGCTGAAACAGCAGAATCCACAAAGTTGTTGTAGAGGAATGAGTTCAATAAGATTGTGAACAGTTGAGTTAATCCATCTCCGGCGCTGGGACATGAACACAGCCCAGCTATCGGGTGCGATAGTCCAGGCATGAGCATTGAAGAGGAACTTGGTCTTGTATTTCGGGTGGTGCTTCAGAAGAAGCGTGGTAAGATAACGATCCTCACCCAAATGGAGGAGATTCTTCATGTGAAGGGTGTCAACGCGGATCTCAGAGTAGGCATCTACCACTTCTCGACTAACGAAAAGAGGTTTTCCTGTGTCGGCGGCTCGAATACGATACATTGTAAAGCAGCCAGGCAAACACGTCACTGACCCGAATAGACTTTCGAAGGCTTTTGTCAAATTATGAGAGATATAGTATTCATAAACCTGGATCATGGTTATTATGGAGGATTTGGCATTGTTGAGTCCTGTTTCTCCACAAAGCCCGATGATGCGCGTATCCTGCATGAATGAAGCAACCATTCGAGTGGCAGCGTCTGGAGCGACCATGGTATCTGCGTCAACTTGGAATATGAACTCGTAGAACGTGGGGTTGACACCAATGATGTTGCGAATTTGGTGATGTATTTCAAGCTCGAGGGGGCTCATGGGATGGTTGTAATGGACACGGTTTAAGAAACGCATTAGGAGCAATTGCGAATCTCTCTTGCCACGATTTCCGGGGCGAGATACTTCCGAAGGCTTGCCAACTTTAACGACAACCAAGAACGGTACGATATGGCCTTGAACCTCATATAACCCGGAGTAAACTTTGCCCATGTTGTGCTGTTTCATTCCTTCTCCCAAACTTTCGAAGCTTAGCGGTTCAGGGTCCACAGTCTCCGGAACGCCCAGAATGTCTAGGACGATCCGGGGCGTCGGCCGATCATTTCCTTGACCGATAATCATGCCATCGCAAATGACAACAAGTAGTTTGCGTTTGTCATCATATTTCATCCGAGCCATTGAGTCGATGGCTCGACGCAGAGACTCTTCATCTTCAGTATACGCTGGCACTTGACAGATAATGAATTTATCGAGATTTTCCGGTAGAGTTTTCTTTCCAAATTGCAACGCGGCGAAGAATTTGAAGGCGATGATGGTGACTAAGAGCAGTGATATCGCGAGAATGAAGTACTGCGCAAATTGACACTGGACAGAATTTCTAGTATCCAACTTCCCAACTTGAAACAAATTGGTTAAGCAGGTTCTCATGGCGCGTTCTCGATTTCCAAGAGGAAGACGCCTAAATAATTCCGAGATATCCTGCCCAGGTCTTTGTTGAAATAAATCCACAACGAGGGGATCCATAAAATTGACATTGACATCTTTCGGGGGATCTTGACCAGGAGGTGCGCGTGGGCTACGGCCGCCTATGACATAATTTGACAAGTCATACACATAGCCATCTAGGACGGCGATTGACTGATCCTGATCCACAAGTGTCTTCAGATACTGCGGAGAGAAACCAACGTATCCCTTCCTGTAGTTTGCTCTCAACATCCTCATTTGATTCCAATACCAATCCGGCCTAGAATCTTCGGTGAAGGCTCTGAAGTCGTGGTATTTAGCGTTTGGATCATCGTCTCGCGAAACTCTGACAGAGCCCGTTCTATTGACAGACCTGAAGTCCAAGGGGACAGATGGGTCGACGCTGCCATCAACGCCATCACAAAGAGCGCTAACTTGCACGGGGAACAGTTTCGTAGCATCGAGGCCGGCATACTTTTCCAACGCACTTCGAGGAACGATTTTCGGATAGTGTGAAGGTATGTAAGCGCCCAGATCGAATACCTCTCCCCGAATGGCTATATAAGCATCGGTATTTTTTCCGTCGTGGGAGGAGAGTTCATCGGGCGAAAAGACATTTTGTTTCGGGCAAATTAACTGGGGGAAGCCGATGATGAAGAAGACAGCCAAAGCACAACTAAGCCAAATGAGGAGGTTAATCGCGAACTTCTCTCGCCAGGCAATTCGCACGTCCTTGCGCTTCATTCGTCCGAAGAACTTGATAGCAAAATCAGGAATGTAGAAGGTGAGCATATAAACGAGAGCCAACCACCGTTTACGGCTACCAGAAATCACAACGTCATCAACTTCTTCCATTTTCTTCTCATTGCCTTTCTCGGCCATCTGCTCGCGCGTCTCCAAATTTTTGAACATGTCACCAGAATTGAAGGCCGATGCACCCGCGTCAGAACGGCCGTCTATCTCCTGACCCCCAAAGAATCCCTGCTTGGTATCATCTCCGTATATATATGCGCCAGGCGACGGAGATATGTCGGGCGAATTTAGAAGCCGAACCTTCGAGTCTCCGTATGGGCCTTTGGTGCCAACCCCCAGTAGCCCATCTCTGCCGTCATCGGTGCCACCTGCGCTATAGCTGGGGACAACTCGTTCACCAACCCTCGCAACCTCCGCCCAGCATCTTTCGCTTAGAAAGACTCCAGTACTTCCAACTCGTGCTTCGTTTTTTGGCCATCTTCTTTCGTCAACCACCAATTGGCACTTTTCTTGCTCGCTGCCAACTATGATCGATTCTGCATCTGACAGGCCAAGGAATTCACTGAAGGGAAGGAACACGGTAAAATCTGCATTTCGAAGCCGCTGACTGATCTCGGCAATCCCAAAGGTTTGTACTTGTGCTCGCACGCATTTACTATCGAATTGATTCGCGATTCGACGATCGTTGGGTTTCAGGCAGAACACGAAGTAGGGATTCACACTGCCTGCAGCCAGGGACTTATTTATGTTGTCCAATGATACAAGGAATTGAGCAGCAGCACCCTGGCTAGGACCATTTGCAAGAGCTCCCTGCTTACGCTTTTTGGATCCAGACGCGGAACTCGTGCTGCCCGCAATATCGACATCATCATTATCCGCCTGAGCTGCACGAGCAGTAGGTCGGACAGGTCTATCCATTTTGCGTCTTGCCATACTGGGCATTCTAAGAGGCTTCGAGCTAACCTGGGCTTGCACAATAGCCGACTTTTCCTTAGGGTGGCGGATTGTTTGGAGTGCTTCTTGGCCGAAGAGATCTCGCACAAAAGCGCTCCTGGAGGAAGTGATAAGGTTCATTAAGTCGCCAGAAACCAAGTCGCCGTTTTCCTCAACCAACCCCTGGACAGGATAATCGACTTCCCCTGCGAAATGTCTAACTGTAAAATTAGCGGCCTGATTTTTTGAAGCGAAGTTGCTGCCGGGAAGCGTAGCTGTGGCGCTCCCGACAGATATAGCCGGATTTTTGTCCGCAAATCGTTTTCTCAAGCTTTCGAGTAACTGCATATCAGATCGTCCGCGCCTCGTCTGGTCGTCTAGGATAGCTAAAAGCCCATTACCTTGCTTGAGCAGGCCTTTGACAGCATCCGAGTTATCGAAGTAGCTAGTTGGAGGGACGCTAACTTCGTCGATTTCGAGCATGTCTGCCCTGTATTCAAAAAAGCTTCGCAAACAGTAATTATAAAGCGACTCGGTAGCAGCATTGTTCAGGAGCTGGTCCAATGCTGAGCCTGTTGAGGACGCTTGGGAAAAGCCGGGGAAGTCAATAATAGAAATCGTGTTGGCTACCGCGTCCTCAGCAGCACATACACGCTGGTTGATGTTTTCGATTACATATGCAACCAGCAGAGAGTAAAGGGTCCGGGCGAGCTCATCAGCATTATTCCGCGCTCCTTTAGGGTCGAGCATGACAGTCACACGTTCCCGATGAATAGTTTTCGTTTTGTACCCAAGGCTAGCCTCGAGATCATCCACGCTCAATCCGAGGAATGCAGCAATAATTGCCAAAACATCCTTGTTTTTGACAATCGTAACAGTTTCACCACCTTCATGCGAATATCCGCCGCTCTCCTCCGGGCCTGTTGTAGTTGATTGACCAGTAGTAAATTCCAGCTGTCCGATATGCAAGATACACGCAAGAATCTGGCAGATCTCGGCGATTTCACTCCGGGGGAACTCCAATTTGCGTAGAGCGTTTTTGAATTGCTGGAAGCCCTCCGTATCATTAATCCCAACTTTCAGTTGTGTCGGATGGCCAAGATACCGCCACCTCTTATGTGAGACTGTACCGGACGAACGGTTGCCAGAGCCTCCACCAGTGCGGATATCGATTGCACTGTCCAAACCCAGATGGGTCTTCTCAGCCGGGCTGGTTCCCGCAAGGAGGTAATATAGTACATGGAAACTTCGTTCACCTGTAGGAACGGATGCAATACGGCTTCTTTCCAGCCGGTGATCTAAAAGTTTGCCGCCAATCAAAGTTGGATTGACAGTTGACGAGCCATCATACTGAAGCTCGAAAAACAAACCTGCTTTTGACGCAGTCGGGGTAGTAACCGATTTGGTGGTTGTCAAAGTGTCGAAAACGAAGGCCGCAAGGGAGAGCTTAGCTGAAAGAGGGGTGGATGATAGTGCAAGGAAAGAAGAAAGAAGATGGGAGCGAACGGTTGTCTTCCCGGAGCCAGTTTCACCCCTTCAGGTGGTAAAGAAATTAGCATTTCCAATTCAAACTTCACAGGAGGGGTCATTCTCGAAATTGCGAGGCTTACAGGAAAATGATGGCCTGGTTTTCTCCTCTTCCTCCCAAACGAGCCCAAGCACGCCTAGCCAGGTCGTCTGCTTCCCCCATTGCGCTTCCTTCCTTTTGTCCATCGGGGCCCTGGGTGGAAGATGTGTAGGTGTTCAGGCATATCAATCCTTGAGAGGATAACCGGGCTGTTGGTAGAGACACATGAAATCTAAAAACGAGAAAGAGAGATAAGATTGTTAGAAGATGTTATGAAATCTGACGGGTGAAGAAATCCCTACCTGCTGGCCAGATGAGCCGTGAGGTGTGTGTCCGATTGAAGATGCGAAGGAAGCGAAGGTAAGGAGGACTGTGCATGAGCGGGAATGGATCCCGTCCCCGTCAATGAGTGGAGGGCCATGGTCAAGGTCAGCTGCTATTGGGGCACCAAGGCCACTTAGGCTGATGGTAAAGGGTTCAATCAAGCGATAATGACTGTAGGTGACTACTCTCTGCTATCAAGTCGAAAGGGCGCGATATCTCTTTTTAACGATTGGCACCGTACTCGGACATTGGGAATAATAACGAAAGGGGACAAGAATGTCCGTCGAGAAGCAACGAAATGCAACCAACACACAAAATAGCCAATAAACCAAGAACGATAATTTTGCACCCTTCAGTTTCGTGACGGATAAATGAAATACCAACGTCGACAGTCAAGTGAGAGATTTCTCCTCCTCAGCGTCAAAAAAAACGAACGATGACCTTTCCCAAACGCGGAGAGAAGCCAAGGCAAGAAACACGAAAGGGGAGGAGCAAACAAACGAGCGAGTGGCACAGAGGGTAGTATCTCAAGCAGGACGAGAGTTGGAGTTGAGTTGGCTTCAAAACAGTGGTGAGAGGCGAAGAAGAAGAAGAAGATGATGATGATGTCCAAGCGAGCGAGTGAACGAGTGAACGAGGTTGAGGTTGCAGCAAAGACAGCGAGCGAGTCCACTGGCAGCCGCCCAAAGGGGAAACATGTAAACTCTTGAATGTGTAATCTGTATTCTATTCTTAATATTTCTTTGATTTAGTTTCTTACTGTACCACCATACCACCGTATCATGAAATACGGTGACCGTTTTTTACATATATGACCGGGAGCAAATATTCCCAGGCTACGGATTACTACGGCGACTATTCTATTATTACTATTATTATTATGATTACTCCGTATTATTATTATTATTATTATTATAAGATCCCTTCCGCTGAGCCAACAGGCGAGTTGGAACTTGGAACTTGGAAATTGGAACTTGGAAACTTGGAAGGCGGCTGGGATCCGCCCGTGCAAGATTTTCCTCTCCGCGGTAACTAACTACGGTACTGACAGGGCTAAGAAGCCCAAGTGCAATGCGTGCCATGCCAATGCCATGCCATGCCGCAGCGCTTCCTGTCTTGTCTCGTCTCGCCCAAACTCACGTCCTTCGTGATCCAAAACAAGTGCCAGACCCAAATCTATTTTAGGCTCAGTCTAGAGCATGACAGAAAGAGCTTAAAAAAAAAAAAAAAAAAAAAAAAAAAACACAACGGTATGGTATGATCCCACTCTTCCCTTGTTCGAGCAAATTATTATATATAAATTTTCCCACCTGTCAGCTGACGCTAGAAGGGAGCTGAAGCTTGAAGGAGAAAAGGAAACCCCCATGAGCAAAACTCTACATTACGGTTGCGAGTACATATTTCAGCTGATTCTGAACATACTCGGACCGTTGGCAACCTACTACTAACCTGCTCCATGGACATGGGGTAAGACATACATACATGGGAGAGGGGTGATGTGTCGATGATGATATTTCGGTCCGTACACACGATGGACATGGTTTTCTTGCCACCTTCTTGGTGGGGACTCCAACTGAGACCTTTCGGCTGGGCCCTCGATGCTTGCTCTGAAATATCACCCCGCAGCACTAGCATTCTTTCAGAAAATCGCCCGCCTCATTTGGCAGTTCTGGTATGGGCCAGGATATCATGAAAAAGGCTGTGCATGTGGGTTGCAGTGAAAGAAAATCAATGATGCTCGAGTCATGGCCCCCAAGATCCATGAATAGCGATTCTATTATTTCCCTCCTCCGGGTTGCGTGCTGCTGACATGCCAATCTTCTGTTTTTAGGAAGAACTTTGGAAGGCTCTCAAAAGGTCAAAGATGGAGGTGGATCTTGCTCCCATTTTTTTTTTTGGTCTTTTGTTTTAGACAAAATGTGCTGGAGGCCCCTCCCTCACTATCATGATTCCAACTTCAGCACAAGATGTCGATGAATATTAAATGTATCAGTCAGTGCGTGCAACTATCGAGGAACTACGAGGGACAGACCTACAAGTATAACCCAAACTCTTCGCCAGTACTGCTGCTGAGCCTCAGCCAGTTTTTTCGATCTCCATTTTTAGATGTTAAGTGACATGATGCAGAAACTCTTTCTGTCTTCTTTCCGGGGCTTCTTTTCTTCTCTTATTATTAACTTAGCCTCTGGTGTCCCCTTACCTGTGGCGAAATCACCAAAGTTCTTTGTGAGCGTCGTTCGCTTTACGGGGAATCTTCGGGATATGCTGAATGCATTCTTGCCTGATTAACCTCATGCGCAGCCTTACGAACGTTCAGACTCCCGTTTTTCCCTTGATGCAGAATGTGGAATACAATACAATACAGTACAGTACAGTAGAGTATAGTAGTACACCTGATACTATAAATACAGGTCGATGGATGGCAAGCCCAATGCCAATGGTTTTCGCTGGCGGATCATCGGTGTTCCCCCTAGCCTGGAGGAGAACCATTTCCCGTTGATTGGAATTGATTTGGCAGTAGTGGAGTGGAGTGGAGCGCGTGTTGTCGTCCCTGGGGCAACTTTGCTCTCGCGCGTCATCCAAATAATACAGCGTAGAGAAGGGGTGGAGAGTAGGAGGCAAAAAGAACCCGGAGCCTGAGGGCAAGTTGAGACATGGTGATACATATGCTGTCCCTGTTCGAAGAGGCTTGTGTATCACATCTGCTGTCGCTTATGTATCCTTCCTTCCTACTGATCGATTCCTTGCTTAACTGCGATATTTTTAGTGGCCTCAGCACGGACGGGCAATCAGTTAGTATTACGGCTGTGTATTCTAGCTAGGTTTAGAGAACAATACATGTATTACAGTTTACCGTACACAAACAGGCCCTTGAAACAGCCACCCACCCTATCTGTTCTCTCTGTTTGTCTGTCTGTTTATCCCTCCACCAACTCCATCTCTCGCTCGCTCTGTATCTGTTTAGCCAAACCTCAACCTCACGGCCTCATCGCTGAGCCTCCTGCTCTCTCTCGCTTGGGTTTTCTTCTACTATTCCTTTCGTTTATCTGAGTTAGCGACGAGTTGCTTGTTTCGCCTTCGGGCTTCTTGTCCTCGTCCTTCGCTTTCTGCTTACGCCTCCCTATTCCTCGTTTTTGCCCGCAATTTTTGGTCTCTCGCAATATCAAAGCCCTCTCTCTATCTAACAAAGACCCCGCTTGTAATTTCAGCCGGTGCAGTGACGACAAGGCTATTATAAGCAACGGTCGCGGTTTTTTTCGAGCAGGACGTGTTCCCCTCGTCTTTGCTGCCCGCTCCAAGGGCTGGAGACACATCAACACTTCAAGAATTGGATGGCGGGAAAACTTCCCTCTGGTCACTAATTCGCCGTTAACAACAGCCTCTTTGAGCGTTTGCCGTACCTTGTTCCCATTTTGAGATAGCCATCTGCAAGCAATTATGACGAACCGGTACTCAGTTTACTCGACGACGTCTTCTGCCGCCCTGGGCGCCCGCTCGACTGGTCAACCAGCTGCCCAGGTGTCCAACACAACTCTCCTCAATGCCCTACATACCATATACTCCTCAGGTCAATCATACCAGCTCGACTCCGGTACGGCTTTGACAGTTAACACATGGCTTACTGCCGCAAGTCCTGGGCCGAACGGTGAAGTAGGAGGAACAGTGGACGCAGAGCTCGCGAAACGGGCTTGGGAGCATGCTCGGAGAAGAGCTGAGGATGGGTGTATCGTTTTATGGTTGGAAACCCCCCCCCTCCCCGTCCCCCTCCTCCCTTCTTTTCTTTTTTCACCCTCCCCTTGCGAAAGGTGCATTGGTATATCATGAATTCGTGCTAACGGTTAGGTTGATAGCTCATCTCACCGATCTACGCCTTCCCTGCTTGCACCATTCTTAGCTAAGCTGCCACTGTCGACCCCATCGACCACTTACACTGCGCTCTCTGTCCTTAAGCCCTTCGTTTCTCATGTTACTCCTTATAGTCCCTCGCAATCTCGCTATTCCGCACTTGCCGTGTCTTATACCTTCACCCTCACTGGCAACGTAACAGAGGTATCACTGGCCTTATCTACCGCCGGCCTTGATGTTTCCAGCGGCCTCCTTAATATTCCTGCAGAAGCTGGCTACCGTGCTTTTGATGTGTTTTACTACCTACTTACATCTGCGTCGACCCCGGCTGAAAGGGAGTTTCTCAGCCTCAAAGATGCCTCGGCATATTCGCTCTTGAACAAATCCAACACATTCGACCCACCAGCATATCTACCAACCGCGGATGATGCAGCTTCTGCCGAAGATTTTAGAGCTTCCCTCAGGGCAATTGGTATCAAAGGCGCCGCACATCGAAGTCTTATTACCATACTGGCTGCTCTATTAAAACTTGGTAATTCTCTGGGATTTTTAATCGACCAGGAGGAACTGGAGGAAATTTGTGAAGATGTTGGAGGTCTTCTAAACCTTGATCCGGAAGTCCTTTTTCACAAGTGCTCCACAGATGATCGTACCATCCTCATCGCGGGCATCTACGAAGCTTTGGTTGATTGGGTGATATCAAAAGCTAACGAGGCCATCTTTAATGAGATTCATAACACCCAGGGTAGCAACTCCAGTGATGGTGGCCGTGGCCAGAGGACTCCCTGGTCGGATGAAGAAACGGGCGATACGGCTGGCATCACAGTTATCGAAGTTCCAGATCCGGCCTTGGGAAAGGCCATCGCCCTTAGGGGAGTCTTCGACGACTCTCTCGGTATTAATGCTGAAATGAAGGAAGATGGAATTGAGGTTGTTGCCCCAGGACATTCTGTAATCAAGGAAATGCACAATGCAGTCGCAGAGGTTGAGGCCGATATGGGGGTACAGGGAAGCGCAGCCATCCGTGAACGAGAACAGGCATACGACAGAAAAGGGGGGGTTCTGGAGAAAGTTGGATTGGAACTTGAAATGGGCGCGTTTCTTCGACAGATTTTATATCCTGTTGAAAACGAAGGTATCACTCTTGGCAAGAAGGGCCGTTTTGACCTCAGCGATACTCTAGGAAGCAGCAGAGTTTGGTACCACCTTGCACTGCACCCCACAGACGACTTGCCTGCTACCTTGGCCTCTTTACCATCCGTTACGTCCTCGTGGTCTGCTGGGACTGTCTCTCGTCAGCTTCGTGCATGGAGGCTTCCTGAATGGGCCAACCGCCGGAACAAGCACCTTGACTTCACGGCAGATTTCGACGTAGAGGAATTTGTCGCAAGGTACTCTCGACTCGGGTGCCAGGAAGGGAAGGATGGAGTACAAAGCTGGATCCTTGAAAGAGGGTGGAGCAATGGTGATGTGGTTATCGGCAACGAGAGAATTTGGATGAGAGAAATTGCATGGTGGGAGGCTGAATCAATGCTGGATATGAAACCACAGGATATCCCACAGGACCCCTTCAACCCAGTGATGACTCCCTTTGAGAGTGGATATTCTTCAACCCCACCACCACCACCCAATGCTAGCGGATTTTTTCAACCAGAGACAAGCTTTGGTGGCAGTCATGAAAATCTTATGCATCGGCAAAGCGTGGCAACTATGCCCGCGAGTGCGTTTGGAGGACCTCGTTCCATCGCGCCTACTGTTGGCCAACCTGGCCAACCCGCACCTGGGGACTACGGTCTTGGTCCAAAGGGAGATGACCGAAAACACGATGCCCAATACTACGATCAAGATCTTGGGACATTCACCGGTCAAATTGATGCAGAATATGGTGACCCCAAAAAGATCGAGCAGAAGAAAATTCCATTGTCTCGGCGTGCTTGGGCCGGCTTCGCTTGGGCGGTGACTTTCTGGATTCCTTCGTTTGTCCTTCGGTACGTTGGCCGTATGAAACGCCCAGATGTTCGAATGGCCTGGAGAGAAAAGGTTACTCTCATGGCTTTAATCCTTCTCCTAAACGCCACGATTGTTTTCTGGATTGTCGCTTTTGGAAATCTACTTTGTCCCAATAAAGACAAAGTATGGTCTGAGAGAGAAGTCAGTTTTCACCAAGGGGATAATGACTACTACGTCAGTATCCATGGGGTGGTGTATGACATTAGCAGGTTTTGGAGAGTTCCACACGCTGTAACGAGAGACACTTCCAGGGTTAGAATGGACCCTTTCCGCGGCTTGAACCTGGATGCTTACTTTCCTATTCCACTGACTGTGGCATGTCGCGGCTTCAACATAGCCGACACTGTTAGTCTCCGCAACAACAAAACTGATGCCGTTGTATATCCAAATGCACTCCACGCCTCTGGTCCTCTAAATGAGCGTGACCCCAATTCCAAATTGCACGATATCAACTGGTATGACAGAGAATTCTCACCGAGGATCAGGGAGTATTACAAAGGAGATGTGGTCTGGAATACCAAGGAATTACGGAAACAAGCAGAAGAGGACGAGCGGCGATGGGTTGTACTCCGAGATGAAGTGTTTGACCTAACGGACTATTTTTACACCCTTAAGGCGATGAACAATCTCGCAGCCTACGATTTCCTACCAGAGAAAGTTACCAAGTTGTTCTTAAATAACCCGGGCGAGGATATTAGCGACAAGTGGGAGAATAGTGTTGAGTTCCAGAACAGTTATTGGTGTCTAAGGCACCAGTTTTATGTTGGTAGAACCGACTTCCGACAGACAGCCAGATGCCAGGTGAACAATTACATCCTGCTTGCATTCACTTGCATACTGGCTGGTGTTATTCTCATCAAATTCGTTGCTGCGCTCCAGCTTGGTACTAAACGTCGGCCTACGATGCAAGACAAGTTTGTCATATGTCAGGTGCCGGCATACACTGAGGGAGAAGATCAACTGCGGAAAGGCCTTGACTCCCTTACAGCTCTCCAGTATGACAATAAACGCAAGCTTATTTTTGTGATTTGCGATGGTATGATTGTTGGAGGGGGTAATGACCGACCCACCCCAAAAATTGTGCTGGATATTTTGGGTGTCGATCCGAAGATCGATCCTCCTGCCCTTCCATTTAAATCTGTGGGCGTAGGAAGCGACCAACTCAACTATGGGAAAGTGTATTCCGGCCTTTATGAATTCGAAGGCAATGTTGTACCTTACATTGTTGTCGTCAAGGTTGGAAAGGAGTCCGAACAAACCAAGTCGAAACCAGGGAACCGTGGAAAGCGAGACTCTCAAGTTTTAATTCTCAGTTTCCTAAACCGGGTACACCATCGTTCAGCAATGTCACCACTCGAACTTGAAATATTCCACCAAATCAACAATGTTATCGGAGTTGATCCTGAGCTTTACGAGTATCTCCTCATGGTTGACGCTGACACAAGTGTGAAAGAGGATTCTTTGAACCGACTTGTGGCAAGTTGTGCGAATGATTCGAAAATTGCCGGTATCTGCGGCGAAACTAGTTTGGAGAACGAAGAGCGCAGTTGGTGGACAATGATTCAAGTTTACGAGTACTATATTTCCCACCACCTGGCAAAGGCTTTCGAGTCTTTGTTTGGCAGCGTTACTTGTCTTCCTGGATGGTACGATAAATGTCTTCGTTTCCCCTTTTCTTTATTTATGGCGTTGGTTCGCTAACTTTTCTTAGCTTCTGCATGTATCGTCTTCGGACTGCTGATAAAGGTCGTCCATTGATTATTTCGGATAAGGTTCTGAGTGAATATTCTGACATAGACGTTGATACACTGCATAAGAAGAATCTTTTGGCCCTTGGAGAGGATCGATATCTGACAACCTTAATGACCAAGCATTTCCCGAACATGAGGTATAAATTCATCCCGGACGCATACGCCAGCACTGCAGCTCCAGAAACATGGAGCGTTTTGCTATCCCAGAGACGTCGCTGGATCAATTCCACCATACACAATTTAGCAGAATTGATGTTCCTTCCAGACTTGTGCGGTTTCTGCTGCTTCAGTATGAGATTCGTGGTGTTTATTGATCTTTTTGGAACGATTATCCTCCCAGCGACCTGTGCTTACTTGGTCTATATCATTTACCTTGCTGCAACCAACAGTGGCCAATTCCCGATTATTTCGATTGCAATCATTGCCGGTGTTTACGGGTTGCAGGCAATTATTTTTATTATAAAACGCCAGTGGCAACATATTGGGTGGATGATAATCTACATCCTTGCTTTCCCGATCTACAGTTTCATTTTACCTCTCTACTCGTTCTGGAATCAAGATAATTTCTCGTGGGGAAGTACTCGCATCGTTATCGGCGAGAAGGGAGACAAACGCGTCATTGCCGTTGAGGATGAAGGGTTCGATCCAAGATGCATTCCTCTGCAACGCTGGGATGATTACGCGCTTGCCAACAACCTCCCAGGTCGCCGGGGAAATTTGCCTTCTGGGCAGGAAAAGTTCTACCAGCCAGTGTATGCTGATGACGCTGCCATGGAGATGGATGATATGCACTCAACATATTCTTCAGTGAAACCAGCGTCAACTATCCTTACCCCCTTCCCTACCCAAGGACCCCATGGACCGTACATGACTCCGCACTCCACAAGTCCGTTTGGCGGCAATATACCTGGCAATAGAAACTCGCACATGTCATCGTTCTCACGGTACACGGAGCAGCCCCTTGGCGCTCGCAGTCAAAACCATTTGTCCATGGGCAATCTTAGCAGCTACCATGATAATCCAGCAAGCGCAAGCCGGTTCAGCGGGTTTGGGCCAGTGGGAACCGAGAGTCACCTCGGAGTTCCTCAGCGGCAAAGCATGCGCAGCCCACTGGGTATGACTCGACCAGTGAACACCATGGTGGATTTCAGAACCCCACCAAGTTTAGGGCCAGATGAGGCAACTATTACGGAGGCTATTCAACACTGTCTGTCCGAGGTGGACTTGGATACCGTGACCAAAAAACAAGGTTCGTATTGCTAACTATACGTTCGCGATTCCCCTCTTTCTTTTTTCGTCTATATTTTTGTTTATCTAACGATTTTGTGACTGCAGTTCGTGCTCTTGTTGAACAACGATTGCAGACGACATTGACCGGCGATAAGAAGTCATTCTTAGACCGCCAGATCGATACCGAACTTGCCAATATGTGAAAACCAGGATAACCGTCGATTTATTTTCGGGCTCGAGCCTGGACACATCGGGTCCATGCCCGCTTTTAACGACTCTGCTCCGTTAAATTCATTTTGTTCTTGGATTTACTTTAATTATTCTCATGTCTTGACGGAGGTTTACCATCTATCTTTGCTATTTTACTTCATCTTTTATATGTTTATTACTATTTGGTCTCTCTCTCTCTCTCTCTCTTTTTTTTTTTTTTTTTTTTTGTTTTTTTTTTACCGTAATGTGGGTGCTAACTAGTTTGTCCCTTATTTGGTATGTCTTTGTGGTATTTTATTCTAATTTTCCACCTTGTTTATTCGATTTCCCCCCTTTTTTGTTCGCCCCGAGCGCGCGTGTGTCTTGTGTATGTCTTCTTCCTTGCCTGTCATATATTGTTGTAATGTTTTGGGAAAGCAGGAATTTCAGGAAGTCAAAAACACATCACGTCCGCTATCAATATGAGATGAATATGTTCATTCTCAATCGTACGCATACATATATACTAATAATATCTTTATAATAATTACATGCATCATTGATACTAGCCCTATTTTGGTTCCTCTAACTATTATTTCCTTTTTAATTTATGCTCTCTTTGAATTCTGTTGCATTTATTCTTGTTTAGTTTCTCGCCATCTTTCGTGTCTTCATTCCTTTAGTTCTCAGATTGAATTTGCTGGATCGGCTGTTGCTCCAAGCTCTGAGTGCATATATTGATAGATTTTCAGATGTCATTTGTGTAGTTGAAATGCAAGGCAGGAAATACCAATAGATAGCAAGGTTTTCTTTTACTTGAATCAGTTTATAAAAACCAACCTATCGATAAGAACCACCCTAGAATAAAATGCTCTGGGACTGCACAGCCGCCGCTCTGCCGTGCCGACATGGCGGCATCACATCTGCAGATGCCCACTTTGACAAGCAAATAAAAACGCGTTCAACGTTAGTGTAGCTGTTGGCTGAGGGGGAGGGGGGGGTATTCTGTATCCTGATCCCGCCATCCGGAATTTACACTGTAAGCAATGGGCACACTTATTAGCTTCGGGCACATTCTCAAGAAAGCAGTTGGGCAAAAGGCCCCCCCATGCAAACGTGAACCAGGGGGGAACTAATCGATGTGAGTGGCCGTGATCGAGATCTGGTCGTTTGAGGCCGGCCTCAGTAGTGGCAGTGTTTTTTGAGCCGACTGATGGGGACTCGGAAATATTCCACAGTATGTCGGTCTTGGCGAAACTGTTTGGCTGTTTCATCATGCTTATCTTTGAACACACACAACCTCGTGGTTTATACATATGTCCGACGCTCGACGTAACATCTTATCTTATATGCCGCGGTGCCTTGGTAGATAGCTAAGAACAATCATCTTTCATAGCTGTGAGGATCAGAGTGTTGGTGTGATATGTGATATGCGGACATGCTCTGTTGTTGAAAGCACAATAACATAATCGTAATAATAATCACTAATAATAATATATATCCCTTGCTAAACTCCCGTTGGACACTATAAATAGCAGCACTAGGGCTCACTACGGAGATTAAGCGCGGGGGATGGATGAAGCCAACCAACTGCCAAGGCTGGCAAGGGTAGGGCGAGCCCTGCAGCGCTAAGCTCGCCAAGCCCACTAACTTACATGAACCTTAAACGTCCTGCCCCTACGACGACCGCTCTGGTTTGACAATGAGAGAGAGATGGTATGGAGCCCATGCAATGTGTATCAAACATAGCTCCAACGATGGGTTTGATTTATTGAAAGCCAATGAATTCTATATGCATTCTGGATGATATATGGTATAGTACATGAGAGAAAAAAAACGAAGTGTTGGAAACGGGAAAGCAAGGAGCGCATGAACGGCCAAGAGGAATTGGCCCAGAGGAAGGGACAAAAATATAAAAAGAAATAAATGGAAAAAATAGTCGTTGCTAACATACATCAATAGGAAACATCTCAGTAAGAATACTTGCGCTCACAAGGGGGACATTCCTCGGGTCTCTTGGGAACCTTTTTCCTGGGCTTCGACTTGTAGTGCCTGCGGACTCCGTTGAAGAGCAGTTTGCGGGTGGTACCCTCGGGGGCACCTTTGACGGAATCCCTTGCAAGCTCCTTCAGGCGATCACAGACAGCCCCGCCGCTGATGTTCTCAATCGCCATGAGGTAAGCGGCGACGCCGGCGGCGTGAGGGGCAGCCATGGAGGTTCCTGAGTAGGAATCGGTTTTTCCTCCAGGGACGGTGGAAACAATGTCGACGCCAGGTGCAAAGAGGTCGACTATGGCGAAGTTCATGTTAGTTCCCGAAGAGGAAAGAGAGAGAGGAAAAAAAAAAAAAAAAGGAAAAAAATTGAATGAATGAAAAGAAATGGAGTTGCCAACTTACCACCACTACCATAGTTGGAGAATTTGGCAATTGTGTCCTCGGAATCGGTAGCGCCAATAGTGCACACAGTTGGCTCAGAGGCGGGAGATTTTTTGGACGCATCAAACTAGACAGACTGTCAGCAGGAGTCTCTTTGAAAAAGCTCAAGAGAACAGAGAAATCGAACCTACCCCGTCGTTGCCAGCGGACACAGCAAGGAAAATACCGGCGCGGACAATGGCCGCGGCAGCCTCGTTGAATGAACGGCTGTAGGGCGCACCAAGGCTCATGTTCATGATAGACTTCTTGGGGTCACCATTGTGCGTGGCATGGGCGTAAGCCCAGGCCATACCCCGGATGACATTGCTTCCTCCACCATCTTCGTCGCAGCCAAACACCTTGACGCCGATCAGCTTAATCTTTTTGGCAACACCGTGCCGATTGCCACCAATAGTGCCCGCAACATGAGTGCCGTGGTTTCCGCAGTCTTCGTCACGCGAGTCAACAGTATTTGTACCCCAGGTCGCGCGACCGTCGAAGTCGGGGTGGTTCACATCGATACCGGTATCGATAACATAAGCAGTGATACCTTCGCCGGCTTTCTCGTCATAGATATAGTGTGGGGAACCGGGCTTGGTCGAGGAAATTCGGCCGAGTCCCCATGAAGAAGCGTTTTTTTGTATGCGGAGCTTGTCAAGTTTCACAACTATGTCTGGTTCGATGTAGGCAACCTGGGAATTTACACCTCGGTCAGTATTTTGTTTGAAGACAAGGTAATTGTTAGGTTTGAAAATATGAGCGTTCCGTCCATACATCTTCATCATTGGAAATCTGTTTGATAACATCCTCGCCAAAGATACCTGAGTATGCTTTGAATTCGCTGTCGAGGTTGTAGTCATGTCTGACACCACCATTATCGACACCGGAATCACTAGCCGACAGCTTATTGGAAACCCAGCTCCGGTGGCTCTCAAATCTATCGTCGCTTGTGCCCGGTTTCATGACGACGATGTATGAATTGGGAACCGCATGGCTGTTGCGGGGAACTTTAAGAACAGCTGCAGCATCGGCAGTGGACAGTACCACTAGGGCGAGTGGAAGAATGGTGTCGAAGAAATGCATTGGAAAGACCGAAAGGAAACTGAATATAAAAAAGAAAAAAAGATGCAGAAAAAGATGCGGGAAGGGTGTATTGATCCTTTAGCTATGGGTTTGGATCTGTTGTGTTGAATGATACTACGACGAACATAGGGGCACGGTAGGATCTTATATGAATTTTCATGTCGACCCTAATGAAGGGCTAGAGATAGGAGAGGATTCAAAGTGTCAGCCCTGCCCACATACAGCGTAGCAACTAGCTCCCAATACCCCGTACAGCAAATTAGGGAGGCTGAAAATAACATATTCGCTAGGGCTTGTTGCTAAATCGAGAATCAGAAGCGAAGGAATGCATTTTGCTCATTCCACCAGGGCTGGTAAGCAGCCGCCCTCAGCATGACGCTGAGCCCGCTTCCAAGGGGGTGAAATATCTATTATTAACTCGGGGAGTTATCGTAGAGTCCCAGGATAACAGGCGCAGCACGCATAGGCCGCTGAGGGGGAAAACACAGTTCAAATAATGAAATAACATGGAAAATCTGCTTGCTTTTCTCCAAATCTCTTTAACTAACTTAGTTACTCCGCGGCGTATGTAAGTTTGGCGTTAGCGCAGGAAAGATAGAGCCCAAGGAAGGCTAACGGTGTTAGCCAGCGCCGGGGCGGGTGGTAGGGCGAAGAGAGAGAGTTATTAGGGGGGGAGCAATAATAAAAGGTAGGATTGGAGCGAGGGCATGCGGTGAACTTCTTCTTTCATAACTTGACCATGGAGCAAGCATTTGGAATCTGACGGGGGAAACTAGTTGGACGTATCAACCCTGATCATGGCTATAACCAGGGCCTCTTGTCAATCTCATCTAAATACGGAGTACACCTGCACTAATGATGGACTGATTTCTTCATAACACAATACGGAGTACTGACTATGCTGTAACTATATATTAAAAAAAAAAAAAAAAAAAAAAAAAAAAATAGTATCTTTGAGTTGACCATTATTATTATAATTCTTATCTTCAATAGGTGTGTTGAGTATTGAGGGTTTTGAGTAAACGAGAATAATAGTGTAACTTATATGTATGGGGGTTGATCTGACTAGACATTCAGCTCACCATAGTTATTCAACTAGAAGCCCGAGTCTAACGAACAAGTTCGCCAGGAAGATTGCTTCCTTCCGACCTTGATATTGCATTATTATCATCTCTATAGGATAGATCTCAATCTTGCCGAAGCTAGACTAGCCAACTGCATTCATAGGGGAAATATCTTCGCGATTGGTCGGTCCTACGGGGCCAGCACAAAATATCCGCGGATTTTACCTCCAGAGGGTGGGGGAGGCTGGAGTCCAAGCATGCATTCTTTTATTAGAAAAAAAGAATTAAAAAAGGGTCCAAACGGGTGTATTTCGCCAGCAAAGCGATGTACATGTACATGTACTGTACATATCATCAGTCCCTCCATCTCAGGCTGTGGTGGTCAGATTATCTTCAAGAAGCGGCGTAATTGCGAAGTGGCCACGGATTCCCGTGGTTTTTGGCCCGTTTTTCGTGGCATTTTAGCGGTCCACCAAGAGGCATGCCCTAAGACTGTTCCGTGATAAATATAGAGAAATGGATACCCTAGAAGAATGTCTCTCATTATGGATATCTATACCTTCTGCCTTCTTTTCCGTGTGGTTAAATTGCTTATGTATCTTATTTCCCAGCGCATGCTGTACTATACATCATGGTGGGAAAACGTGCAGCATATGCGCAATTAGATGAAAAGGCCTGGGAGACTGTCTTCTCTGAAGAGACAAGGCGCCGGCTGGTACACTATCGTCAGCGTGGATGGCTTTCACCACAATACAAAGAAACAACATGGATCAATATAGGAGTGATTGAGCGTTCTTGGCGTCGGTTGGTTTCCTGCCTTTATGCCAGACCTTTACAACATGCTAATGTACTGAAACAGGTACTGTGAACATGTCAAGGAGGATTACGAGAAGTATCTTCTCTGAGCAGAAATCGCAGTCTATCAGACTTTCTTTGACTGGCTTCAGAGATGAGTCATAGAGGGTTTAGACCAATACAAAGAATTGGAGACATATAAAACATATTGGAAGTGGCTCTGCCAATATTACTCCTTCTTTAAGCAGAAAGGATTCGATAATGAGGTTTATCAGCAAATGGAGAGGGTATGTAATCTCTATGTTGAGTACTCTACTTTCCTTCCATTTGAATGGGATACTAATCTTAAGGAAAGTGGTTCAAACATGAATTCCAGGTCGAACGCAAGGGCGAAGTGAGCAATAAAGCCAAAGACAAGCCTACCACAGATGTTGTAGTCTTCTCTGTGCTCATGCGCCATCATTGGATGTTCTCCACCCATTTCCCTCACGGCAACGATCAGGTTCAGTTTGCAACCCTGAAAATGTGGCTAGCAATAACTGGCTCACGACCCGGTGTGATTTTACCAAAGGACCCTCAGACAGCGAAACCCAAGGCGGCCTCCGATGGATTCAAGAGTGATCTTCCGCGATATACATCTTTGAGCAGTCTGCCAAAAACTGTATTGTGGAAAGACATCGAACTATTTCTTCTACCTATACCCAATGGGAGTATCCCGTGTGCAATCATCGATTTTCGAAACTTGAAAGGCAAGCCGGAGGGCGCAGAGGGGTAAGACTACATCCTACAATATGTTGAGAAGGAACCAAGTACCAATGTGTCATTTTATAGGACTAGATTCTTTGTTCATGGCGATTACAAGCTGGTATACTGCCCCATCGCCCAGATAGTAGCGCTGGCATTTCGAGATGAGGCCTTTCAAAATGAGCATCTCACGCCGAAACTGTTCTGGAGCTTGAGAGTCCCCCGCCATAGGGGATCTCTCCCATTTCGATGGAAGGACAAGGTGCTAAACAAACCTGTGCTTCGATGTATGAAAACGGACGATGCCGGCTTGCACTCCATTGATGAAAAGCAATCAATGTCGTACAGCGTGGCCAATAAAGCCAACACAGCACTTGTTCGGGATGCGGGCTTCATGGACATGTCCTTCTATGCTGATAGACGCTGGGTGGCTAATACAGCAAACGGTACGTCTTTTTACTCCATTAGGCAGCCAATATTTACTTATTGGTTCTAGATAAGTTCACCAAGGCGGAGCGGAAAAGAATTCTTGGTCATAACGGTTCAAATGTTTACGAAAAAAATTATCACGATCACAATGTAAAGCGGGATATGCAATTTTTTGTCCTCTTACGACCCCACCACAACGAAGTGCTTGAGCTAGCCATGAGCCAGATGAGACACCGGGACACACGAGCACCTGGCAGCAGAGCTTCGGACACCGTGAAAAGAGCAGTACGCGAGCATCCTACGATCCTGAGACTGAGACAGCGACAAGGAGCACTAAAGGAACAAATAATATCAGTGGCTGGAAAAGTGCAAAGAGGGCAAAGCATCTGCCCAGATCTTTATCAGCAGTATCTTTCAGTCAAAAAAGAACTGCCTAGCAAGAGAAACACTCTCACGAGGCAGTTACACAAGAAGGAGAGAGATGACTTTTTTCTTAATATTGGTGCAGAAGAGGTGGACAAGGAGATTTTACGATTACTTGCGGGAGAGGAGTATGATGATTCTCATGTTGATGAGAGTGAAGAGCCAGTTCCGAAGCACTTTTCAAGTGAACGAAAACGACTTATTGATTCATTCTATGGTCCTGAATCAGAAACCTTTGACGGTGAGCAGCTGCGCAAGAGACAAATTCAAGTTACCGAGGATCTTATAGCTCTCTGCAGGCTCTCCGAGCCTTCGCAAAGGGGAAAGAGATTCAACTAGGACCCAGACAGCAGAGGATCCCATGACAATATCAGCTTAACCACGCAATCTGGACTTCTCGAGGTGCCCACTCAATATTGCATTCTTTGTTATGGAAAGTCGATGGCACAGCAGGGTAAAGCGTCGCATAAATTCCGGGACATTGCTTCAGTGAGGCGGCATCTTCAGCAAACACATTTCGCAAAATCTTCTGGTCAGTTACCATGCACCTGTGACGGTTGTGAGCCACAACCTTTCCCAGATGAGTTGTCTTTCCTACACCACGCCAGGATGACACATGCCTATGATCTCGACAAACGCTCGCAGCGCACTAAACGGCTTCAACATCAAAAACGAGAGAAGTTAAAATGAGAGCAGCCAGCAGGAGATGGACTTGAGTCTGGGAAGCAGTTGAAACTCTCTGTGAACAAAATCTCACTGAAGAACATTGATCCTCAACTGCTTATGTGTTCTCCATAAATAATTTTCCTATCAGTTTGCAAAGATCATGACAATATAGCATGCAGCTTCTTATTATATTCTTGCTAACTTTGTATGCTAGAAAGACATCAAAAAACTTTAGACATTTGTGAACTTGCAAAGATAACTCCACAGCTGAGATCACAATGATATGCAAAGAGCTCCTTGTCCTAACTAGGCCTATGACAACTTCCCAGCACAGCTTGGGCCTACCATTTCTGCATGGCCAGGTTTCATTGACTACCAATAAGAACTCTTGAAGAATGGGACAGCTGAAGCTGCGTCGCTGCCTTCCCCGCCCTCCCCGCCCCGGTATATATATCGGCTCCCTCCCGCCTTGAATCCATCTTTCTTTCAATTCCTTTTCCACTTCCCATCCTACCACTGCAAGATTAAGACCTATCGAGGGGCATACATAGTCCAAGGCGACAGAGTGAACATAAAAGAGCATGTTCCCTCCTGGAGTTCCCCATCATTCTTTTTTTTTTTTTTTTTTTGCTCGCGTGACTTCTGATCTGGAATTGTCTGCTTGCTGTATGAGCCTTTTCAAGCCAGCAGTATCTCCGTGCACATCGATCATTCAATCATGGCTTCAGCTGAACCTGACCTTCCCCACAACAAACTCCGCGACATCATCATCATCGACAGTTCAGATACAGAGGTGGATGAGCCGCCGTCCCTGCCACGAGAGCCACGAGAGCCACGGGAGAAGAGACCCTGCACAGATGACAGCTATCCAGCGCACGAGGCTTTATTTGACAACCTAGTATCCTTGGAAGCATCCGAAACGTCGCAGCCACGGAAGAAACATAAAATATCCAGCTTGGACATGGTTTTGGTAAGCCTCTTCTCTTGGCAGAAATCTTTCTGTGCTGATATTGGGATAGGAAACAGCAAACCAGAAAATCCACGAGGTTTGGGAAGCAGAGCATGCAAAGATGAAAAATCCGGAAGAAAAAGTGCAACACCTGCTTGTGGAAATGATTAGGAAAGATGAGCAGATCAGCGAGCTTGAGGCCAAAATCCGCGAGCTGGAGCATCGATGTCAATGTTCAATATGTTACACTATCCCGCTGGAATGGAAAACCCTTCTATGTGGACATAGGTTTTGCTCACAATGCCTTTCTTCTGATGCAATGACCTGTGGGTCATGTCGCCAGAATATCACTGGTTATATCAAGAGTTACTAGATAGAGAATACACTGGCTCAATCAAAGCACCAGCTTTCTATCTATCAACAAGTCTCATGCAGTTATGTGAATACCATCATCCCTCTTATAGGGTAATGTACATCACAAGATGAAGTTTAAGATGCAGCAAAATATTGCGGAGAAAGAAGAGATAGATTTATTTAAAATATTAAGATTAATGAGATGCAAAACTCCAAGACAACAGTGTAAGAAACTAACTAAAGGAATGAATAGATGGTTTCATCAACCCAGATTAGTCATAAGACACAAGCTCAAGAAGCCAAATATAATCTGATAAGCAATTCAATGATGATTGAGTTCCACTCAGTCTTCTGGTATTGTCAAACATGACTGTTCCTGTTCCACCTTCATCTCTAACATTTCAGCCCTTCAATGAAGTTCTTCTGCTTGGAATCTCTGTCTATCCAGGTGAGAAATCCCAAGCAAATCTTCAAGTGCCTCCTCGACATCTGTGACATCTGAGCCCTCAGGGGTCATGGCTTCAGCAAGCATCTGCTCTCCAGCCCTCTGTCTCACAAGCAGTTTCAAGTTAGAGTGAGACTCACAAATCTCTGTGTAAACCCCCTTCAAGTGATGAAAGAAGACACAAACAACAAAAGGCAATGCTTTTGAGAATTTGTCCCATTCTTCAACAGCCACAACTTTGACACTGTATTCTCTCATGTTTTCAATCTGTCCCTTCAACTGCTTTCACTCATTAGGGCCACTCATCTTTGGGGTTTCTACTCTCTCTGCTGCCTCAAGAACTGTTCGCCCTCCGGCTTCTGACTGTGTGTGAAGCACATGGCCACCATCTCCAGTTTCAACCACAGCATGACTGTTATTTCTGTACATCTGCATCCAGATGATTTTTTCTCCTGCTGCTGTATATCCAGGTTGAATATTTCAAGTCACTCTACATGAATGAATAGTGATCTTCTGACCCCTCCGGCCATTTCATGATGATTGAGTTGGAACCAGCAGTTCAATGAGATTATACCCCTGGGTGGCACAACTATGCAGATCAGTTAGCAAAGCTGTTTCAATACAAGATTGTTCAACTCACCAGTGTGGGCAGTGTGCATCTTGCATATGACCACTCTGACTACTTCACTGAGACCACTGCTCTAGACAGTCTGTGTGCATTACATGCCAGCATTGCCTGCATCTTGCACGTCGGGTTCCATTCAAACCTGACATGCATACAGGGCAACCATGAGGCGGAGGTGTTCTGTCTCTGAGGCCTGGAGGATTCTGGTCTCTGGGAGGTGAGAAGGTCTGGTTTCCAGGAGGTGAAGGAATCTGGTCTCCAGGAGGTTGGGGAGTCTGGTCTCCGGGAGGTGGGGGAGTCTGGTCTCTGGGAGGTGGGGGAGTCTGGTCTCGAGGAGGTTGGGGGGCCTGGTTTCCCAGAGGTGAGGGGTGGTTTTCGGGAGGCGAGGGGTTCTGGTTTTCGGGAGGTGGAAGGCTCTGGTTTTCGGGAGGTGAAGAGTTCTGGTTTTCGGGGGGTGAAGGGTTCTGGTTTCCCGGAGGTGAGGGGTGGTTTTCAGGAGGTGGAAGGCTCTGGTTTTCAGGAGGTGGAGGGTTCTGGTTTGGTTGCTGATATGGCACTTCAGGATAATCAGGACACCATACTGGTTCCAAGCCGTTGGACTCCAGCCAATTCTCCTGAACTCTCTTGAGATTGTCATAAGCGACGCGGTCACCTTGCGTGTATGCAGTGAATAGCCTCAGGTATATCATATCAATGACTTGGGAATCCAGTCCATGAGCATAGAGAAGCTGTTTGTTCTCCTTATTCAATCTCTGAATTTCAGGCCATGTATCGGAACACTTGGTCTCCAGTTCTCTCCGGGCTGCATCAACATCCCCATTATCACGGTAAGCTCTCCAAAGATTCTGAGCAGCTGCTGTGACATGGTTCCAGGCCGGTATCCAATACTTCTCAACGGCATCGTCAGCATATGTGTATTCTGCTTGCGGAGGTAGCTTCGTCCAGCCTAAAGGATATGTATTGGGGAGCTGTATGTTATCTGTAGACCCGCCTTCCTTCACACGTTTCCAGACAGCCTGTAGTTTCGAGATTTCAATCGTTCCAAAAGTCGAGGTCAAGCCTCGTTCACTGTTCCATTGCGTCAGAGATTGGTTGATTCTCTCGATAGCGTCCAGTTGCGCAAGAACCATTGTGCTTGGCTTTTCTAGATTGTGAACACCACCTATGATCATTTCACCACGCTGGAATGCAGTATAAAGTCTTTTTAAGGGAGTGGTCGCCTTCATATGTGCATCTCGATGCGCTTTCACCAATGGCTCTCCCAGGTGTTGTATCTGCACTCTTTCAAGCTCATTTGCAATGCCCGCTCTGGTTTCGATGACCTTGGCTGTAATGGTTGCCAACTCTAGCCACATTATATGTTAGCAAAGACTCGCATGGATGATGGGAGAAACTTACTCTCTTTGGCCTTTGCAACAACCCTAAATTCAGCTTCATTGGAGCAGGTAGGAACGTCCAATATCATGTCAAGTTTCTTGATGCTCCAAGCCGCCATTTCTTCTGTCGCGTCGTGAGGGAGCCCAAGAAGTTGATAGTAGTCATTCTCATCAGCACGGTACATGCAGTTGGCAATGTGAATTCGGTCAAAGTAGGAAACATTCAATCCTGGAAGGAAATCCTTGTCCGCCCTCTTGTCACAAGTATCTGATTTGAAAAGGGCTTCAGCTCTCTGAGAAAGTTTCTTCTTTTCTTCTTTCTCTTCTTCTGTTAGAGAGTCATCATTGTCAATCTCTTCGTCAGGTATTATATCATCGAGCATGTCATCATTCCACTCCTCCTCGTTTGTATCCCCATCTTCAGGAATACCTCCAGGCGCTGAATTCTGGTTTGCCGTTGCAGATGTTTGAGATGAGGATGAACCAGCAACAGAAGAATTTGTGTTCTCAGGAGGAACTCTGGGATCTGGAGTTTGCTTCAAGGCCGCCAATCTTTCCGTGAGGTCCTGGCCTGCAGCAGAAGAATTTGCCTGAAAAGTTCCTTCAGGAAAAGGGTTTTCTGGGCTCTCTGATCTCTCAGTCAGAGGAGAAAGTGGAGGTGAGGTGGATAGGTTAAGCTCAGGAGCCTTTCCCTTGGACGAATTCGAAGGCATGACTGGGAGCTTCTTGCAAAAGAGATGATAGTTTCGACCAGCGAAGTATCTTAACAAGTTCAGGTATAAAGATGCTTGGATTCAAATTTGAGCAGTGTGATTCAGATAAGCAATGGCAGAATCAGATCAACTGATTTTTGAGTAATTGATTGTGTATGATAAAAGCCTGTTGAGAGTGATGTCTTAACATCAATTTATATTAAAAAAGGGGGCCACGAGATTTGCGATGATGCCATGATAATAATTCATGGCCAACAGCCACCTTTCATTGTAGTTGTTAAACCATGGCCACTGGCCACGATACTGACAAGAGATATCATTGTGTTAAAAAGTGAGATGATTGAAGATGATAAATGAATTCATCAAACCATCTTGATTATCAAAAGATTCTTGAGATCAGATGAGTCACTGCAAAATGCTCACAGCTCTTGCTCTATTCAGCTTGCTTAACATCAGCTCTACCCTTGCTCTTCAGATGAAGTATGTCAATTCAACCCCTCAGTTAATGCCTCCGAGCTAACAAGCAGACAGGCTAGAGCAGTCAGTCTTCATTGATGCTTCAAAACCCCCACATACTACCCACAAAGTCAATGTGAGTTGTTCATGATGGAATTGAATTTGAACTGAACCATCTCAACACCAACATCGGTGATCTGATGATCTTTGAATTCTACCAGTCAAACCACACTTTGACACAGTCAAGCTTTCAATCTCCATGCACACCGTTGCAGCAATTTGATTCTGGCTTTACCCGATTCAATCCCTCAAATCGCTCAGGCCTATTAATGTCATTCACTGTCAACTCTCTGAATTCCCAGTGATTCTTTTGTCGACAGATTCACCCAACCTCTCACTGCCATGCAGGCATGGTATTTGCTCTCAACCCTGGTGATCAGATGGAGCAATTCCTGGCAAATGTGAAAGAGAAGCATGAAACTACAACCTCAAACTCTGTTCTAGAAACTAGCTTTCCAGTCATGACAGTCATCAATTTCCCAGCATCAGCGGGCCTCATAACTGAATACTGTGAAACTGGCTTTTCAACTATGACAGCCAGCAATTTCTTAGCTTCAACAGGCTTCATAACAACAGCAATGGCAATGCCAACAGGATTCTATGAGAGTTGAGCAAGCAGCAGCATCAGCAGCACTTGACACTCAACCACAAGAAGATCAGAAGTGTCTATGCCTCGGGCTGTTTCATTTACTGGCAATGAAAGCCAGGCTGTTTTTCCACATCTGATGCTACTTGTTGTCTTTGTGTTTAGTATGATTTTAGTGCTTTGAACAGCTTTTATTGTACCCAGGTATAGCAATCAATACTTTGAAATATAAAATCTGCCACTATGCTTATCTCTCAGAGAGCAACTTTCAACTACTGTACCAGAGAAACAGAAATACAGCTTGATAAGTTTGAATCAAATCATGAAAATAGTATAGATGCAGTACGACAATCAAACTTCTGTCACCCGAACAGAGGATTTGGCCAGGTCAAACTTCATTACACCCTACTCCTGCTCAACTCCCTACACTTAGCAACGAGATAACCCCTAGGCCAAACCCCAAATTTCTCATTTTTTATACCTCTAATCACCTCTAATCCTCATTTCAGCTCATGATTTCTATTGAGATTGCAAAGGATATACTATCACTAAGTGTACTAGAAGACAAGAGATGAGAAGAGAGCAGGTAAGAATGAGGAAATGACCTTGATAAAATCAAGAGACAAGGAATTCACAAAGACAGTGAGTAAATATGAGTTGGCATAAGTTACTACTCATGGAGAAAACCGAAGCACTTGAGAAATTCTAAACAACATTGATGATTCCATCCAGGGCCCAGAAGCTGATCAGATCAGAGCTTGATTGAAACTCAAGCTCCTGAAATTCAAGCCTGTCATTGTGTTGGAGAACAAACTCACAAGCTTCATCACAGGCATTTGAGATAGCAGACACTGATAAGAGTGAGAAACCAATATAAAAGACATCAGAGAAGTTCTATTAACTTATCAATCATAAGCACTTTTCTTAGCCATTCATCTAGTTCTTTTGCAAGGACATTCTCACATATCTTTCTATAATTAAATGCATCACAGCCCCCATCTTCAGTTGCATCATCATTACCATCAGAGCAGTGAATGATATATAGAGTATAGTGCAGAATCTACAGAGACAATTAGCAATGATTCATCATAGAGAGTAGATGACTTATCAGAGAATTGCTATCTTCTGCCAGTAACTGGCTGATCCGGTCTGAAATTTAACTGTTATGGGCTTTATGGCACTGTTAGGCAACACACATCATGGTAGCTTCAGTCAACTTACACTCCTCTTTCATCTCCCACACTATATTGATGCGATGTCGACGGATGCCTCCTCCCCATGTATTCATGTCATTTTCCTCCGTGATGAAGCAGCGGAGGAGGTCCTTTGCATAGAGAAGTTGGCCAGCAATACCAATGTCTGTCGCGATGAGCATAACAGCATCATAGAGCCATGCTGCCTTCAGAAGTTGCTTGCGCTTCAGGCTGCCATACAGGCCATCCACGATGAGGCGCAGGTGACAGTGAGGAGTCAAAAATAAGGCCTGTGTAAAGCCAGTCCTCACTCTCACAATAACAGTGACCAAGACAGCTTCGCCATCAGGCCCATCTTCCGTCCAGACAATGTAGAACAGATGGGCCTGCGTGACCACCCAGAAGCCAAGACCTGGGACCATCAGATATATGTACTGGCCGGTGCATACCTTCCATGGCCGCGATGGGCGGAAGGTCAGCTCAACCACACCCGCCTTCTTCACCACATGGGTGACAGGAAGTGACCAGTGGGCACAGAGATTGCAGAATGCAACCCAGACAATACGAACAGCAGAAGTAAGGCCCGGAAGAATTGCTGCCGTAAACAGACAAATCCTGTGAAGAGTGCATGGCCACTTCAGATGCATCCACACCATGACCAGGGCAGCAACACTCAGAAAGAAGTGGCAGTGAACATAGAGCTCATGCGACCAGGTACAGACCCACAGTAGCACAACCACAAGCACTGCCGCCAGCATGATGCTGCCTATAAATCCATAGTGCAAAGGCCTGTCACTGAGGCTAAAGGCCATCTGCAGCAGCGCAGTGGCCACATGTACAGCAGTCTGAAGCACAGCCATCAGGCCGATTGCCTGGTGCAGAAGCTGATATGTTCACAAAGAGACCCCAAACAGGTCAGCAGCAAAGCTGAACTGGCGGGTCAGGTAGAGCGAGACTAAGTGAAGTAGGGCAAGCGAGCCCACTCTCGCGCTGGCCTCCCGGGCACTGCGGACGCCCACAGCATTGCAGGCAAGCGTGCCTCCCAGATGAAGAAGATGTAGAAACATCCTGGTACAGGTAATGAGTTCAAACAACCTTTGACAACAGAGCAGATAGAGCAGCATCCTTCACTGAAAACACATCCACATGAACTCCTCATTGAAGATGCTGCAGAGGCCCCATCAAAGATGGCAATGAAAGAGCAGAAGAACCACAAGATCAGTGACAGTACAGGCATAGATGGTGAGGATATCCATGATTGAGTGCTTCCCTGGCCAGCCAGGGACAAGACAGTAACAAAATGATGAAGTTGACTGGAAGGCCAGCAACAGACAGTCAGAGTGTATAAGAAACAATGCATTAAGGCCACGAATTTCAAACTCATGGCCTCAATTCTGAAATGTTAAAAATAGGTCATAGGGGCCATGAATTGCAGAACCATGATGTAGTGAGATGTCACAACAAGTCAGAATGAATGCACTCAACAAGTCCACTGACAAAAATATCCAGCAAGATTCAGTACTATTTCTAGACCTTGAAACAGCAATTCTTGTTTCATCTGTGTCTAAAAATATCATCAGATCATGTAGAAGAGTTCTTGTCATCAGGCAAAAGAAGATATAAATGCCACTGAAGAGCATAGTCTAGCAAGCAAAAGCTGCGAAACCAGAATCAGCCTTTTTAATACATTGATCCACATCACAATCACAATGACTGAAGACCAGTGCCGAAGACAAGTGAACAAATGCTGTGTGTGAAACATTGATTCAAAAAAGTGAGCAAAAGCTGATCATGAACAGTTTCAATAAGTAAAATGAGCCCTCTATAAGACAGGAAACAAAGCATACATCAACAGAATTAACATCGGCCACAATCACCATATCTACATCTGTATTTTTGAAAAGAAAAACAGAAGAGCACCAGGCAAATTCTTTACCAACAGTAGCCACTGGTCAGAATCATGGCCTTCAACAAGACAAGAAGTGATGAGTGCTAGAATGTCCCTGTCATCAGAAGAGGTCTAACCAGCCAAAAGAAAGAGCATTATTCTGAAACTGAATTTACTACCCCGGAGGACTTTGCACACAAGAGAAGCAATCATAATAAGGAATCTAAAGAGTCTGGGCTGGAATCAAAACCTCGACACAAGCGTTTTACAATCTCTTTACTGTCAGTACTGAACATCAGTGCAGAATCCAGCTGATTGAGTGATACATTCATAAGTTCTTGAATTCAAGAGATAAATTTGAAAGATTCATAGCTAGACAGGTTCATAGCTAGCCATAACTCACATCAGAAACACTTCTTTACTGCTTTATTCTTCACATCCTAGTCCTTCCAACCTTTAGCACCTGCATATTAGAATCCAACTGAAAAATTAACCCTACAGATCAAAGCAGCTCAACCTTGAAGAGCTTTTGAAAATCAGGGCTAAAGTTGAATAGTGCTTGCCAAATCCTCATCATCAAGAAGAGCTGACAAAGGTAGCTGAGGACCCTAAGAAATGCCAGCAGCAGATGAATCTTGATGGTGTGGAACAGAATAGAGAGCAGAAGGTTGGGAACTTAATGTTCACAAGAACTGTAACACCTAACTACCTCAGTATTTTGACTTCAACAACAACTTCCAGATTAGAACTAGTCTCTGAAGCCTGCGAGCGCGTTGAAGATACATACAAAAGTACAAAGTTCCATGAATCCCAGTGAATTCAATCACATCAAATACATCAATAGCTTGATTCCTGAACAAATACAAAAGCATTCATTCTATGATGTACAGATCACTACTCCCTCAGGACCTCTACCTTCTTTAGAGTTGTCTCCCAGGCTACTCTTATGTAGGGAATGAGACACTCTGGCCCAGGGAATCATTGCAGGAAATCATGCTTTCTTTGATGTCAGTTGCATTATTAAGCCAGCAAGTTGAGACTACTTACTCAGAGAAGCTCTGCTGCCTGTTTTGTATGAATGAGCATCTGAAACTCCTGGAGATCCGCATTTCATTTCTTGTCTGTGAGAATGTCACACTTGAACAGCGCTGTACACGGTTTCAAGCTCTCAATTATCATTGTACCCAGTGAGCGTATATCCTCTTGTGCTGCTTTTTCGTCTTTCTTTCTCAGCATTGCTGTGCCAATGTCCGCTGACCAGCTGTTAACCTCAAGAGCAGGTGGATGTTTTCTAGGGAACTCACCAATCTTTACCACCCCTTTCCCCGGCGCCAGAAGAACACTCTCAGCACCAAGCACACCATGCGTGAGCTGGAGATGATTGTAAATGTAGTCCAGGCCATCAAGAATCTCTTTGCAGAATGCTGCCACCTCATAATATCAAAGCAGTCCACAGAGTGTTGTGAATACCTGGACAAGAGACACATTCAAAACCTCATAATAGAGAAAGATGGCGCCGTCGTGATAGAGAGCCTCATGCAGACTGACAATATTCTTGTGAGCGGCCAGCTTGATCCTCAACAGCCACTCCTTGCTGTGAACTTTGATCTCTTTCACAAGTCTCTTATCAAAGATGCTCTTCTTGGCATGCACAATGGTCCCAGCAGTCTCATCTTTCCCAGTGTCATTTTTTCACTTGATACATAGCTGATATCAATCCTGAGGGTTCACAACCTCTGTCTTTAGATGAATGGCCACAGTGGGCATCACAGTCAGCAATGGGAAGCTCAGCTGAGACCTCACTTCAATCATGCAGCGAAGCTTTGAGCGATCACTCTCTTGCTCTGAGAGCATTCATTTGAGCTGGAAGTGTCTAACCAGAACTGACTTTGAGCTAGCAATTCCCTGATGAGGAGCTGGACAATGAACCATGAATTCAAAACTTGTGTTGCTGCTCATCCTGACTTGAGGTCGCGTTGAATGTTGCCTCTCCCAGACCGTGAGGACGGCGTATTTATGGCCCGCCATGCTCTATGTGCTGAGAATCAAAAAGAAAGATGGCCTTTTGGCAAAAGTCGTGGCGTACGTCCATATCTATGGTCGGCGGCTACATCCTGATTCTGTTCTAAAAGTGGAAACACTAGAGAACAACCAAATCCAAGGCACCCCCCACAGATATACGCCCGATACACATCTTTCTGGATCTTTGATCCTACTGCAACCATCGCATTTTAGCCTTGACCAGCATCACAGAGATCTTAAGATGGCTATCGAGCTAGAATCTGATTCTGATCTTGCACTCAAAGAGACTTTGCATCAAATCCACCTGGGCCGTGCAAAGATAGATCTGGACCACCTGGAGTTTGGGGACCCTAGTGAGATTGGGGCTTGAGAGATCAAAATAACGGCTGTGAAGTGCCTCGTTGCTAGGTTCAATGTAGACAGATGCCAGCGCTTCAATCTGGACTTCTGGATCCTGGCTGCTGTGATGCTGGAATTCTTCTGGCAAATTTTGCAGTTTAATGGCTTGCAGTCTCTCCCTGGGGATATCATCCCCCTTCGACTGCCGCCTGGGGTTCGGATTCCCTGTCTCCGCGGCCGGGTACGTCATGCTGCCGCGACCGAGTGGCTTCCAGTCAAAGATTGATGGTGGGTGGTTGAGTTTCACAACGCGTCGCGCCTCTCGGATGAGGCGTGGAGACTCTGTCGGGAGCATCATGAAGACTGCACTGAGGTCATCAGTGGAGAGATATATCGGAACGTGCGTCACTACCAGCGAACAGGAGACAAGGCCGCAGTAGGCAAGTGGATCTCGATGTGGCGGCCAGGCAACCAGCGTGATTTCTGGCAGCTGGATGGCCTCTGCCCCCCGGGCCAAAGTTCGGGCCCACGCATCGCCCGGTCGATCGATCCGCAGCTCAATCGCCTGCTCCGGGTCGCCCTTGACGCGCTGATCCCGTTCCCGGGACTGTGGTCAACCTGGGTCAACCTTCATCAGCTTCTCCCGCTGCGGGCTCCGGAGGTAGGTGTCTCAGCACACTCCACTTGGTTTCTTTGACATTTATGAGGAGCAGATCCTGGCAGTTTATCTAACCCTCATTCGAGTCATATGCTACCACATGACGGGTGGGCGTCCCGAGATACTGGATGCCCGCACCATGGAGGCGCTGCAGGGCCGCTCGCCACAGCGGTCCTGGGCTGACCGTGCCCACATTACAGATGTTTTTGAGGATGGTACAGCATATGCGGCGGTGACATGTCCCCAGGAGCGAGAGGTCCTTCGTCTGAAAGTGATGCAGATCCCACATATCATTCCGTCCCTCTACACATTTCATCAGGATGTCAAATATCTGGAGCCTGTTTTAAAACTCATGAGACAGCTGATGCTGAGGTCATGGAAAGGTACCATCAAGAAGGGCCTACAGCGGTGCTACTCTTCTCCACGCGATAATGGTGTCCGCATCCAGACCTCGGAGAACAGTTACCATCTGGCGGCCGGCATGCCTGTGGAGTATGGCTTCTGGTCAGCTTACAGGCAGGTATTTCTTGCCGGGATGTGTGACTTCTTTGGCCTTGTCCCAAACTTCCAGCCCATTGGGATGCACAAAGTTCCACCGAGAACAAGACAGCCTGATTCGCAAGTGCTCTGGGGCCGTTTTTCTGAGCTGGCCAGGTCGGTTGGGTTCCTGGTCCCGAGACTGCAGGGCGGCGTCCCGGCCCCGGTGGCCCTGGATGCCCGTCCGATCGCCCGGCCCCTATTGACCACAGATGAGGATTTGGGAGAATGGTCCGTCCGCTCCTGCTGTGGAATGACCGATGGAAATTCATTCTTTTCAGACCAGAAGTATCTATATCTTGACAACATCTACTCCCCTCCTCCGGACGAGCCGGCTGAGTGGCTCACTTCCTTTGCGGTCAAGCGAGATATTTTCCTTGCCTTTTTTCCGCCTTTCACTGAAGCAGGGTGTCTGAGTGCATCAAGCCCGCAACCAGCAGAGTGGAATGTGGAAACAAGAGATCAAATGAATCCTCTACAGCCGCCAAACCCACCAATACCGCCAGCTCATACTGTGACCCAGTCACAGACAGAACCAATACTTGATTTCTCTGACCAATTGCTTGTTGAAAATCCAGCACACATCAACACAAACATGGACCAGCCTTCTATATCAGTACCCCCTGTTGAGATAAATATGGACCGCCCTCGCTCATTAGAACTTGCTGCAGACACAAATCCGCCACCTGTTGACACAAATATAGACCAGCCTTCCATATCAGCACCCCCTGTCAAGATAAACATGAACCGCCCTCACTCATTAGAACTTGCTGCAGACGCAAATCCGCCACCTGTTGACACAGACATGGACCAGCTTTTCACATCAGCACTCCATGACAACGCAAATGTATCCGGAACCGTGAGCCAGGGTGTTGTGGCCCGCCAGCCACTTGAGATTGTGAAGCAGGATCATTTATGCTGTTGGGTCCGGGTTAATGTTGAGCCGCAGCAGTATGTGAACACCTTCTTTTGTCAAGAAAGGTCAGGACCTCAATATAAGTGCATCTTTGTCATATCAGATTCTGATGCCTTATGTGTGCTCTCTCAAAATGCAGAGCGCTATCTTGACTATGTCAGCCTGGAGAAATACAAGTGAGTTGCAGAAGTGACCCGGGGGGGCATGTCTGTCATTCCACCCAATCAGATTGGTTCACTTTTGCAAGATGAGACCTTGCTTGCATTTGGATGTGAAGAGCAATTCAACACAGACATGCTCACACTTGGTTCACAATCATCTGACCTAGATAGAACTGTAGTGTATGATGAGATGGGGAAGACATGGAAGCTAGAGAAACAACTCTGATCAAGCATATATCTAGCAATGATAACTGTGCGCAATCCTCCTATAAGGGGGGCGGTTGAAAAGATCTTCTTTATATTCTTAGCTGCTATACTCAGCCGGAAAATGTGCTTGCTTCTACTTTACACCTTGGCTCTTGTGGGATTATCTACGGCCTTCTGGAGCTCTGTGATCCGTCCATCCTTCTCCCTGAGAGCCGCTTGATATTCGTTGTGCATCTTGGCTTGAATGCCCCGAATAACATCACTGATCCGCCGAGATCAGTCCCTGACCCCCAGACAACTATCTTCCTGAAGCTGCATCACATCGACCAAAGCGTCCACTCAGTGACACCACTGGACTGCACTCTCTAGCTCGGCCATCATGGCGCGGTGGTGTTCCTGCTCCATCCCCAACACCTGCTGTGCTACGGCATAGGCCTCCTGCATTTTGGAAAAGTCCTCGCGCAGCTTGGCATTGGCCTCGGCGCAATCACCTTGAAATCGTTTCTCCAGCTCCAGCTCGTGGCGTGTGGCAGCATGGGATTTGTTTTCCAGCCATAGCTGGTGCCGGAGCACTCGATCGCTGTTTGTGTATGCATGGAGTGTAGCCTCAAGGCTGCTACACTTCCTCACAAGCTCCTCTGTCTGAGATCTTTCTCAGAACGAACATATAGCTGATATATACTGATGTTGTTGAAGCTGCACCATCTGAACTTGGTGATCTGGAGGCAGCAGATGGTGTTGCGCGGTGAGACTTTGAGTGCTTAATGGCACCTAAACCTGTCAACTCATGCAATGCTGGAACCTTGGTCAGTGTCTCACCTTGGCCTGCTGTGTAATTTCTTTCTGGTGCTGGTTTCCTGCCATCTTGAGCATCTTCCGGGCACAACTGATGGATCAAGTCTTCACCAGTCAATCTGCAGGCTATCATGGTTTTTAACCACAGAGCAAGAAATAATGTGGTGAGCAAGCAGTGTTGTGATGCAAGCACTGGTAGAAGTTCTGATCCTAATTTTGGGTACAGGCTTGCATCGCATTGCGATTCCGCGTATTTTTCCAACAGCTTCAAGTGGGGCATGTTAGAGCCAAAGTGGAAAGACACCATCATTTGTCCAAACTAGTGTTGCCCTCAGTTGCCACCAATAGCCAGGCCGGAGGTCAGATTTGATTTCTCAAGATGCATTAGCCCTACAGCAGTGTCACTTATTGATCTCAGCTCGCGGCGATGCGACCTTTCTCCAGACTGGAGAAACAGATGATATAGCTAGACAAAAGAAGAAGTCAAGAATTATCAAGATGATAGTTGATCAACAATCTATACATCTACATCACAAGATGCTGCAGTGACAAGTAGTTCACAAAAGTAGTTCACAAAAGTAGTTCACACTCTTCCTGTCCTCCACTTGTGTCCGACATTGCTGCCGTGAGTCATGTGATGGCTGGTGGATGCGGGAAAGTGAGCATCACAGCACAGGTTCACAACAACAGCTGACAGTGATCATATTGAGAACCCTTTGAATCCTGTTCACATGAACCTGTGTATATTATCAGATTCAAGCTCAATCATTTGCCTAGGAATCAAACCTCCAAGATGATCTCCACATCATCAGATGTCAAATGTATCAGCTCACATACTGCATGATATTCAACAAGCTTGTTCAGATAATCATCTACCTCATCCAGATCTCAGCACCGCATGCAGGTGCTCGCTCAATAGGCAGCTAATCTGTTGTTGATCCCTGACACGGAACAGAGGTACCCACGCTGACTAAGCAGCTTCTTAATCACAAGGTGATGAACTCATTGTAGGCTACTGGGGCAAAAGAGCTCGATCACCACCAGCGCACTGCTGGTAGAAGGGCCGATCAACCGCGGGACCCCCAACACTCATTGGGAAGCAAAGTACAGAATGATAGCAACTTCTTCTGCTGACTATGCATTCATTGTTGCAGAGGATTTGGAAACTGTTCTGTAGATGTGCCTCTCCCTGAATCTGATGCTTTATATATATCGTCCCTCCATCACCGATGCCATTAATAGAAACTGATGAACACCCCGAATAATTTGAGTCCTCATAATTTAGATCCCGAGTGAGCGGTTCGATCACGATTGATCATGATGCTAGCTCTTGACATGACAACCAATCAAATTTTTGAGACATCGGATCCGATTCCAAGCGTGTTGGGTCATAAAAGCTGGCCTCTCACTCACTTGATGACTCTTGCTATCCAGTTTCAAAAGAAATCGGGAGAATGGGCCTATTTCAGCGCGAGTCGGATTGAATTACCATGCCTGGGATCGAGTGGACAGACAAGGAAAAGGCGTTTGCCGTTCATTTAGCCAGCGCGGGCATCATACACAATACCATCACAACTCTCATCACCAAGCGTGGACCTCAACAACGATCCAAGTCGGGTGTGGATTATGCGATTGGTAGACTAAAAGACGAGCATCTGACTTTGAGGTCACCTCATCAATGGAACTGCGGATATGCTGCTGAGTGGGTGAGGAGCTTGATCTCCGATGCCGGTATTCATCCCGGATTTCTCAAGCTTACGGATGAGGAGAATAGCATTATAAAACAGGTTAGTCGGTTGTTCAGTCGTGATCTGATTCATATTAACATTCAAAAGGCTCAACCGAAACTCACGCTCCCCCACTATTATCTACAAGCGAATACGTACACTGAGCCCCCTGCGTGCCCCGAACCAGCGGAGGATTCTTTATTTGAATGAGGTCAACATGTTTTAAATCAATGGCCACCGGCTTCACAATAAGCTGGGATGTGATCCTGCTGCGGAAGCATTTCAGCACGGTGGAAGGATGGAATCTTTTGGATGTATCTAAGCAGGTGGCGGAAGGTTGAACTGGACTGGAGACGGGCACTTTCATTCATGTGACTTCGTACCACTGGCGCTGTTTGAAACTAGAGCAGCGGGAGCTCAGGTTCTGTTGATAGAGCGGTGGAATTCGGAAAGCATTCTCTCCACAATCTGCTGTACTGCTTCTGAATCCCACCGATTGCCAGATTCTCTGTTCCCAGTCATCGTCTTCCATGCCCTTCCTTCGATTGCTGAGGGCAATCAGCCCCGCCAACCACTGTAGCTCATAGCGCGGCACTGTTTCCACAAGTACTGCCACAAAGCTGTAGCACAGCTCCATCACACCTTTCCTCACTGTTTTAGACCTGCATGGCGAGATACCAGCGCATATCCCTCCAGATGCAGTTCGGGAGTTCATATGGCCGGGTCAAAGCTGCCGGTGTTGTCGATGCTGTCTTCTCATAGATCAAGATGTCCATATAGAGACCCAGCGTCCGCGAAAGAGAGTCCAGCAGCCCTGCCTCTTGTGCAGCGCTCAACGGGAGACCGGTCCCTTTGACGCTGCCGCCGGCGCGGTGGAGCATATCATAAAGGTGCTTGATATCCGATCTGTTGTTTTCTATCTTCCCGGCGGTGCAGAGAGTACGACCCGCCCTTGGATCCTGAACACTGTTTGAAAAATCAAGACAGCAATTACCTGATATGCCTAGCAGTTCACGGAAATAGCCAAAGTCATTACGAAGATGCTGATAGTCCTCGGAATCCACCCTTGTAATCCTGTCCAGGTAGAGCAGGAATGGAGGGGGGATGTTGTTGATTGGAAAAGTCCCAGTATCTTCAGCAACCTTCTGAAATGCCGCCCAGGTGAGATTGGTCCCGAGAAGGTAGATGAGGATGTGGCCCAGAGCTTTAAGATTGGCATGCATCTTTGATCGACAGCTGGTCACTTCAGCACAATCAAAATCAACAATGAACATCTGGTGACGGTGCAGGCGGGTGGCGCCTAGCGCCAAAGTGTGTGGTGAGAGATCTTGATGAATCACCGACCGTGAGTGGATGTGCTCCAATCGCCGAAGCAGCTGGTCCGCCAGGTGCAATACCGTCCCGAGGCTAAGTCGCCGTCCGGCTTGGTCAAAGAGTGACTCCAGGGTGGGGCCATGTGTGTCGACAACAATGGCTGCATCTACCTTGTCCGCGAAAGGCCATCCAGACCAGTGCAGACGAGGGATGCCTGGCGTGCCCGCTAGCCGACCTAGAATATACCCCTCCGCGGCCACTTTCCGGCTGCCGTGGACGCCTCTGCCAAACTTGACGACGGCGGCTTCTCCTGTAAAAGTATCGCTTGCTGTTGGATGTTGGTCAGCAAGCACTACCAACATGCCCTTGGAACATACCCATAAAGGCACTGCCTGTTCCCGGTACCCGGGAGGATACCCTGTAGTTACCAACGTAGCATGGAGACATCTTCACAAAGGCCATTATCCTGAAGATCAAAGAGAGCTGTGTGTTTTCTGCGATACTTTTCAGGAAGGTCTAGAGATATTGATGAACACTGGCCGGGCCACAAACAGTGGAGTGCATGGAGCAGGGAAGTCTATGAGTGGATTAGATCAAGCGGCAAAATATGGCAACGAACAGGGCCAGGAACGACTTCATGTTAAAGATGTAGATATACCTGCTGGAGTAGGGATGACCACGGCTTCCAAGAAACTTGGCCAGCAGAAGAGGTGCAATGGGAGGAGCAGGGATGGCCACTGACTCTGAGAAACTATGCCATGAACTCTTAGAGGAGCAGGGCAAACAAATGCATTGGGGAGATCCTCGGAATTCAGCAAATCATGCCGTGGAGCAGGGACAGAATGAGCCACAGGGAGAACCATCACTTTCCGTAAGTCAAGCCGGAGAACCACCACCTTCAAGAAACCGTACTGTGGAGCAGGGACAAGCCAGTGGAGTAGGGAAACAGAGTGGAACAGGGACTGCCACTGGTGATCCGTTGAAACGAACAGGGATAATTGCGAGACCAGGGAAAAATAATTGGAACAGGGACGGGCATGGCTTTCCCAAGGGAGTAGGGAAACAAAAGGGAATAGGGAGAGTCACAATCCGACAAGAATAGTGGATAGGAACAGGGCCGATGGGTGGAACAGGGATAGCCATGATTCTACATCGCTTAAACAGAGCCCGACCAGGGGATCCCACGTGGAACAAGGGATAGCCATAAGTTGAGAAGGCATGTCAAAAATGCATAGAGGAGTAGGGATGCTGAACAGAGGGGGGCAGACCATGACTTTGAAAGAAGAGGTCACCAGATGATAGACAATAGTGAGTATAATAATCAAGCACACCTGGCTTCATGCTTTAGCCAGCAACATATGTTCAACTGTTGGATTGAGATACTCTTTATGAAACACTTGTCTATCTGATGGAGCGCTGTGAGCATAATTCATGACTGTGGCTTGTTGAAGGATGTTGCAGGTCCCAACATATCCTATGATTGGCGTTTTGAACATGTGATCCAGGAACTGCCTGAGCCGTCCCAAAAATACCCGGGAATCATGTTGCTCATAGGGAGAAAGCACAAGAATGCTGCCTTACAGCAGCTTTGCAAAGCCAGATACCACAGCACCAGTGAGCACCGGCCAGAGATCAGCCTGCGGGCAGACAATTCCTCCCTCAGCTCAAAGTATCCCCAGCTCTTTGCTGACTGCAACTTGAGCCGGCGGGATATTCTTCCATCATTTGATGACCCAAAGCTCTGCCACTGCCATGAGATGATCCCAGTCAACTGGCCTAGAGCCTGGCACTGAGACCCCTATGACATTGTGCTGTCGCGCCTGGTGTTCCTCTTCTGCGATGTCCTCTGTCTCTTTGCAGATGACCTTGGGGGGCTGGCTGCCTCCCAGTCGCTGCTGGAACGGTGGGCGGCCATCAGATCAGCGTCAAGTCTGCCACGGTCCATCCGCCCCCGCGTCATCATCGTCACCAGGGGCGGGGCTGTGATGGGGAACATTCTCGAGGAGAATCAGTTTATTGACAATCTCTTCCGTCCGGACAGTACCTCCCGCCTCCTGTCATCCTTTGCGGATGTGCGGTTGTCCCATCTTCAGCCCGCCGAGCTTTCTCCTGAGGCCCAATATCTTGATCTTCAAGGAGACATGATGGAGGAGCTGCACGCAGCCAGGCGGGTGTGAGAAGTCACTCAGTTGATGTTTTCAGCAACACATCTGAGCAGTCTGTTCTCAGATGCATTGCAGAACATGGCTGGCAATGCCCTCATCACTTTCAACTTCATCCAGTCCTCACAGCGGATGCATCTGCTGAACAGGTCCTTCTCATCACATGTATCAATGTTTCTTGCACAGGCTGTTTGTATGCGGGCCCCATACAAAGCAACAGCATTATATGTAGCATCCGCGATCTTGATAGATGCCTATCCTCCAAAGACACATAGTGAGCCCTTCCTCTCTCCTTCTGTTCTGATCTAACCTTCTTGAGATTTCTGCCCACGCACTCTCTTCCAAGCATTGTATCACGCGCATGTCTTTAACACCCTACATCAAGTATATGAAGACTGTTCCTTTGCCAAACTGCAGTGCCAGGAGATTGAAGATTTCTTGAAAGTATTCTTCAACACAATGATCAACAACAATGAGTTCTTCTCAGAAGTCCATCATTACAATCTGAGCCAGAGTAGAGAGCAATGAAAGGGACTGAAACTGAGCTTTACATGCTCTTGATGCCTGCTTCAGTGTCATCAGCATCCTTTACCATGCAGCCACTTCATCTGTGATTATTGCACTCAGAAATACAGTGAACAGTTTGAGGGCTCAGAAGATGAATTCATGATCAAGAAGTGCCTTCCATGCAAAGAGCTTACCTGCTTGAAGGTGAGGGTGAAACCATCTACCGCGGGTGTTCGGATAATCAGTATTGATGAAGAAGGCATCCATGTGATCATGCCCTTGAATGTCCTTGAAATGATGCAGGCTTATATTCCCCATCTGCCGCTTCACTATCTGGTTGACTTCTGGGGTGGAACAAGCACAGGTATGCAATCCCTGCCTGTTCTCCTTTCTGTTCTGACAAGGCCTTTGCCTTTACCCCGAAGCTAACACACCAGATAGAAGGCAATGTCGCACTGAACATGAGGGTCTGTCAACATGATGTAAAGGACACAAAGTCTGCTTGTCTGAAGCAGATGAAGCTTTTCTTTGAGAAGAACCAAAAGGTTGGAATCACAAAACCACATCGCCTGGTGAAGGCCCTGTGGGCAGATGGTGTATACAAAAGCAAGAACATAGATAGTGTTTACATCCACCACTTCAGACCCACACTGCGGATGCGCAACACCCCACGATCAAATATATCAGCCTGGAAAGTGGCCATCATAACCAGCACCATTGGCGACAGAGCCCCAGTCCTGATTATGAATTATAACAGTGAAACATCTCCTGGAAGAAATCACAGTATAGCGCCTCTCTATTTGATTTTTAGCTTCTAGCTGACAAAGACCTTGTAGGGTATCAATATGCCCAAACCAAGAGTGATGATGATCCGCTTGTCTGGCAGGTGTGAGTGTACATCCTTGGCCTGTCTCTCAGACCAAGCTAACTTTTGAATTCGCAGCAGGCGGGTGACCACAGCCGTTCCAGAGTACATCTCTTCTCCATCATGAGCATCTGATATCTGACAGAGAGATAGCTTGTTTCCATCAGTCAATATACCCAGGGTTGGGAGTCTTCAGAATGGCGGCACTCATCCACACAACAACAACAACCCAGTTCACATGGCGCTGTCAGAAGCCCAGCACCTCTGGCCCACAACAAAACCAGATGTTGTGATCTCGCTAGGTACGGGGTCACAGTCACTTGTGCAGTCATCAAAGACATCCAGCTTCCAGAATGTATTTGTGGATGAGTGGCTCTTTTGGGGCTATCAGGCCTTCAACACGTCATATGATGGAGAGGAGTCCTGGCGGGAGATCTGAAACCTCCTTGATCCACTGACGCAGAAACAGTTTATGCGTATCAACTTTCCATTTTCAGGAGCACCACCGGCGATGAACGATGCAGACGCCACGGAATCCATGTCACAGTGGGTGCGGAAGCAACCCCGGAAAAGGATAGAAGAAGCACTCATCCTGCTACTGGTGTCGTGCTTCTACTTCATATTGGACGCCGTGCCAGATTTCCATTCTGGTCTATTCTACTGTGTTGGCTCCCTTCAGTGCCGCGCGCCACCGCGGCCTATCATCCAAGCTTTGTTATCATTACACCCCACCACTCTCTGCTTCTACAAAGACAGCTTGAACTTAGGCTTCTGCCTAACGGAGGAGGATATATGCGAATCTTGCCAGCGCTACTGCCGGCCGGTTCGGTTCTGCGTTCGAGATCTCAAGGAGACAGTCACCCTCGCCCTGTGTCGTGATGATGCTATACATGAAGTAAGCATGTTCCCAAACACCATCCAGTGGTTTATTGACCAGCAGGATCTGGAGAGTAATTTTGGACTCGAGAACCATGGTGTTCCATTTCACATTCAGTGCAGTGAGTGCGAGCGGAGAGTCAGGGGGCAAGGAAGAAAGTGGAAGTATATAGAAATGTGATCTATCACTGGGAAAGGATTCCAAATCAGTCCGACAGCTAGGACCGAAATATTCCTCTTTCAAATTACCTTTGCAAGTAGTACTCTTTCTGCGGTATGGATTTTGCATGCATGAGGTTCCTATATTTCCTATTGGACTAAGGCTTTCTCGCACTGCCAAGCCTTCCGGCATCGCGAGTATAACATACTACAGTGGTGGCCCAGATTTGATACCATCCAATAGAGCTTCCTCCAGCTAGTTCCGCTCGCTGCATGTATGACCACTGCCATCATGCTCTGGCTGCTGAAACTGAAATTTTATCCGGCCGGAATGTCTGATGCTGTACCTAGATAAGCCAATCAAATTGAGCAAGATATCCGATAGGCTAACCTCGAAAAGCAAGGAATTAAGCGAGTTGGAACCATGAGCATGAATTAAATAAGGCCTGTAGTCTGAGTCTTTTGATTTTGAAATTCTTTCTCCAGTCTCTGGCATAGATTGACTGAAAATAGCAGATCTAACTTCACCCGACCCCAAACAGCAGCGGCATTTTACAGGCCGGCCATCCTCATGGTATGTGTCAAAGAGAGTTAAACTGATAAGTACACAGCTGATGATCCTCAAGACCATGAATGAGCCAACAGGAACCATTGCCACCATGCATGATAAAGCACAACATGGGAATCTGGCAAACGTGACTGACTTTGTTGTCAATTTTCTTCATGAAAACCTTCGAAGAATCGCACCGAGTGCTGGCATCCAGCAGGAAGTCAAAACTGCCTTCCAGCCACCCAGGACAAGCCAGGCATTATTCATAACACTCGGAGGAAGTATTGTTGTGTTTGGCAGAGTCTCAGCAACTCAAGACATCAATGAGCTACGAAACACACTGGTCGAGGAAGTCACCCAGAAGGCTGTTGCTCAGGGAGGACGTCGCAAGGGATTTGCATTTGCAACCTCAAGGGGTGGAGGTCTGAAGTGTCAGTTTTTTGAGGTTCGGGGTGCGGCGGATTTTGATCCCATACCTAATGAGCCCTTGGATTTTGATGCTGATGAAGCAAGAATTGTGGCGATTTTAGAGCACTGCTTAGAGTATTTTAATGTCTAAGATGCAACAAGAGGAGGATCAATTCCTTTGTATTTCTACTGACCAGATTCATTCTTTAATAGCTCAAAAAAGCTAGTTCATCAAGGTATTTTTAAGATCTGTCTTCTGGGACACAACAAAACCAATATGTATGGGTATAAATGGGAAAGTTCGTGCCCACCACATTCCTATAACATTATGCACCAACTCCTCTCGAAGTATTGTGCATCCTGATGGAGTTTGGGGTAGCCATTGCCCATTAACCTCAAACTATGGTTATTAGAATAGATGCCATCTGTACATAGAGCAGAATGGACTGACCTGGAGATAAGGATACTTGAAGCCAAGTGGCACGGTACAAACCTGGAACTTCACCTGCCGGGGAGGTTGAGGGAAATGAACAACATGATCTCTCTCATCTTTTGAATCAAGTCTGATTTCTGTAATTCCAAGCCGGCTGGTATCCACTTCTAGTGCAATCTTCTCAAGGTTCGCAAACGGAATGTATGTTGCCTTTGCGATGTGGATGAAAGGATTGCCAGGAGTGAGTTCTAATGCTGAGAATCCACAGTCAACCCAGCAATTATTCGGGGGAAAGGGTGTCTTGGAGAAGAAAGGCTCTGGCCCAGTTCGATTGGACGGAATAATTGCACGGCATTTCTGAGACTAAAGAAGTCAGCTAGGATCGCATTGCATTCTATAGCCAGGTAGTTACGTACGTCGCAGATAATCCGCAAGCACTGGAGTTCTGTAGCTCTGATTTCAGATATCTCCGCATGGAAGGGTCGAACAGGAGTGTCCAAAGCCCAATGTGGTTGGCCGTTTCTCTGTTCAAAAGAGATGTCCACAACACCGATTCCATCACTTTTGATGGCAAGATACTTGCTATCATTAAGCATGTAGTCCACCAAATTGTCGCCCTCGGTATCGCTGTCTGTAGGATTGGAGACATGATGGATATATGATCGTCGTCCGATGTTACGACAATGAATCCGTATGGCAGGGCTTCGAATTTTTGACTCTTTGATTGTGAATCTCTCAGTTGGGATGATGAGAGGAGTATCCCTCTTGCCTGTCAGCTGAGATGCGGTTTCCAGAACAAACAGTAATCGGCCAATATCATGTTCAAGAATCATATCCCAAATCTCTTCTGGTAATCTCTGGAAAAAAAGCGTTTGACGATCGCCTGGTAGGGGCCGGAGCAGAAATCCATGTATGAACATCCACAAATACTTGGCGAAACTCATCAACTGATCAATATATGTAGTCTCTGACTGCGGTATCACCTTCTCTGCGTAGTTCGGGTCATCCTTCTTCGGCTGGGGGTAGTAGAAAGCACCATGTACACTGGTCTTCGGCGCAGATCGTGCGAGGAAAGTCGGTTCGATCAGATCTAGTAAGTGATACAGCTTTGTTGTGGAAAGCTGTTCAACAAACTCAAGGCATCTCTTATGTAGAAGCCACGCTCTTTGCAAATAGCTGATCTTGGGGTAGCTCCGGCCTTGAATAAAACAAAGATCTCCGACTTTAATTTTATGAGGAGGTTCCCATCTGGGACTTTTCATCATGACGGCTTCTTGAGTTCGGTCTAATGGCAAGACTCGATAATGCTCAGTTTGGGATATAACCACGTTATGCTCACATAGTGGACAAGGGAGATAGTAGTATCTATCCATTTTAGCAGGCAGACAGAATCTGATCTTTTGCTTTACCAAAATAGTGGTGAAAACATCTGGAAGAACAGAAGCAAGGAGATTTGTAGTACAGTTTGACCGCTGCCAAGCCCTTCATCCTTGCACCAGAAGCTGTCACGTGCCTTTGAGCATGAACCATGAATTCCTTGATGGGAGTATCCTACATTGACATTTCATTGTTAACCTCGCCTTAGGCCCCTTCTACCACAGTTCTCATGTTTGTTCATAAGACCTCCGAAGCTTGCCTATTTTTCGCAATTTGTACAGAAGAAAAAGCCCACCACTGATCACAGTTGAAGAGCCAGTGATTACAACAGCAGCGATCGCGGTTGCTGACCAATGACCCTCTTTGGCGGTGTATATGTTGATCAACGTAGCAACCAGTCCGGCGATGGAGTTGAGCAAGCTAGGGCTAGAACTGTTATTCAAGCAATGGACCAAATCCATCATTTACTCTCTTACATGAAAAGCTGATCAACAAGCCAGATATAATTCCCTCGCCAGGTGCAACCGAGCCAAAATAACCCCAGCCATCCTGCCGAGATAAAAAGGCAAGAGATGGCCAACAGCAAAGGGTTTTGAACAGGACCAAGGTTTGGAAGATCTTTCCCAGATTTAACAAGGTAGCTTTGCACTGCTCGGGATAGAGTATGATTTTGAAACGTGCCTGGGAGAATCAAATAAGCTGCGAGCAGAAGCCAATTGAAAGCTTGAGCATAAAGAGCATATTTTCATGGGATGCGGTCCAACGCCAGCAGCATGTCAACATATGCAGTAGAATGGTGAGTCGCCATACTGGTGTATTCGAGTTGTTTCTCAAGCAGACAGTTAGGATTTCTCTACCACTTTATATATTTCAGACACGCCATCATTTATCTAGGAATGCCACCATTTTGAAGCCGTGGTGGCTAACTAGCTTTGTCACATGACCTCACTCCGTTCTACTCCATAGGGGAAGAACGTAGGGTTAATTTACGGTGATTACACCGTGGATCCACCATTCCACCCGTGTCACGTGTCGCCGATTGTAACACATGTTCCATCATTATATTCAGTGACATGTCACTGAATATTAAATGTCAAGATGGTGTTGAAACAGCACAGGACTTCTTGACATCATCAGGGGACAGCTCAGTCACCATGTAATTAGTGGATGTCATAATCAAGATACTACTGAGATACTGTGAGCCATGATATACTATTCTGTCAGTGAAATCAATGCTTGTATACTATTCAGCTAGACTAGTTAACTACTTTATACAAATCAAATTACTATCTAAAGAAACAAGACATTTTAAGTGCAATGTAAATATCTTATTGTCTGAGATTTATACATTAAATAATCATTATTTTCATCAGTATTCAGTATTGAAATATCATGTAATACTGTCTTTTAAACTGCTGAAAGTCTGATAATAGTGTAACTGTCAAAATTCTCTTATAAAATCAGCAGATTCAGCAGGTGATTCTGTCTGACATGATGTAGAGAAGTAAGTGTAAAGAAAATTCACTTAACTCTTTTCATTTTATAGATAAAGATAGTTGTAATTCAGCTAAGATTGACTCTCTGATATTAAAGAATATTTCTCTTCATGAGAGAGATTCAGTGAATATACTCTCTGATTTATATATTAATAAGTCAATAACTGATTGATTGATTAGTTGAAGAGATATACTGAACTGAGAATGTTAACTTATTATAGAAAAGAATTGAATAATGACCTAGTTTCAAAACTGAGAACTTATTTCAATCAGTGTCATAGAATTCTTATAGATTATTGAGAAATGAATGAAGTAATTCAAGCTTGAAGAGATTTGTAAATTGTATACTAACTTTCTCTGACATCTTACTTGATAATAGATGACTAAAAATCTTTGAAGTAATATGATCTTTTGTTGACTCTAACTTGACAGAGTAGTTCAGTGAATCATCATTATCATCTAGTTCTTTATTCATTCTCAGAAGATTATTGAACAGTGCTGAATAAACTGTATATAGCTGTTAAATCTTCTGTATCAGATGCAAGTCAGACCTGTTAAAAGAATCTCTTAATACTAGTTACAAGATGTGATGAAAGCTCTTTTACAAGAGTAGTGTCTTCTTCACATTCTGATGATTTGTTTACTGCACTAGATTCTTATAGTCTTGATACTTATTCTTCTCTGTCAGAACATTGTAGTTGTTAGATACAGTGTATTCTTTAATCAGCTCAATATAGTGTAAACTAATATGCATATTCAGCTGATTCTTCATATATCATATAAGCTTTGCTTTTTTGATATAATCACTGATATGTGTAGCAACTGTGCTCATTGTTGAAGCAGGGAATAGCTGATAACTAATAACTGAACCAGCTTAAGATGATTCAAATGTTGCTGCTGCTCTTATCACAGCTTTAATAAGAAATTGTAGCTGTTGACAGGCTGTAAGTATGATTTGATAAGCCACTTCAGAATCATTTTCTCTCAGAGATTGAGACATTAATAGGCTATTGCTTCTTGCAATGACTGCATATATCTGAATAATAAGATCAATAGATGATTGATTTAGTGCTGAAAATGCTGCAGAAATAATCTGCTTAATCACTGAACTGAGTCATTTCTCTCTGAGCTCACACTGTAAGATAAGAGATATAATGATTGAAGCTCAAGCATGTTCTTGAAGCTGATACTTCTTGAGATGAGTGATCAGTGACTGCAGATGATTTCAACTGTGAGAAAAAGAGAATATCTGTAATATTTGAAAGTATTCTAGCTAATCATGCAGTGATAAGACAGTACTGACTAGTAATAAGTGTGAAATCTCTGATATATCAGTGAACTCACTATGGCATGAATCAGAAGAAAAAAAGAAGATCAAATTCAAACTTAAGCATATTTAAAAAAGAGACACTGTCTGTGCTGTTATACTCTGCTCTTGACACATTTGCTCTCTGCATGTGAGATTTAACAGATCATTCAGTTTAGACTGAAGATGTTGCATATGATGATGAAATCAGCTGTTATTGTGTAGATTATAGTTCAGATTCAGCTGATTTTTATCATTAATAAAGCAGCTTTAATATGATCTTCTTACAGTTGATTCTTTGATTCCTGCATTGCTATTTTACTGCAGCATATCTTCAAGAAATGCAATGTAAGATGTAACAATTCTCATCTTTTCTTCACTGATATTCATTATAACTCTCTCACAATTCAATGTAGATAAGTCATACAACAATGCAGTGACAGTGTTGAGAAAATTAATACTATGAGAATCAAAGATTAGAATAAAAATATTGTTTCATTTTGAGTGCTCAACAGCACTCAGTGCAGGAATTATATAAAAATTCATCAAGCTTTGATACATGTTCTGATATAAATCAAATTCATCAATAAATAATTGATATGACAGGGAAATAACTTATATATCAGAGTAAAATATGCTTTTCAAAAGATCTTAATCATGTGCTGCAATTTTCAACTCAGTCTGAATCAGTGAAGATTTACAATATAATCATATCTCAACAACTTCAGTTTTGATTCTCATGACCTGGCAAAGAAAATACTGACCTTGACTCTCATATGCCAGCAGATCAGAACCTGATTCAAATGCTGTATTCATATGAATATCAAGTTGATTAAGAACTTGAGTAATTGAGATATATTTCATCTCATCCTTCATTGTGATTATTTCAAAGAGACTAAATGATGAATTCAAGAATGATAATCTTTGTACAGTCTGTGAAGTATAGTAAACAGCTTCTTAAACTTTCAGAACTATCATATAAGATCTCATGTCTGAATGTCAGTGATCATGTCTGACAAAATGCACTCTCTCAATATAAGATATATCATTCAACTCTGATTTGCAGTAGCATTTGAGATTCCCACACTGATACTGAATAAAATCAGAAGGAAAAAGAGGTTTATTTATTGATGAATATTGCATGAAGTTGCTGAAACAATATTTGACAGAGCTTCTTCAACTGTGAGATTATCATAACTCTGTGAGATTGTTGACAATTTCTGTCATTTCTATATACATTTGTCACCGGAAAGTTGGGGATTTGAGAAGAGTAGATATCAAGAGAATCAGATTTTGAAAGTAGAGTGATCTCATGAAGAATTCAGTGAGATTTTTCTGAGCAGAACTCAGAGTTGACATTTACATTGATAACACTATTGAAATTGAGGTTTTCTTGACTGACAAAATCAGAAATTGTGCTCTGCATTGCTTTTTCAGAGTTGATAGACTTTCAGAGAGCAGACTTATCAGTGATATATTCTTCAATAAACACAGAATTTACAGTAGTGATTTGTAGTTTTTTCAGGAAATACCTGACTCTTCAGCTCAGAGTCTCATTGTCAGAACAAATGAATTCATTTTAAAGTTACTGTGTTTGTGAGATATATCAATTACTGAATCAGAATTAACAAATTGATCAGTAATAGTAACAGCAATTGCATCAGCAGCTGGCATTTCAATATCATCAGTAACTGACTCATCAGAATTCTCTTGATCATCATTTTCAGAAATATTCTCCTCAGCAGCTGCTTTCAAAAGCCACTCAATATGCTCAACATTATCAGCAGCATTCTCATTATATGGCTCTGTCTTTAGAGAATGTTAGTTTTTATAATAATAGAGACATCAAAAGTGATAAACTTACTGAGAATAGTAATGCTTCTTTGCTGAGAGCATTATTGTCTGAATCACTGTCAGTGAAATCTTCATTTGCAGTTTTCAGAAAAGAGAGGCTCTGATGTTGAAATTTCAATTGATTATCCCCAGATTCTTGTCTAGAGACAGATAGCAGATAGTGTTTTAAATTTTGATTAAACAGACACAACATTTTGCTTTCTGATATGATTTGTAGAAAAAAGTTGTGTAGTTGAAAAGATATGAATGAAGTGAATGAGTGATCTTGATAAAATAAAGAGATGAGATTGAATTACTGAAAAGAGATATATCAATAAGAGCTGCAATCAGCAACAAATATTATCTTAATATTAATAATTATACTTTCTTTATTATATTCCTGCAAGTAGCTGATTATTTTATCAGAATACTATCAAAATTCTATCAAAATCCTGAAAATAAGCATAATCATAGATCTCAGTTTAATAGATCTCTTCAAACTCTCTCATCTGATAGGTTTACTGAGACAAATCACTGATTTCAAAAGAAATCATATATTGATATATCTGTATCATAGAATGAACATAATGACATCAATGAAGAATATCAGATAGATGAGAAATCAAACCCATCTCTGACATTCAGTGATCTGTTGAAGAGACATCACTGAATTCAGTACTCAGATGCAGAAGTGTATGAGAAGGAAATTCAGCTGACAGAACAAAAGCTCTGTGTTGAAATCAGATGAATGTATTTTCTTACATTCTCAAAGAACAATCTGGACAAGACAGTCACAGAGATGATGAAAACAAAGAATAAAACCTTATACATATTCTTATCAAGCTGAATTACAATGCTTGATGCAATAAAGACATGGAAGTCAAGAACATTGAAAGAAATGAAGACAAGTATTTTCAGTATTTCAGATCTTAGCAAAAATCTCAACTTTTCAGCAAAATATATCAAGCCTCTGATGAGATATCTTGACCTTTCAGCAGAAAATCTTAGACAAATCTAAACTTTTCAGTGAGATATCAAAACTTGTCTGATCAACTTAACTAATCATTTATTAATATAGAATTATGTTTAATGAGAGAAGACAAAAAGCAGAGGAAGTTCAGTGATAATTAGATTGTATAACTGCTATGAAGAGTTGACAATCTTTGACTATTTTTATGATTTATTTACTGCTGAAAAGTTCTTCTTGGTTTTTTACTGAGTATGAGAAATCATTGACTTTGATCAATTCTCTGAGTGAGGACAATGATATATGAAATGTAAGTTAACATCAGTTTGAAAAACATTAGACTGAGAAACAAGAAACTGATTCTGAAAAATAGAGATATATGCAAATCTGATAACTCAAGTCAAAATATTTGATGATGCTGATACAAATAAAAATTCCGCTGAAGCTATGCTGCAATGACAAGATATTCTGACATTTTGAGATCTTATGAGTGATATTTCTGAATATTGATAAATTGTCAGAGATGATTTTGCAGAGACAATTCAGAATACTCTGACAGTTAAAAAAAGATGTATGATGAAAGATGTGTGGGAGAAGATGTGGAAAAAGATAAAATTTTCAGATGCACTTTCAGCAAAAGACAGGCCTGTAATGTAGAGTGTTCAGTGACACAGAGAGTTCTGACATAACTTATTTCTATTTCAATATATTTAGTTTTCTATGAGTTTTATATATAAATTAGTTAATATATACTTTAATATATATAATTAGAATATACCTGTCTTGATATTTACTGATGAAAATTGTCATATTCTCTAAAATTTGTATGATTATGACTGCAGCAGAATCACTGATTTCACTGCATCAGAAAATCTTCTTATTCATCTGAAATTCTGTAGATATATTTCTGACAGTGTATTGAACACTTGTTTCTGATTAATAGAAATGATTTTGTATTCAAAATAGCTGTAGTTCATTCAATGATAGCCTGCACAGAAAGTATTTGTTCTGAAAATAAGATATGAATGAAATCTGCCAGATGTGCTGATTGATTGTGTTCAGAAGTCTTCTGAAATATGAAAGCATTACAAAAGAATTAACAACATATATAAAGAGAATATTAACTTATCATTCTTCTTTTCTTTTCTTTCTTCTTTCTTCTCATAATCATATCACAATGTGAACATTGATTTATCAGCTCACTCAGCTCACTCAGTCTTTTCTCATCTTCAGCAAGATTAGTATTCTGCCAGTTGCAATAGAAAGCTTTAAGAATCAAAAGTTCTAATATAAGATACTGTGTGTGCACAGTACAGTAAGAATATCAGTGAATCATTGTATCAGCATCAACAACAGCATCAATAACAGCATCAATAACAGCATCAACAACAGTATCAACAACAGTATTAATAACAGTAACAATAACAACAACAGCAGCACAAATAGTCAGTGACACTTTCAAGTGTATGCATGCAGCAGCTGCAAAAGCACAAGAGAAAGAGACAGTAATCAGGCTGAAAACTCTCAATCAGTCAGATAAGTCAATAATGTGCAAATATTGCATCTCATATATCTTTCTCCATCATATTGATGCTGTTTGTGACAAAGTTGAAGAAAGCATGAAGTCATGTTCAAACTGCAATCATGAAAAGAAAGATTGTGTGATATGTTCTGATGAATTCAAAGATGAAATTGAAAACCTAGTCTGAACTCATGAGTTTTATCTTATCATCTCAACAGCTATGAAGAAATCAGTCAAGTCAGCCATGCTGGAGATGATGAAGAATTTATCTAAGCAAATCAAGAAAGTAAAGACACACTGGCAGGAAGCAGAAAATTAAAAAATGAAGAGTATAGCTATTGTATTGAAAGCCTTAAATACATCTATCAGTTCTGCTGAAAAAGTCAAACTTGAAATTAAGAAGATTAAGTTGAATATTGAAAGAGTCAAATTGAAGATTGAAAAGAAGAAAATTACTATGAAGAAGAAGAAAATTATCATTGAAAAGACAAAATTGAATATTGAAAATATGAAGCTTGCTGTTCAGTGAGAGATCTTGAGATCAGTTAACAATCATTATAAGAGTTAAAAAGCAGTGATGAAGAATCTCACAAACTTAATCAACAGTGTTAGAGAGAAAGTGCAGTGTATTTTCATTGAAATGTATGAAATAATAAACTGATTTGAAATAATTATCAAACTTCTCAGTAATACAGTTAATGAGAGCAGCAGTGATAAGAAATCTATTAATAGTGATAATTCTCTTCTTCTCTCTACAACTCTCACTGATCTCTCTATCATCACTGTCAATTCTTCTTCTCTCTTCTTCTCTGATCTTCTGACTCTGATGAGTGTTCTGAGTTTTCAGACTTATGAAACAATCACTGAAACAGTAAGCTAGAGTCAGTGAAATGATTCTCAGATTTATTCAGAGATTAATAATTGTATAGACTTTTAAACACTCAGTGCCTGATCACTCTGAAACCTTAACTCTCAAATGTCAGATAACTGATAACAGTGTCTCTCAGATTATGACTAATCTGTAAATCTCAATTCACAAGTTCAGTGATATGATCAATGAGAGTAACATGACTGAGAATAAAGACTATAAAAGAAACTTGATTCAGTTGATTTGAGAGAATTTAGATAGAAGTGTCTGTGATTTTCAATAGAGAATGATATCAGTGAATGAGATGATTTTAAGAATTAGTGATTATATAGATTGAATTCAGTGACATTGCTAATATGATAATTGATTTTTTCAGTTTATCACTTATTTATGATGATTTCATCATTCATTCATCATTATACTATGATTTACAGCTCGGCGACTGTGTCGCCGATTGAAATGGTGAAATAACCATAATCCGGTCGTGTAATAACCCTACGTTCTTCCCGTATGACTGCTTCCTCAAACCGGAGCTCACGGGCTGATGTCTTCTGGCATTAACCGTGCCATGCTTACTCACTCTCTGTAGTGAGTGCGCCACAGCGTACAGAAAACCACACTGTAAAGAAAATATTTTGAATATAGTAATCTTCAAAAATTAATTAATAATCATCATCACATCTATCTATAACATAAAGATTATCTATATACTCATTAGAAGATGTAGAATCCACTGTAAGTTGAGATTCTATAGAATTATCTTATTGTGATTGAGTGACTGTAGATTTTATAGATTTGATTTCAATCAATTAAAGAGTCTTATTAAATGTCTTTTTCATCTCATCTGCTCTACAGGTTGCAATCTTGTGATTGGCATTCTTAATAGTAAGAACTTCACCTACTTGCACCTGTCTGTGGGAGGATTTGATAACTCAATGTCTATTTGCTTAATAATGATCTGCAAGTTCACTCTCACAGTGCACATTCAATTCCATCTGAATCATGCTATTCTTGAAGATCTTGTTCAACCACCTTATCAAATCAGATGTAAGAGTATTCTTCACATCTTCTAAGGCCTTAGCTGCTGCATCAATTTGATGACATAGTTTTACAACTGTCTCTGAGAAGGTTAATTGCAAGGAGGCAGTTGACAGTCAATCTGCAGATGATGAGGTAAAGTGATCACATACATCATCATCACCATTGTATATATTGAGATTCAGAGCATCATTTTGAATTCATGGGTTTTTGCTTGACTTGTTTGTAATCTGGCAGGCATTTGATAAATTGATATGTTCACATCTTGCTTACTGTGAAAGGTGCAGTCTCTGAATCTGTATAATGCTGTCTCAACATGTGGTTCACAGCAGCTTCAATATGCTTGATGATGAATGGACAAAAATTAATGTTCAATTGATGAATTCATATCTTAATTGCCTCTTCCTGGCTGTCATTCAATGCTCAATTCAGTGAAACCCTCATAGTCCTTGATTTCTTCCTGTTGATCCTCCCATACAAGGTGACATATGGAACTTTGAATTCTCATGACAGAGATATGATTTTTAATTTTGAATTGCTTTTGTACGCGTCAACAGCTCTTTACAACTGCTTCTCAGTGTAATTAGAAGATTTAGACATGGTTATAATTAATGATGATTATTTGAAGATGAAGAATGAAGATATTGAAAATATTTTCTTTACAGTGTGGTTTTCCGTACGCTGTGGCGCACTCACTACAGAGAGTGAGTAAGCATGGCACGGTTAACCAACTGACCACGAAGTGTTTTGGCTTTGTTGCCGGTGTGACAAGCTCTAACTGGGAATGCCTGTGTCTGTAATGTGAGGACCTGCGCATTTCCTGACCAGGCCTAGCGCTCCGGCGCCTGCTTCCTGGTAGCTCTTGGCGTGCTGCATGCCATATAAAGCCCGACCGACCTCCCGCTGCTGGGAGACCATCTTCTTTCCCACCCCATCCTCTTCTCTTTTTCTTTTCCTTTCTCTCGCTCCCCCTCTCTCTCCTCCCGCTGGCATGTCCCCATGCCGCCCTCCTTGTCCGGCGCCCCGCCCCACTTTGGTTTCTCCCCTGCCGGCTCCGCGGTTCATCATTGAGCCAGCTTGTCCTTCCCCGTTTCCTGAACCGTCCGATCATTTGCTCTCGCAGGAGCGGTGTTCTCTGCTTCCATGGTTGCCTGCTGTCCCGCCTGGCAAAGGCTCGCGGGACTGGATCGGACGGCCGCTTCTCGAGCGAGCAAGCAGTTGTGTGAGGTCTTCTCCCAACGGACAGAGCCAACCCACCTCCCTGGCTTCTCGGAGTTATTCGGGCCAGCTGCGCCCTCAGCTGCTGTGCCGCGCCACCTCGCAGGGGAGACAGGCATGTGCGTCTCAGTTGGGGGCGGTGTCGCGCGGTGATCTCCGGCGTTCCCTGGCATTCCAATCACAGTCGGTGCTGGAAGGGTGATTTTCAGACTGGAGATCAACCTGCAGAATGGTCAGCTGGGACAGTGTTTTTAGCTGTGCTGTGCCTCGCATCTGAATGCATGATGCACCGCTGGACCAATGGCAAAAATGCCTCTCCCACATGATTATGAGGAGGAATGTCTGTTCGGGGGAAATTTTAGCGAGCTTCAGCCAGCCCGCGATGATGCCCTTCCCCTCCCTCACGCACTCTGACGCGCATGGACCGGACTAGCTGATTTTTTGGCTCTCCGACTTTCCATGGCTTTCGATGACTTTGAGGGGGCGGATCACGGGAGGCGAGAATCAAGAGGGGATGAAAAGGGCTTAAGGAAGCGGGGGTGGGGGTTCCTGATCCAGCAGCTGCGCCGCGCGATCAGCGAATCCATGGTGGTACGGTTGGGAGAGATGAGGAGAAGATGAGAAGATGGAAGGGGAAAGCACGGAGGCATGGGAGACCAAGGACATATAAGGAAGCGATGCTCGCCCCTTAAGCTGGCCTTCCCTCCGAAACACCCACCATCTTATCATATTTCTTCTAACCTGCCCAACGCCAGTGATCGCAACCAGTGGCCTCTACAGTGGCCTCTACATCTTCGTTCACCAGAATGAGCGCCCGGTCTACCAAGCCAACCCCCGCAACCACCCCAATGATTTCCGCCCCCAGCACCAAAAACATTGAAGCCTTTCAATAACAAAAACATCAACATGGTGGATTTGACCGGTGACTCCGACAACTCCGACAAGGAGGACATCGCGGACGCGGATACATTGCTGGATATGTTCAGAGCATCTGGGCCTGAAATTGCAGCCACTTCCACACAAGGTATGGAAGAGTCATGGTCCCTAAATCAACCCTGGATGCATTCTGACCTTGACCTTTACAGATAATGATCCGGGTAACCAGACGGGTGATCTCACTGGTGTGGCTCCCGCCCCCGCCCCCGCCCCCGCCCCCGCGGACGCGGACGCAGGGACCCCTAGCCCGGTGGCCAAGCGGGAGCGAAGTTTGACCCCCGAACCTTCAGTCGCCCGGCCTACGTCTTCTTTAAGAGGTCGGCGGCTTCGCCCTCGCCGGTCCCAGCATGCCCAGCATGCCCAGCGCGCCATCAGCACCGACAGCACTGGGACCGAGCGCGCGTCCCCACCACCACCGGATAAGATCCTATCAGAGCGCTCAGGATCAGGACCTGTTTACCTCCGACAGATGTGCAGCGCTGGGGGGCTACGCTATTGGAGCATCACTTTCCTAGGGGACCTCAAGTTCAGTGGTAGTGAGAATGAAGTTGTCTCCTCTCCTCGCCGGAAGAGACGGCGGACCTGATTTTGATAGAATTTTCCCACTTACCCATCCCTTCTTCCATGATAGCTGACCCTCCTTAGCATATGGGGACGCGGTCGTCAGAGAAGGAAAAAAGAAAGAGTCAATTTTGCAGTGGTATTGGGGGAGGTAGCTTTTTATATCTATCTTGCGCAGAACGACAGCTCTTTGAATAGGCAAAGATTCCAATATTTCTCTCTTTTTGTCTTCACCTTTCTACTTGTGGTGTACCTTTCCTGAGCTCGGACAGGCAGCTATAATAACTCAAGCTTTTGAATTCATGTATCTAGAATGATCACAAACTGCCAGTATGAGCCTGCCTCCTCTCTCCTTCAAGATGCTGAATGTTGGAGCAGCGTCGTCTACACTATGATTGCAAGACCTGACCTATTCCATTGGTGGTGTGGTAAAGATAGGACGCATGCTCTGTTGCAGCAACATAGAGAGAGAGAGAGAGAGAGAGAGAGAGAGAGCTCATGCGCTGCTGCGGCGCTGGAGAGATGGAAAAGAGAGTAGAGGACAAGCGTGGAACAACTGGAGAAGTCTTTAGTAGCAGAAAGTCGGTCACATTATACTGTGCTGCCCAAAGAGGCCTGGGCGGGTGGTGCTGGGCTCGAGTAAAACACTTGAGTGTATCTATGAAGGCCTGAAAAAGGATAAAACTGCCTTATCAAGTCATAGAGGTCATTTATCGACTTAATTTCCTTGACCAATAAGGCCTCCACGTCACAGAGTACAAGTTCCCAAAATCATTAGAGCTCTTTGAATACACAGAGCAAACACGTTCTAAAAGCTTGCTTTGGCAGCCAACGGGTGAGTCGTCATAAGCTCCCTGCTTCAGCATCTCATCCAGTCTTCGATCTGCTTGCTCTGGGTCATCAAAATGCGCTGGAGTTACACAGCTAGGGTCCCAAATGAAGCGCAAAATCTCGATTTCCCCATCATCTGGACAAAATCGTGTAGACCACTCATTGAGTGGTATGATATCCTCACCTTCCCCAGCATCACTATTGCCTAAGTGTTGTTGTTAGTTCATGATCAATGGTGGTTCTTCAGAAGCCATACCATCAGCATTGGATCTTGCTTCTTCCGCAACAGATATGATTTCTCCATCTTCATCATTCACATGAGGTATCTTGTCGCCTCCCATCGGACTAGAGTTGGGAGGTAGTCTATTCATTTGCAAATCCTTCGTGATTTTCATCATTGTTTGGACCGGAGGGTGAGGATTCGTGGGTTTGCTCTGCAACAGGAGCGGGTTTGCCTGTGATCTGTTGATGTGATTTGGTTGAGGTGCACTGTGTGCTATTCGCTTGCGCAGGACCGAGTGGGATGTTGCTTCTCCCTCGACGGGCAACAGGGCGACGGGAGGAGGGAACGGAGCGACACGGGCTTTGTTTGGTTGAAGCCGCATGTTGAGGTGATTTGACTATTCTTCTGGAACGCAAGCGCCTGCCTTCCTCACGACTTCCACGACGAGTGATAGCCATGATTTGCGATAAAAAATGCGAAAGAAGAAGGGAAGATGAGTTCATGGGGAGGGTTTTCCCTTTCTATAGGCGTCCAGAGGGCTCAACCACGTGAGATCCCCCTCATTCACTAGGCCTAGATGAGATGCAGGCAGGCCAACCTATTGCTGCGACCAACAATCTGTGGGGAATCTGGCTCCCTGACTTCGTTGGGTCGCTGAAGCATGGTACGAAGAATTGAATCATCGAGTGTCATTTTGGCGGCAGGTGTAATGTTTCCCAGCACTCCCACTTGCTGGATCAGTTCATGCAAGGGGAGGGACTTGATGGAGGGACGGGTGATTGACTGGGGCCGGGTCTCTGACCCCGAAGCTTCTGCCTGCGCCCTCCTGGATCTTCGCCCTGGCTTGAGCGCTGTTTGTCGGTATGAGAGTCTGGAAAGGCCATGACATGTCTCCTCCTTTGCTCATTCTCACACTCTGCTTTCAGCCTTGAGATGTTGATGTCCTGCAATGGTATTGAACCCGGAACAAGGCAACATAGGAGAAGGAAGTCCAGCTGCTGGCTGTCGAGTTCAGGGAGAGGAATTGTCCTTAAAATATTGAAGTATTCAGCTGTGGTACAGAATCTTTAGCAGCAATCCCACAACACCCTGGAGTCACTCACCATAGGCAAGAGGTGCATCAGATTCACCCTCAACCGCCATCCAAACAGGCCTAAGGCAATTGTTGTTCCAATTCCGCAGCAAATCTTGCAGCGACTGCATTTTCAATTTTTAATCAATAAGACTTTACCACTGCCGTTGCTCACATACTGATTAACTCAGCTGGAGAAAGAGAAAATGAGAGCCCATGATTATGCGGGCTCTTGCCATCAAACTCTTCATCGTGCACAAGTTCATCATGATTTGTGAGGAGGATGCAAGCATGTAAAGACGCTAAGGTTGGAATTTATGGAGTTTTGCCCATTCTGGCTAGCGTACTTGAAATCGGTAGATTTGAAAGCAACCAATGAAAATGATAAACACCCAACGACAGGGTTGCTGACTGTGGCTCTACCCCTAGCTTTCGAAACCCCTCTATGACCTCTTTCGTCCAAGGTATAAGTTCCGCCACGTACTTTTCAAGTTCTTTTCCAGTGCTTTAGAGGTGGTCAGCTCTGCAGAAAAAAGCAATCTACACATCAAATACCTCTTGAGCAAGAATACTCTGGAGTTTGTTAGTAAAAATCATTCTTCAAAAGAATAAACAAGAATATGTGGAAAAACACACTCTGTCTCCAGTTTTTGGATCTGTTGCTGAAGCTCTTGGTTCTCGCTTTTGAGCAAGAATACTCTGGAGTTTGTTAACAAAAATCATTCTTCAAAAGAATAAACAAGAATATGTGGGAAAACACACTCTGTCTTCAATTTTTGGATCTGTTGCTGAAGCTCTTGGTTCTCGCTGAGAACAGGTGGTGTGGGGGGATCGTTCCGAGGGGTCTCAGGCGCCGCTGCTGGTTGTGATTGATATTCAATCCCAAGCCCTGAGAGGGCGGCTGGTTGTGAGTGGCATTCTGTGTTGAATTCCGACAGCATTGCGTTAAAAGTGTTCGGAGAGAGAGGTGAGCAAACTGATGTTGAAAGACCATTGAAGAAATCATCCCACCCCATATTGGGTTCAGCTTGCTGTGGGGGATGTTCACTCGAGTTATTCATTTTTGCTGGTGAAGAAGGCAATGAGAATCTGCTGCAGGAGTTACTGATGCAGCTGGTCAGCTTCTTAAATACTGCCCATGCGAGCTGAAATTAGCACTGCCAGTCTATCGCGATTCTGCTTATTATAGAAATCATGGATCTATACCTGATTCGGGGATGAACCCCGCCATCTTATTCCGAAAATACTCGATCCTCCAAGATTCTGATTGATGATTAAAATCGACCCCACTTCTGGCGGTTGCATCACGATTTCTCTTTCATGAAGCTGATGGCTCTTCTGGTCAACTCTTCGTCACTCTCAGTTCTAAGCCTAACATCGTTTTGCAATTGAACCACGCCTTGACATAGCTAAGGTATCATTCAATAGTACAAATTGAAAGCGATTGCTAACAGCTAGTGAAGGAGAAATGCCAGCCATCCCGCCAAGCCTCCTCAAGGAGCCGCGAAAGAACGTTGATGCCTCAACCCAGAGTCCCAGACTCCCCCATCAGACACCGAGCTTCAAATCCTCTCTCTTCAGCAACGGCTAGGCGCACAGCAAGATATAATCAACAGTTTCACCGCCACGACGTCCAAGCTGCTTGATCATATATCAGGAAAGGACCCTAAGACTTCGAGTACCTAGCTTCTTGGGGGTCGGAGCAAGGCGGCGAGCAGAAATCGAAAGCAAGACCTCAGCGAGACATTTTATGATGCGAATGGCGACTTGAGATTTGATAATTGCGAGTGATGATTTCCTAAGAATGAGTTCGGTGGTGATAGCATGCGCCATAGCATTGATAGCTTTGCCAAAATAGGATATGAGCTAGAACCCGACTGCTTAGAGTAAACGAGACTTGTTTCACCATGGGATCTCTTCAAACTTGGGGTCCCGGAAATGCAACCCTTGGGCCACTCATGGGAACAGCAATTGACTCCGCGAAAACATTCTCCGTGAATCATCAATCCTCGTCTAGAATTGGGATGATGACCTTTTCACTCAATCGAGATATCTTGGCATCAACAGCCTCTTGACTTGCACACCACCTTTCAAGCTTCTGGCTTGCTGGATCGAAGCTCAGGACAACAAGCCTCCTCATGTTGCCTGTAGTATTAATCAATAGAGCACAGCTTCTATCATCCGCAGACATGTACTCCATACTTTCATCTCCTGCAAAGATGTCGCCCTCTGCGGGCCACCACACAACGCTCTCGGACCCGTCTTCATGCTGCCTATTCCACTCCCGCCGCTCCAGTTTCATCTCCAGAGAATAAAGATATTCCCTGTCAAATTTTCTATCAAAAATTTCGACAGACATAGAATCTAGACCACTGGGTAGCTCCATCGTCCGAGGTTCATCTGGCTCACCATTACGCCCAAGATTTGTCCAAAGCCCACCCTCCTCAGGGAATCCCTCTTGCCACAAGCCACGCTCATCTTTGCTGGCAAGTTTCTGGACAGAGTGTGGTTTATACCAGGAAAATAATATTGTATGAGTTTGAGAAGACTAGAATGTTATTCAGATATACAAGGCATGAGGTTTCATTCTGTTTATAAAGAATTGTATTCATCATCATTTGAAAGATGATAGATGCATTTATCAGACTGAATGACATTGTCAGGAATTTGAACTTCTCTCATTACATATTAAATACAGTTCATGATACTGACAGTTTGCTTACATGAATCTGTCAGTATTCTGAGAGAAGATTGATCTTCAATAGATATCAGGTGTTTTTAACTGTATTTAACTGTTATTGAATCTGTGACAGTGAATATTCATTCTTGATTATAAGCTTGTTGAGTGCTTAATAATTGATACACATCTATCACTTCTCACCTGCCTTTTTCATGAATAGAACTGAGAAGTCTCACACACTTGATGAGAGTTATATGAGATTATATTCTAGAAGGTCTGTGATCTGACACTTCTGTTCTTTAAAGTGTGTCTGTGAGACTGTGACAGAGAATATACATTCTGATTAACTGGTTTCACATCTCTCATATCAATCTCATATATAAATTCTTGTTCTGGTGACAATTCTGATGAGAGATCTGTTTAAAAGATCTTTTCATACTTCTTCAGAAGTTTCTTTATATATCTGTTCTTCTGTATATTCTTTATCTTAGTTTTCTTCACTTCTGAGTTCTGTATAATATATAGAATGCTTTCAGATGAGATCTTATAAATCATTCTCTTTACTTATTAATGTGTAAGCAGATTTAATTCTTCTATATCAGATTCATTTCAGAGATTTCTGAGCACTAATTCTCACTGATCTTAGAATTAACAGCTTCTTAAATACTTCAAGTTAGATCAGTATTAGAGTGATTGAGATCTAAAGTACTTGCAGAATAGTAAATTATTATTAAGCTTAACTGATCAGGTCTCATCTCTCTCACTCTAGATACTCACTTTTAGAAAATGAGATTTAAAAACTATCTGATTAGAACACTCTGAGTCTAGTAAGAATCTAGATGAGATAAGACCTAGACATTCTTAATAGATAATTAGTGCAAGTAAGATCATGACAGTCAATTAATAGGCTGAAATGCTGAGATTGATAGCTAGAAGATTAGAGACTTAACTAGAATTGAATAACTCTAATGTTATTCTTAGTGAGAATTTCACTTATAAATAAGCTAGTTACAGAAGCTAGCTGAGTGATAACTCTTTAGAGAAAATAATAATCTCTGAAGTAGGTCTGAGAGAACAGAGACAGTGATCAGTTATATAAAATGTTAAAATATATATATAACTTAAGATATAAACTGCAGAGATCTTATTCTATAGCTCTCTTTACTGTACTTATTTTCTTCTGTTCTTTTCTCTATCTATTTAATATGTCTATCTTTAAGACTATGTTCTCTTTTCTTTTGTCATAATATTTTCAAATGATTTCAAACTATCAGAAGGTGTTGAAATACTGTAATTTATAGCCCCGGTGGCCGAATGGTTAATGCGGCCACCTGGTAGCGCCTTGGCATGGGAAACCAGGGCGTGTGGGTTTGAAACCCGCAGGGGATACATTAAATCCAGAACCCAAGCACCTCAGGTTTCTAATAAATACAGAGGTGTACAAATCACTTCAATAAAATTGCTCTATGTTCCTGGGCTGGGAAGTTATTATCGCATGTATTTAATTGTCACTCCTTTGTATTTTCTATATTCTTGTTATCTTGGCGTGGTCTCAACACCTGTATTTCCTCCTGTATAACTAACACTTGGCCTGTATTTAACATCATGCAAGGACTCATTATAAGCTCCGCTTGCATATGAGTATAATGAAAGAATAATAATAATAATAATAACTGTAATTTATAAACAGTTTTTATATTCTGAGCTGGAATTTTCTGATTTTGCATATTTGAAATTGATAAATGTATAATAGTTGACTCTATAGATATAGAAAAAACTCTGAGAACTAAAGATTCTCAGATAGATGTTATAGTCTCTGACTGTATACATCTATAATTGAAGAATAATAATAATAATAATAATAAGTCTGCTTTCTCTTAATATTCACAGAATTCAGAGAGTCATTTAATACAGATATCTCTTTTACTTTGAAAACTTTTTATAAAATATCAGTGAGTGTCTCTGAGCTTACTAATTCTGCTAGTTTTTTAACTCTCTTACTTCTCTTAACTATGCACACTATATATAATCTTTTATATTATGATTTTAACATCTGCAGTTAAAGTAAGCTTAATACTTATAATATCAAGATTTTCACTCAGAGAATCTCTTTTTCAGAGAATTCAGTGCTTTAGTAATAATATTCAGATCTAGATTTATTACATCTGAGTATATAGCTTATATTATAGAAGTCTGATTATCTGTTCTTCATTGAGATATACTTAATTACAGTATTTTCTATTATAATTAACTTACTTATTTCTGTATAATGAGAATATTATATGCTTTCTTCACTATATCTGATTATAAGATTAAGTATTTTCATTTCACTCTCAACTCAGATGTAATATTATAAATGAAGATCTGTAAATAGAAAGATATTGAAAGCTCTTCATTTAATATAAAATAGTATAAGCTGAAGTGTGTGAAGTATAATATAAGATTACTTACTTATCTACACTCAGTGAAGTGTTTATAATATTTATCTTATATATTCACTTTCTCAAAGTTGTATAAGATTCATTTGAAAAACTCATTTCATATTTATAAGAATAGATATTGTTTCAGATCTGTGAAATTTATCTTTTTATTAGTTATTTATAATGACTTTACTTTTTCATGTAGAAATGTAGCAGATTTTAAAACTTGTTAAAATTCTGTTAACTATCTGTCTGTAAGTAGACTAGCTGATGAGACTATGAATTTTACATTTGTAAGTAAGTTTAAAAGTAACTGTGTTATTATCTGACAGTTATATATTCTTCTGAATTACATTCTCTCTCACTAGATTCAGTCACACTCATGTAATTATGATATTTGCTCTAGCTTTATACAGATTAGCATGTTACTAGTGTTCGCGATTATGTGATCTATTTCTGATTCAGCTAGTATTTCTTATCTCAGTAAACTCAGTCACTTCACTCTGAGCTAACTCAATCCGAACTACTGCTACTTTCTGTCAAGTTCTGCTAATATCTGAGTCAATCAACTGTCACAGAGCTTATACTAAACCTAAATAAGACATTCTCAGCAAACTCTTTACAGAGTATCTGAGAAAAAACAGTTTCTGTTTATTAGTAATATAAGAATAATTTACTTTAATTATAATATTTGAGATAGAATTACTGTATAATATTACTTATAGATCATTTCTCTATCATCTTGAAGAATTAATTTTTCAATTTTCTGTTAATTAATATAATTTTTATCTGAAAATACATATATTCTGAGTATGAAGTGTTGTGTTGAAAACTGCTACTATGATTTTAAATACAGGAATGATTTACTAATTTTTCAATTATAATTATATCTAGTCATTTAATATCTTGATCTTGCTATTAAAACATCTATTCAGTTATCAGAGACTATAGTCAAAGTATTAAGTATATTTTTCAGTGACTTTTAACAACTTCTGATAACTTCTGATCTCTTGATAATCTTATATAGTATATTAACTTATAATAACTTCTGATAACTTCTGAAATCTTCTGATAACTTCTGAATCAATTATATAACACTTCTTTTTAACAGCTAAGTCACTTTTTAACAGCTGAGTCAGACAACATTTCATCAACTGTATTAAATATAATTAAAAAGAATTGAAGAAAATATGTAAGTCAGCTATAACAGCAGCTTTAAAAGTCATTATTAAAGTAAATACTTTCAATGAATATTGAAGATATATTATAACTTGTTATGAGCTATATCAGATCAGATAGTATTAATAAGTAATAGAATATTATTCAGTATTATCTTCAATGAATACTTTAAGATCTGTGTTCAGATTCTGACTATACTCTTCAGTCATGTATAGAATAAGTCTGTATACTTCAGTACATGATATATGAATATAGTAACACTTTATTCATTGTCAGAACTGACTATAGAAAGAGTCTTATTCTTTAATTCTATACAATTCTGACAGAAAAGATAATCATTCAACTGATTTCTCTAAACAAGCTTGATAATCAGTAAATAAGAGATATAGCATAGTTTCTCAGTGTCAATTCTTATCTGATCAGTACTGATAATCTTCAGAGATAAGAAGACTTACTCAAATACATTTAATAGAGTGAGTATACACATATACTACTCAGTTCAGAGTAAGCTCTTTATAAGTGATTTCAGTATGTTCTTCAAGACTCTATTTTATAAGAAAAGATTGAGCTTATAGCTATCAATGAGTGTCATCTTATTACATAGTGAAGTCAATTCTGTAGTCAGTTTATCAGACTGAGAAATCTGAGATTACTTCTTTATAAGAATATTGTCTGATTTGACTGTTCTGTAACTCTCAGCAGTAAAGCTGAGAATATCATTCTTTAAAAGACTGAATTTCATTCTATTGATGTAAATTCATAGCAGACTCAGATTATTCAAACTTTTATTAACTGTTCTGATATCTTTATCAGTGTATATCTGATTCTATACAGTAAACTTGTATTCTATAATATGTTATATTTTTTATTGAATAAGGTCATTGATACAGATGAAAAGATTATATCTCAACATATTTTAAAGATTATTATCTTTATTAACAGTCATGTCAAGATTCAATAAGCAGTGTAATATTTTCAATTAATACTTCTTCATATCTGTCAGAATAACAGATAGAATGTTAATAATACTGACATCTCTTTCATTAATAACATTATTCAGCATTTTATATCTTGAGTGTCTGAAGTGAATCAGAATATTTGCTTTGAGAAGTTCATGAAATCAACATTGAAAATATGAATCATGATAACAACAACCTCACTGAGTATAAGTATAAATATTTCAGATATTGAGTGTACTATTGTATGAGAATTTCCTATTGAGAGAGATAATATTATGAATGTTTGACAATGATATGAGTGAGAGAGTTGTGAACCAGGTTGAAAAAGTTATATCTTGATTCTTCTTCTCTACTGAGCATTTGACTCTGAAGATTATGAAAAGAAAGCTGTTCAATCTTCTTAACTATCAGTGAAACAAAGATCTCAGCAAAGAACTTGATATCAGACCAGTCAGCTATCACAGTTTATAAACTTAAAGAATATATCTGATGCTGAAAGTATTGCATCAAATATAACAAGTCAGAGTCAAAGTCAATATAGAATAATCACTGTGAAGACATGAATAGAGAATGAAATATAAAGATAAGTCAATCTCTTTATTAACTGAAAGAGAATTATCAATAACTCATGTTACTGAAAAGTCCTTCTGATCTATCTTGAGAAGAATTAACTCTTATTTAATATGAATAGAATAAACACTTCTGTGAAGAAATGCTGCAGCAGATGCAATTCAAGCTGCATATCTGTATTTAAACAGCTACTCACTACAAACACTATCAAGGCATCTCAAGATAATAGTCATGATGTCATTCTACTGTCAGAACTTAAGAACTGATGTATTAAATATATGAAGAAACAGTATCATCATGATCAAGACTTTTCAGTGCCAGCTTCACAATTTATATCTACTCAATGTCAGTGACAGATAGCTGCTCTTTTTCATCAGAAGATATCTATCTTTGAATTCAATTGAAATGAATTATGTGATACTGTCAATCTTCTTCAGACTTGAAGCTATTGAGATGAATTTGAAGATCAGCTTCACAGCTTTCTGTTAAGTCAAATTACAGCTGTAAATAAAGTGTATGAAGCTATTTTCATAGAAAGATGTCAATATCAGACAATCAGAAACAGAGAGAGAGTAGCAGAGATAGTAGTACCTACTGAAATATCAAGTAGTGATTCAATTAGTGAAATGATAGAAGCTCAGCAGCTCACAGCTGCATGATGTGTGAAAGACAATAATCTAGCTTAGATGACTACTCAATATGCAGCAAAAAGAGTACAGTAACTTAATAAAATCTTTACTAAGATCTCTACAGCTCTTTCAGCTGCTGTTACTACTACTAAAGCCTCTACTACTCTAGTCATATCTATTATCAGTGCTTTCACTACTCTACAGTTCACTTCTTCTTCAAGTCTCTGAGTTCATTCTTCTTCAAGTTTATGGGTTCACATATCTATAACTGCTCAAGTTCACACTTCATTCAAGCAGTGAAGTAACAACAATAGTATTGATATTCAAATTCCTTATAAATGAACATTATTTGATGAACAGAATGTATATAGAACTTATTAAAAGATATCATAACTCTTCTCTAGCAGATCATTTTACAGATACTAGAACTTATAAGTTACTTATAAGGAAATACTTCTGACTGAAGATATAAGAACTTATAAAGAAGATAGTAAATTCTTATACTATTTATCAGAGTTCACAGATAGTGTGATTCAGATTATATAAAGAACTTACTTCTCTATTTATCTCACAGAAATCTTGAAAACAGTTAGAAATGAATATTTTTATAAGTCTCTCTGAAAGTAAGAATATATATAATACCTGCTTTGACAGTGTACTGATAATAGTAGATTACTTTATTAAGATAACACACTTTATACTCATCTGTAAGAACTTAAAGTCAAAGAATTTAACTTATATCTTTATCTATGATGTGATTCAGTTGCATGAATTATCTATGAATATTATCTTAGATAGAGAATTAATCTTCACAGAGAAGTTCTGATCTGATCTGATAACTATACTAAAGATCTCACAAGATTTAAGTATAGCTTTTTATTAACAGATAGATGATCAGATAGAATATCTAATAAGTATATTAAAACAGTATCTGCAGTGCCTTGTTAATTATAATCAGAATAACTGAGTGTATTAATTATTACTTATAAAGTTCATATATAATAACTTAAAATATGTCAGTACAGATAAAACTCTCTTTGAAATACTCACTGAGACTCACTTACAGATGATCTTGATACACTTATAAGAGTATACTATAGAGTGTGATGATATCTGTAAATAGACTGAGAGAATTCAGAATATTCAGAAGAAAGTCTGTGAATTCTTGAAAAAGACTTAAGAGTATCAGAAGAGATACTATGACTTTAAGTATATTATAAAGAGTTTTAAGAAAGATAATAGAGTCTGACTAAGTCTAGAAAATATTATTATATGAAGATCTAGTAACAAGTTGAATCTCTTACAGACAGAGTCTTATAAGATTATGAAGAAAGTTAATTTATAGTTCTACAGATTGAAACTATTATCTGAGTTATAGATATATAATATTTTTTATATCTCTTTACTCTGTGAATATAAGGAATTTTCAGAAGAGAATTCTATAACTCATCACTCTATTTATGAAGTATTAGAGAGTGAAAGAGAATATCAGATTAAAGAAATTATTAACTCAGAAAAGTAAGATTATAAACTCTGATTCAAGATTCAGTGATAAGAGTATTCTGATAAGATAAATAAGTTTATTTAAGAATTATCTGAGTAGATAAGATATCTGCAGAAGCTGAGACATGACTTTCATACTATAAATTCTGATAAGTTAGAATAATATAGTCTTCACTAAGAATCTGATTGTGATAAAGATATTAACACTATTATTTATAAATTCTAATCTATAAGATAATGAGTTTCTACTGAGATAAACAGTCTGTGATGTATATAAAGAAAAGAAGAAATCATATTCTTATTAAAGTTAAAAAAATAAAGAAAATAAAAACAGAGCTGTAAACATAATTTAGAGATTAATAAAGAAAAAATAAAGAAAATTCACACTTATATTCTTAATACCTGTGATACTTAATTTCTCTGTAACTATTAATTCTCTTCTTCAAAGAAGCAGAGAGCATTATACTCACAGTACAGATAATTATTACATTTAATACAAAGACTGTCAGAAATGTACAGACTTTAGAAAAGCTGAACATCAGAGTGTATACAGTTACAGCAGAGTCTTAGAGACTGATCATCTGTGTGTGTAATTAGATATCTCTTATGAAGCTGTGTCTGCTTTCTCAGTTATACTGAAGTATTCAGCCTGAAAATAATTGAGATATGAAGAGAAGACTCATCTGTTCAGATTAACTCCTGTCATAAATTCATGACATTCACATTGTCTTGATTACCTGGATTTTGCAGATACCTGAGAACTTATCTTCTATTGATAATAGAATTGTAGAAATGCGCCGCGGCGTGAGAACTGTTAATAGAAAACCTAGACATATTTGTATATATCTGATCAGAGATTATACAGATAGAAAGAAGATGATCATAGATCTGTAAGACTGTAGAAGACACTGACAATATCAGAAGCTTTATAAGAACTGTTAACTAGAGTCTGTAAGAAATTACTTATGAAGAGACTTACAGCAAAGAATGAGACTACACTGCTTAGAGTCAGAAACTGATCTGAAGAAGACACAGAATTAGCTACTGATCTGAAGATCAGATACAGTGATGAGACTGAGAGAGATAAAGATACTGTTATGAATGATAATATTTCTACTTCATCAGCTGATAAAAAGTGATTAGAAGAGTTACAGAAATGTCTATAAGAAGCTCAGCAGCAGTCAGACATTGTTTATAAAGATATTGAAATTGAAAAAATTTTTATTCTTGATGTGATTCGGAAGAACGTACGACTGTCGGATAATAACGCGGCCGCTTCTGAACTTGCTTACAAGTGTAAAGAGGCCATAGCGGCCGCTAATTAATTTAGTGTATGATATATAAGAAGTCAGTGTACATCTGTAATTATACACTGACTTAAGCAATCTTTGAATCACATCTGATAGCATGTCTAAAAACTGGTGAGAAGCACAGGCTTCTTCAGAGTGTGATAATTCTGTCTATAAAGTGATTTATAGTTATCATGTCAGTGTGGTTCTAGAATGTCTCAAAAGATAGTGTATGAAGAGTAATGAGTGAAAGAGCATTCAATTGATACTGCTTCACTTATTAGAGGAAAACTTCATGCTCAGGTGAATGCCATGTATGTGAACTAGACTGACCGTGTGACCGTGTCTGAGACCAGGACCAGATTTTTTGATAGTCTCATTATCAATTTGACTGATCTTATTACATGATTTTAACATTAGATAGTGATCTCATACTGTCTCAGTGAGACTTACTGTCTACTCTTATCACATTTTTCAAATGAGATCATGATTTCCACTTCTCAATTTAAATTATTTTTATTGCTTTAAATGACTTTAAATTTCATTTGAGTGTTATCAAAAAGCGTTACTTTTTAAAAAATTAAAAATAGTCTAAAAAAAACCTTAAAATATCTAAAAATAGTAACTTTATGCTAAGAATGAGACTAAATGAGATCAAATGAGATTACTTTCTCATTTTTTTCAAGTCATGGTTTCATTTTAAGATCTGATATATAGTCACTTTACATGTTTTTTTAATAGCCAGTCCCAGCAGGATTCATGCCAAGAAATGTATGAAACTAGACCAAATGAGATCAAACATGAAATTCATGATCCCGGCGGCCAGTCTAATGTGAACAGATGAGATGTGAGACAAGAAATGAGAGCAGTGAACCAGATTCAAAGAAGATCACTCTTCACTCAAAGAGATAAAAGAGAGAAGTGATCATCATCAGAGTTGTATAATAATAACAGAAATCACATAATAATATAGTGATATAATGATAGACATTGTACAATTAACAAGAAATCACTGAAATGAATATCTTCTCTAGTTAATACAAATAACACCCTTCTCTGCTATCTGAATCAGAAGATATACAGAATCTCTCAGAGAGTTTACTTAAAGCAGTAAGAAAAACAGCTGCAACTACTGAATCAGAATTGAAGCTCTGTATATGTATAAGAATTCTAAATGAGATTAAGACCTTGTATACACAGTGACAGGCTGAGACAGAAGTCAAATAACAATTGACATTTGCTGTGAATCAAGTATTCACTATGAAGAGCTTCACTGACACAATCATCATTATTAATAAGAATAGAGAAAATCAGATCTTAGACCTGTAGCAGAAGATTGAATATTTACATAGATAGATAACTACACTGAATCTGAAGATCTTATCATGATTGTTCACAATCTCTTCAGAAGTGTACACATTATCAGAGACTACTGTGTAGAATGAGAATCTGAGTAGACTGATCATCAGAACCATGAATTTCACATTTAATCTCATTTAATCTAGTCTCATACATTTCTTAGCGTGAGTCCCATCAGGACCAAGCCTCAAAAAAATCTGAAAATGAACTATTTCTGAGAGAAATGATGTGAAAAATGACCAGATTTAATTCAAGAACAGTGAAATGAGAGTAATTTTCCAGAATAAACTATGAAAGATGATCATTCTTTCAAAATCAGAATGAGACTGAGACTGAAGATCAAAATCAGTCTCATTCAGTTCATTCAGTGATTGCTTATATAATCAGAATTTGATAACAATTATTGATAATGCTCATGAAACAACTAAATACATTCTTGTATAAGTTTATTCTTCACTTTCTCATGAAAACTACACTTCTCTGATATACTATGATCAGAGGTATTAAACTGTCTGATAATTTCATGTTTTACAATCATGAGTTTCTTGATTATTTCTTCTTGTAATTGTTCTCAGTGATAGTGATAAATATCTTGACTTGAGTTGAACTTTCACTTCATTCTCACCTCTGTCAATGAAATTGTCAGAATATCACATGTCATCAGTGTAACAGTTGAATATATACTCTCAACAATTTTTCATAACTCTAGAATTGATTTGATGTGTAAATTCATCAGATTATCTTGAAGATAGCAGTCAAATTCAGTTTTATAAGCATGTAGTTTTATCTGATTTTCAGTTGTAATCAATGTATGTAAGTTCTGTTTCAAAGTTAGTATTATAGTTCTATGTAATATGAAGTGTTATCAAAGATCATTACTTACTAGAGAATTATATTTCACTGTCTTCACATCTTAAACATCTGCTCATTCAAATCTCTGATAGTTGACATTATAGTAGTCTCAGACTAATTTAACATATAAGTCTCATTTCTTCTCTGTTCAATCTTGAGAAGTGTAGATGTTAACTTAATGAGAGAAATCTAGTAGAGCTGCTACAGCATAGTACTCTGTAAAAGATTGTTTCATTTTGCTGTAGTAATATGCCAGTTTATTTCTTACAGCAATAATAACCTGTGCTATAACATCATCTCAGACTGAATTTCTTTTTGAGTGATTCAACTGCTTCTCAAGATAAGTAAATAAACTGTTATACACTCATCAGACTGACTGCAGCATTGATGTATAAGTGATTGAGACTGTCTTTATTATCTTATAAAACTGAAACAGTAAATCAATCACATATTTCAACTGAGTTCACTTTATATCAGAAAGTTTTAATATCTGAATCTTTTTCTGATCAGAGTGTTGCACTCAATGATCAATTATCTGATATAATTGAAGAGTCTGAACAGTTATCTTATATGTTGAACTTCATCATATTCTAACATTCTGTATCATATTCAGTGATGTGACTGATTTGTTTATTTATTGAATATCATGAAATCATTATTGTTATTTAGAAGAGATACAAATCACATTAACAATGTTTCAAATCTATGATATTTAAATTATTAATCAATCTATTCAAAATTAACAGTAGTGTTATTAAAAAGCATTATCAAAAAGCAATATTAAAAAGTGTTATCAAAAAACATTATCTTTTGCAAAGTGAATGTAAAAGTTACTTGAGTAATCACTTTCATCTCATTCTCATCTCAAGAATCAGCCATCTCATTATTCTTTATCTTGATGTTAAGATTCTTTATCAGTGTTTGTATCACAAGTTGAATCACATGAGCAATGCAGAGAATATGACCTTGTTTATCATTTCAGAAATGCAAAGCCAATTTTTGCTTCAAGCTCTTCATCATAGTGTAGTTATTCACAGCATTGTCAGTTATAATTGTAAGAAGACTGAGACTAATATCTCAATAGTTATTTTTAATCACAGTTATTAATATCTCTATCATATAATCCTCAGTATGACTACTGATCAATGATTCAAATTCAATTAATGTCTCTCAATAAGTTCAGTTCTCATCAATGTAATAACATGTAACTTTCATAAATACAAGATTGTTTATACTAGTTCATGCATTCACTGTGAGAGATACTCTTCAATGATTCTTCAACTCTGATTCTAGATGTTGCATATTAACTTTGTAGTATGTCTCAAGGTTAGACTGAAGACAGAATTGATGTGAAATATGAAGATTTGAATTAAGTATTTAAAGAAGTGTTCAGAATTCAGGGTTTTCAATTGATCAAAGAGAAAGATTCAGAGATATACACATGTAAAGTAATTGTTCACAGAAGTTATCAGATGAGAGCTGTGAAATCAGAGTACTGATATGAGATTGTTTTCACATAATTTTCTTCAAATTAGAAAGTTAGTATTATCAAAAATCATTATCTGATAGAGTAACTTATCAGCTCAGTAGTAATTTTCTGATTATTTTTCTTTTGTTATCTGCATTCTGATGACTTCAGATGTCAGAAAATTTCTTCAGAACTATGATCAGTTCATGATGAATGTTTCTGAATGAAGTTGCAGTGATTGTAGCAGAGAGATAACTCTTCAGTAATCTGTAATACAATCTGTTGATAATTATTTCATAGTTCATCTCAATGTTTGTGTTAAGTTTTTCATAAATTTTGTGATCTGGAATCAGATGTGAAGAATGAAGTAATTATTCATCATAATTGAAAGAGAGCATTCTATGTTGAATTGTAAACAATATAGACTTTATAATTCACAGTGATTTCTTAAAGAGTTTGTGAATCTTCAATAGAAGTAAAAGAAGTGAAAGAAGTGAATTCAGAAGATATGATAATAATTTAAGAAAGATGATAATTTATTTTTAATAACTGATCACTGATGTGTGTAAGAAGAATTAATATAAGAGAAAATAATCTTGTTTCTTAGCTTAGTTATAATTTTAGTACTAACTCAGATTGAATATTATCAATGTATAAAAGTAAATAAACAATCTTGATTAATCTCTGTCATATTTCTTGAAATATATTAATATTGTGAAAGAGAGTGTTACTAAATTATATTATCAGATAATATCATTAAAAATATATTAATATTGTGAATATCAATGTTAAAAAAATGTTGATACTTATACATTATAGTGATTTGTGAATCATGATAGTTAAATATATATATATATATATATATTGTTTCTGACTTGATTACAACTTGTACAATAATTTTTAAAAACTTAAAATTAATTTCAATTATTAATAATTATGAACTTACAACTAACTAATATAAAAAGAAAAAAACTTTTTCTACTTATTATCTTTCTTCTCTTTCTCATTCTTCTTATCATTCTTTATAATTCACTTTTCATTCTTCTTCTTCTTCTTCTTCTTCTCATCTGAGATGATAATCATCTTAAAATCTCCCTCTGCTGTCTTCTCAGAAGAGGGTTTCTACTGCTCTCTCTCAGCCAGGTCAATCTGTGTCTCAAAATCCTGCATTTTCTGATCTGCTGTCTCAGGTTTCACTTCAGCAGTAAGCAGATTGACATGCTCAGAGAGCAGTACTGTCTTCTCAATATTCTGAATCATGAAGTGCATTCAAGACCTGAATAAGACCTCAATTCTCTTCTTCTCTGTCAGCTTCTGCTAATCAATTAGAGAACAGAAGCATTATTAAAAATCATTATCTCTTAATAAATAAAAAACTTACTAGTTTTGACTTCTTTGTCTCTCACTTCAATACTCTCTCAATCTTCTTCTATTATTACTTATTTATAGTAACACTCTTCTTCTCTCTTTCTCTCTTTATCTTGATCTCAAATCATTCTCAGAACTTCTTCTGATCTCACTGCTACTGTATGAGACTCTTCACTGTCTTCTTTTTCAATCTCTCACAGGTGGTGTCATTCACATTATTTCTATACTTAGTTCAGTCTAAATCTATCAGAAGTATTACTTAAAATTGTTATTATTCTACTCTCTTACAGAGTCTCTTCAAGGCATTATAATATATCTTACAATCTGTCTCTTCTCACTTGAACATCTTCTTCTTCTCTTTCTTCAATCT